GTGCCGGATGGAGGCGAGCCAGACGGAGGAGTTCCAGGGGAGCTGCCAGAGGAATCAGGAGAGCTGCCAGAGGAGCCAGGAGAGCTGCCAGAGGAGTCAGAGGAGCTGCCAGAGGAGCCAGGGGAGCTGCCAGAGGAACCAGGGGAGCTGCCAGAGGAACCAGGGGAGCTGCCAGAGGAACCAGGGGAGCTGCCAGAGGAACCAGGCAGACCAGTTGGCTGTTGGCGGCGCTCGAGGTCAGAGGCTGCAGAGGGGAAGTCGGTAGGAACAGCTCCGCTAGGTTTTCCACTAGGCATGCCCTTTCCGCCGGGGCTGTGGTGACCAGTGGGTCTCGCAGCACCGCTTGGGAAGCCAGAGAAATCACCACCACTTGGGAAAGGAGCGTTGCCGCTCTGCTGAGCGCGCTGAGCACCAACGACGCCGGTGCCAGAGGGCCTTGGCCCACCACCGAAACCACCAGTCGGGCGTGCGGCACCACTCGGGAAGTCGGTAGGCAAGTCGGTCGGGAAACCGGAGGGAGCGGGTCCAGAGAAGGACTGAGCAGAGCTCAAGCCGGCGACGGCAATGGCGAAAGTGATGCGAGAGAAGGCAACCATTTTGACTGCTGTTGTTGAAGTGACTGGACTGAGGTGAAGAAAGATTGAAAGACGGCTTTGACGAACGCACGCAGTGCTGTTTGAAGTGACTGAAAGCACACAGTGCTGCGGAAGCGAAGCGAAGAGCTGGAGAGTTGGAAGGAGGAAGAAAGAAGTGAAGGTTGGTGGATGACAACTTGAAAGGTGCTCACCAGATCATTTATACAGACCTCCATACTCTACAGAGGCACGACTCGACATCGACTCAGCGGTAAACATGACGCGGCAAACGAATGTGGATCGCTGGAAGGGGCGCAAGCCGCGCAGCTGCGTGCGAGGCTTCTGGAGCCTGTCATTAATCTGGCACCTGTTGACGGGCGCAGTAACAGTGCATTTCCGCGAACCAGTGTCTCGCAATGCTCCAGCATCCATGGGATCTTTCGAGAATGCGGTCTGGACTGTTTGACAGTGTTTCTTGTTTCACAGTGTCGTCGTCGATGTTCTGAAACCGGCAGTACCCGCAGCTTACGTGTTGTGCTGGATTCTACGCTGCCAGACCATGGACTACGCGGATAGCAATGACGAAAAAAATGAGCTGTGCTCCTGCGAGCTTAGCCACTTCCGAATAGATGAATGAGACGCGTTCGTGGCTGAATGATGGATTGTGGCGTAACCCCTGCAAAGCATTGGCTGGCCATGGTTCACCCAAGGAGCTGCTATGAGGTGGAGGGAAGGCCCAGCCGAAGCTTGGTACAGTCGATATGCAGGTGGAGAGCTTGTCGCGGCTCCAGACGAAGCTTGTCTTCGTGTGTTGTCTTCTTCCGATCGTCGCTCAATGTCGAACTCGTTGCTGGATGCACGCGTCTGCTGTACGACTTCATCTCCGGCCATTCCAAGAAGCAACGCTGAACAACAACGACAAGGATCGCAGACATAGGCGCGCACATCATCTGAGTACCACAGTGTGGATAGTCCATATAAACTATGATTTGGACATTCCAGGGTACCTGCACGCGGGAGTACGCTAGCAGGCGCCAAATCGCATGCAACGGTCCTGGCATCGATTGCGGAATTTTTTTTGCCAGGGTTTTTCCTGGGCAAGGTCCTGATAATGCAAGAGGAGGTACAATAGGAATATTGTTGCGGCGTTGTGAGTTGCTTGCGGGGCATTCCGAGCTTAATCTCCACCATCAGCCGTGAACGCGCGGCACTCAGGAACACCATCGACTTCCTTTTTTCGGTGATGCACAAACTCATGGCGAGGAATGAGGGTCGTACTCCGTCCTGGTTCTGAGCTCATCAGTGAGTCTTGCCGAAAACAACGGAGCTCGGAACTAAAGCCGTGTTGGTAGAGCAGGTTTTGATATCTTTTTGAAGCGATGTCCGCATCGTGTGAAGTAGGCGATTGGGCTCAATGAGGCGGCTGTAGACTAGTACCGCAATCGTGAGATCCGTGGACTCAGTCGACCACTGTCGCAGTGAACCCATTCAGTGTCTAAGAGCGACTGGTCGCAATGCATCGAGAGGAAAGGGCTCTGTGCTCTCATAGCCACGTCATCGTCGCCCGACAACTGAGGCGGTCATACTACCTATGTTTGAGTCCATGCCACCTAGATCATTTGAGCTGCGCCGATCATCCCATCATTTCTGGGTTGAGCAACAGCGAGCAAGGTTTCTGACTATATCGCCATTTCAGCAAAATCTGGATGGCGCCGGAAGAGGATGAAGCGTATGTGCATTTTGTCTATCCTTGAGTCATAAAGTCGTGTACACTGTTGTCTGTATATGCTATCATCGTCATCATATCATCATTCGAAGCGCACACTCTCACCTGGAAGACGCTCACAATTTGCCTCTCTTTGCCTCGACAGCGTCGCGAAGCTTCTTAATTACATCACCTGGATCGGCGGCGCCAAAAACGGCACTCCCAGCGACAATTACGTTGGCGCCGGCATCGGCGGCTTGATCAATGGTCTTCTCAGATAAACCGCCATCGACCTCGATGTGAAGTTCGGGGTATTTCTGACGAAGGGCGGTAACCTTTGGAAGCTCGGAAGCCATAAAAGACTGACCACCGAATCCGGGCTCAACGGTCATGATGAGAACCATCTAGGCAATTGTTAGTCACGAGTCCTCGCTGAGTAGCTCTTAGCGAGCGCTAGTGTTGGCGACTATTGATCCTGCCGTAATGCAAGAAGGGTGAGTACGTAGGGGTAGCGCTACAATGGCGACTCGAAGAGAAGACCAACGAGCAACAGAACAAAAGCGTGATTCGTGGCAGTGTTCTCGAAAGGTGACGAAAGTTGAGACGCCACTGGGTCTGGAGTCCGCATGCCTAAGCGCCGCCACAGCGAGCCGCCCGACAGCTCAGCCCTACAGTGCAGCCGTTTCGACCAACTCAAAAGGAAACTTTTGATGCCTGAGCCGAGTCCTCTGACACCCCTCGATAACGATAGGCAGCATGCGCCGGAAAATGGAAGCTACTCACGTCAGGAACCTCATCCTTGTTCGAATTCTCCAGAATATCCCACAGCACGTCCACCTTTGTGCTTGGCTTGATGGCAATACCAGCTTGCATGCCCTCGCTGTGGATGTATTTGATCAATTCTTTTGGCGAGGTCTTCTTATTAGAAATCTCAGATGGTTCCTCGGCGGCGGTAGACGAGATGGCAGCTTCGTAGTGGAAGCAGTACAAATCGCATCCGGCCATCTTGAACTCGCGAACCCACTTCTTGGGCTCTGCAATCATCATGTGGCAGTCGAATGTTCCCTTTCCATGTGCAGTAGTGGGGCGGTCGACGTGGGAGCGAATCTTGGTGACGACTGGGGCACCGAAGGTCATGTTGGGCACGAAGTGGCCGTCCATGATATCGACCTGGATGCATCAGCCATATCACATACATCAGTTCGTTCATCCCGGGCATACATGAAGCCAGTCGGCACCCTGGGAGATGGTGTCTGAGCAAGCCTTGCCCAGCGCTCCGAAGTCTGCCGACAAAATTGACGGCGCGATGATAGCGGGCGGGGACATGTTGGGCAGGCGTTTCGCGGGGGCAAAGCTGCGCGAAGCGGTGAAGGTCTGGGGCGCCAAAGGGTGCGCTGGGATGTGCAGTGGAGATTGCTGATGTGACCAAACCTCACGATGAATGCTTGGTGTTGACGGCTCTGGCCTGTGACGATGCCAAGCCCCGTGGGACGTTGGTGGGGCAAGAATCAGGCGTCTCGCTCACCTTTTGTTCATACCAACCGTTTGCTGCAACCTCATTCATCCACCAGCTGTTTTGAATCGCGCTGACTGCCGAGTTTGTTTCAACGGCACGCCCTTTTGCGTGGGTGTTGATGCGCGCGACTTGAGCTGAGTGTTTTGAACACGTGATCTTTGCCATCTAGACTTCGAGGCTTTCATCATCCACAACACAGGATGCTTCGGCAGCGGACCGCTATCGCCTTAGCTGAAGCCTTTGAACAGCCAACCGACATTTACTGAGCAGGTTCAAGAGCCTTTTTAATGATTTCTATTCAGACGACGCGCTATTGGGCGAGCTGTGCAACATGTTTACGGCGTACCATTGGCTGCATGAGCAATAACTACCCGAGCGCTACAAATAGAGCTGCCGGGCGCTTACACAGCGAACACCCAACCATCCCACGCAGTGCATCGCGCACGGCGCCCATTTTCGCATAGCCTCGCCCAGCCATGAATCTGGTCCGGCCAACCACCGCACCGCAAAAGCGGACTTAATGTTGTGGCCAGCCCTTGAGCCGCTGCACACTCCCCACCTAGTCCTAATCAGGCCCTTCTGCCACTGTACGAATAGTTGGCAGTGCAGCCTCGGGAGCCACGGTAGCACTGAATCGATAGCAAGGCGTCTCCGCTCCATATAACGTCCTGGCGTTGGTGCCCACGCGAACCTTGCTGCTCTCGCCATTCACTTCGCCTCTTTGAGTCTTCTCTCATTTCAAGTCTTCGTTGATCGAAGCATTTTCATCATTTGTGTCTTTCCAATTTCGCTGTTGATCAGCGTAGTCCAGGGTTATCGCCCAACTTAATAAATTTCCACTCAACCATCGTCTTTGGACACTTTGACGGCTTGGTCAATTCCGGATAACACTCTAATATACCAGCACAAGTTACAGCATGCCTGAGACACTTGCGCCCTCAGTATACCAGTCTGATGCCAGTGGTGCTCTCGACGAGTACTACTTCACAGCAGACAACGCCATGTCTCCTCGCAGCGACGAGGACTTTCCCACACCAAAGGCGCGTCTGTTCGACATCACACCGCAGCCTTCTCCACGGTTTCCTTTCCCGCCCAACTCAAGTTCTTACCCCAAGATTAATCGTGCAAGCCGCGCCGACAGCGACTTCGATTCTCTGTACGATGTTACAGATGACGAGGCTGAAGTGCCTCTTCACGCCTCCGCATCGGTTAAGAAGATCTCAGGCCCAAACCGTCGAGTACGATTCCCGTCACTCATCATCCCGTCACCTACCGCGTGGCCAACAATCGAGAAACTGAAGAGCGCCACTTCGGCAGTGCCAATGACACCATCTGCACTTCTCACACCCTCGCGTCGTGTCCTTGAGATGATCAACTCGCACAACCTTCACCTTCCAGGGCACTCGGCAGCGCCTTCTCTGGATGGAAGTTTGACATCAGAAGAGCTTGATAAGCTGAGCTGTCCAGCAACACCTGATATGCGTTCGAGGCGTGATTCGTTCTCGACTGAGGGATCTTGGGCACCACCAGTACAGCTTGACTTCCAGGCCATGCACACCCTGCAGCACCTTGGCGAGTCTGCGGTTGAAGAAGAAGATGACCAGGAGACTTCATCAGCGGAGCTGAGGGGTGAGATGGAGATGCAGCAGGTTTCGCGCCCTTCCCTAGGTCTGACAATTCCCTCAAGCCAGTACCAGAACGAGTCGGAGGACGATAACACCCCGATCTCTGCTATCTCCATACCGTCACCGGGAGGATTCTTCTCTTCACTTCAATCTGGCGCTCGCGCCACCTGGAGCATACCTGCGCGTCAAGATTCGATCCCAAACACCTCCACCGCCGAGAAGTTTTACAATCTCCCATGGGAGAGCCACAAGACCGAAGTTATGCCAGCGCTACCCGATCGCCCTTTGACTCTCAGTGGTGAGACCCTTGATGGATTGGACGAGGTGTTGGCCACAGCTCGACCTGCAGTCTTCAGCCCAGTTGAAGAGAACGTTGAAGTCAAGGAGATCAACCCGAGCAAGTCTGTCTTCTTGTACAACGAAAACTACAATGCCGAGCTGCAGAAACTGTCTTCAGTCAACCTTGAGATGACCGGTCGATGGCTCGAGGAGCAAGATGAGCTATCAGCTGCTCTCCGCATCATGAGCAATATGGACTCCTCGAGCATATCCAGCGGTACTCACAGCCGCAGTAACTCAGTCGATAAGCCTGTTTTGAAGAAGTCGGTCACGTTTGCGGAAGAGCCTGCCCACATCGAAGGGAATGACGAAGAGCCAAAAAAGATCCAGACTTACGTTCAGGGTCTCGAGTACATCCGTTCCAGCTGCGAGAAGAAGGACACCTTTATCCACCGTCAGACTCGCGCTGAGGCGATGCACCTCCAGCGCCGCTGCAACCCGGCTGTCCATCGCGATCAGCTTATGGGTAAGTACGAGCTGAACGAGCCAGAGCGCCCAGCGCCCGCCCGCCCTGTCTCTGAGTTTTACGTCAACGACCCGACTGCCCTTAAGGAGAGGATCGCTCGTGCTCAGACTGAGCGCCAGGCACTTGACCAGATGCTGCCCAGCCAATGGGTCATGCAGGCACATAAGCAACTCAACGGTGGAAAGCTGCTCAGTAAGCCCGCTGCGCGGTGTATTACTCGCGCATCTTCTCCCCGCATCCTTGACGTTGGCGGCATTGCTACCAACGACTGGGCCTGGAATGTCGCCTATGACTATCCCTACGCTGCTGTCGTCACTGTCAACACCGCCGGCAATAATGCCTCCGCCAACATAGTCGGTCCCGACAACCACAAGTACACCAGCGTGCCTAACCTTTGGACCCTTCCCTTTCCCAACGCCCATTTCGATGTCATCTCCGCCCGCACCCTCTACGAGCTCCTGAAAACCAACAAGCCCGCCGGTCGCTCTTCAGACGAGTACGATCTCTGCCTGAAGGAGCTTCATCGCTGCCTCAAGCCCGGCGGTATCCTGGAGTTTTCTCTGCTGGACGCAGAGTTGATGCACGCCGGCCGCAACGCGCAAGCAATGGGCGTCGAATTCGGGTTTAACCTCAAGACTCGCGGGTACGATGCCCAGGCCAGCAAGACCTTCCTGCCGCGCGTCGCCAAGGCGGGCTTTCGCGATGTGCAGCGAGCGTGGATAGTATTGCCTATGGGGCAGACGGCGGCGAACTGGAAGGAAGAGCTTAATGTTTGCGCGAAAGTGGCACAGGAGAAGTGTATTGGTGAGAGTGGGGAGGTCGAGGTTCAGGATGTGCCCGCGTTTGGCTCGACACGCGATGCGGCGATGTTGACGGGTATTGTTGGCTCGTGGGCGTGGGAGAGGTGGATGCTGAGGCTGCAGATGGAGATGGGTAAGGAGGAGGAGAAGCTTTTGGAGGGTGTTGTCCAGGTGCTTGAGGAGGGCGCTAGGCAGGGCTGTGCGTGGAGGTCGCTGACTGGATGGGCCAGGAAGTAATTGTAAATTGATGACTGTGTCTTAGAAGGAAGGTTTCAAGTGGGAATTGAGTACGAACAGGACATGATGGAATTGGTACCACGCAGCGAATCTCTTTTGTGGTACAGCAATATATGTCGACCATACCAATCAAACCAAATTTTTACACTCCTTTATTAGCTTTACAGAGCTGGAACTAGCTGTGAAACAATGCACTCGGCAGCTGAGGTGTGAACTCGATGATGAAGGTGCTCCCACGTGACCATTCTTCGGCAGATCTGCGGCGGCACGAACCCCACGCGGCCAGAGCTCGACATCACTGCATCATCTTTCGCGCCGCCAACAACGCACGAGTTGCAATTGAAGGAACACGCTTATCATCAGCTTTCACTCTACCCAACTCCCTCCAGTCCCTTCCACATATTGACAGCTGTTACAATGCTCTTCTTCAGGCATGTATACCCCCAAGTCACCCAAAGCCTGTTGATGCTTGACCACCTCAGCACCTTCTGCTGTGTCTCAACTTCCTGCCCCCAAAGGCTTCTTCTGCACGCCACTCTGACCTACGCGCAGTTTCTTCAAAACGCTCGTCGAGCACGAGATCACCGTCGAACTCAAGAACGAGGTTCAGATCCGCGGGACACTGAAGAGCGTCGATCAGTACCTGAACATCAAGCTCGACAATGCTGAGGCGGTGGATGAGGTCAGGTGGCCACATTTGGTATGTCATATTCCAGCACGTCATAGGAGCCTGGCTCTTCGAAGGGACACGAAACGAGGCAACGAAGTCATGTGCGCTTGTGGATTAGCGCCAATGCAGCTGCGCGCTCCTGCTGGGCATCTTCGTACACACGAGTAGCACGGAATTTGGCAGAGGTATCGGTCCGAGACATGTCGGAACGCACATGCGCAGGAATGGGTTAGATCTAAGGAGAACTCGGGGCTGACAAATAGCAGTGCTCGACAAAGGACATGTTCATCCGTGGATCCGTCATTCGATATGTACACTTGCCCTCGGGCGCCGTCGACACCGCACTCCTCGAGGACGCGACGCGGAGAGAAACCGAGGCGGCGAAGAACAAGGCGAAATGAGCGGGCAAATAGAGCAGCTCGAGACGAGTCAACACGCACAACCACGGCCATCACGCTTTACGGGGCCAAACCAATAAGCAAAGACATCGAAGAATGCGCAGGAAGGCATGCAGCAATGCCCCCATTGCGAGTCATTCAGTTCGGATAAATCGCCGAAAGACGCAAGCAGAAGAGACGAGCATAAATATACCCAAGAGTTATGACACTAGAAATTGGTCATGGGCGTATTGACACGCCAGCACAGTCTACATTGTTGCCTTTTACTCGGGTGTGATGAACGGCAGGCGACGAGCCGACTCTCCAAATCAAAACTCATGCTGCCTCTAACAAATACAGAATTCCAGTGACGCATCGGCTTATGCAGCTGTCGAAGATCGAGCCGCCTGGTCTTTGCTCCGCTACGTCTTTCTGGCTCACCGGCGCGCTTCTTTGTCGATCTCGTACGATCCTAGTACTGATCGGTGTTCGCTACACGCCTCAGCGTTCAGTCATTTACCTCGACACAAGCTGTCATGAAGGCTCCAGTTCTCGTAGAGGTGGCTTTCCCCATTGTTCACTTTTGACATTTCACTCGCTCGAAGCGCGGACTGTGTTGCTAAATTTAGAGACAGGCTCGGTGAAGAGTCCATCCGCGGCGTTCGAGACAAATTCCTAGAGTCGACAGCCACTTGAGCTTGAGCTCAACACAAGTCACACAAGACCTTCATCATCTCAGATCTCCACAATAAGTGGCCATACTCGTCAGAGAACCCCGCTCTCAAGGTCGATGTCTTCATCCACTGCGGAGACCTTACGCAGTACGGCGGTCCACCCAGCTTCCAACGGGCCATCAACAGCATCAAGACCGTTGATGCCGAAGTCAAGCTGGTCATTGCTGGCAATCACAATATTGATATAGATCAGGCATGGTTGGATGAGTTCGCTGAAGATGAAGACGATGTTGAGATTGGCGCTAAATGTCTTTCACTTTTGAGGTCACAGGAAGAGCATAGGACCTATCTTTGAATGACGGAACACACTCCTTTGCCTTGAAAGACGAAATATCGTTCACGGTGTACGCAACCCCATACACACCAAAGTTTGGAGAGTTCGCCTTCCTATATGGCGATGGCGAAGACAGGTTTAACGAGGGACTGAGCACGATGTCAAAAGGTGTCGACATTGTCATATCGCACGGTCCGCCTGCGTTCCTGACCTTCTAACGACTATGAGCTTGACGTGAGCAAGAGACTGAAACACTATGGATGCGAAAAGCTGGCTAAAGCTCTTAAAAGGACACGACCGCGGCTCGCTTGCTTCACGTTCACGAAGGTTGCAGCGCAGCTACAGTGAATTGGGGACCGAAAGAGCTGGAATTCACTATTGATGGTACCTCTATGTCTAGGACTGGCGAGGGAGTTGAGACCCTACTTGTCAATGCTGATATAATTGGTGACGGGAAGAGATGGCTAATGGACTTGAACCTCTAGAATTGTGATGACATTGCACCACTGTCTTCAATAGATGCTTCGTATTGTTCAGCGGATTATTTGAGCTATCTTCCAATCAGGAAGTTAAAACATTCTCTCCCTAGCGCATTTGACTATATTCGTGACCCCTCAAACCTTGCCCGCCACGAAAGCAGCAGCAGCAGGAGCATCGATCTCATAGTTCCTGTGCTCAGGGGTGATGATGATGCCGTTATCGCAGATATTGTCACCCTCATGGCAGATGATAAGAACCTTGGAGCTAGCGACGCTGCCGAACGACTCATCGCGGTCTGCATCGCCGAATGTAACAACTAGTGAGGTCAATATTAAATCCAAATATGTGAGCCTCATCTGTGACTTACCGGCGCTAACCTTAGCAGCAGCCTCAGCTGTAAGCCTTTGAGTGGCAGTGTGTACGAGCTGAGCACCCTGGCTGTACCCAGAAATCACGATCTTCGTGGACGGGCACTTGGTGATAGCCTAGCGAGGGTTAGTGTTGGTCCAGTCACCTGGAAGAAGATCTCATACCTGGTTGATCAAGTTGAACATGGTGGTTCCGCCTGCAGCATCACCTCCAGCGAGGAAGCCAAGGATGCTCGCGGAGTAGGTGACGCCCTGGATCGCGAGCTGGCTGGTTCCACCCAGACGGCTGGCTAGGGCGTTGAAGAATGTTGGGCCCTCACTGTCAGCAGACCCGACATTGCCATCTTGAGTAGTACCGCGAGCATAGATGACGGTGACAGCGCGGCAGGCGGTACCATCGGTGAGCTGGTTGTAGGTATCGCCGGTGTATTGGCGCTTGGACAGTCTTGTTGCAGTGTCGACCTTCTCAGGTACCTTACCAGCTTCGAGTGTCTCAGCGTACTCGCTGATGGTGAGACCGGTGTCAATGACATCTGTGACCGGGAAGCTGACTCCCTCTTCCTGAGCGACTAGTGCTGGTGCGGCAAGAACGGCGCCAAACACCGCGGCGAATGGGAGAATCGATTGGACCTTCATCTTGCGCGGGTGGAGAGTTGAACGACTGATGGTAAGGCGATGGAAGGCGAATAGTGAGGATTGCAGGCTGCAGAGTAACTCCCCGCGCGACTCTCTTTCATTTGTATTCGCCGTGTGTACTGGCGGTAATCTCAATACGCTGATCACGGTGGCCTTTCCCCCCCTCTAGCAACGGTCGTATCCTTGCAAACTTGGCACACAACGGCGAGTGGCTCGTTCAGGAACATATTCTTCCCAACTGGTTCCTCACCCCGCCCCCTACTGGCGGGCGTCCCTGATACAGTCCTGATCGTCGAAGTCCACTATGAGTGCAAGCCAAAGCCGGCCAATTGAGAATGCGGGGAAACTCACGTTGTATAATGAGCCTTGTGTCGTTGATGGGGTACATCTCGGCGCATCGGGGGCTTGTTTGGAGCGCTGCCCAGTCTCGGTCGTTTGTCCGGTTCTTGTAGCGTGACCTGCTTCATCGCGTTAGACGACCATCCATGTACCGAGTGCACGTGGGGATCCGCGACGAATGTCATAGGTGCTTGGACCGGAATTGTGATATGAGTGGTCAATAGGTAGCTTTGTGGGCGCTCATGCCATGAACTGCATTGCATGCAAGTCAGAACTCAGGAGCAAGTCAAAAACATGCCTGTAAGAGACAGGACCGCTGTCCAGCGCGTTGACATACGAAGTCCAATACATGCATGCTGAGTATTGAGCACCAGGACTATTCCTTGCGAAGGGCACTGTCGCGTTGACGTGCGTGGAGGTCGTTAAAATGAGCCTTGACACGCAGTTTGTGACATGACGTCAGCTCGCAGCCAAGATTGCCCCACGAGCGGAAGGAACCGTGATTGCTACCACGAGCAACATGTGTGGCGTACTGAGTTGGAAGAGACCGTACACCCTCAACAGAGCACTATGAGGCACCATAATACTGTAACGCTAACGAAAGCATTACAGCATGCGCATTGTGTGGTCCTTAGCCAGTGTCTGGAATCTGTCGACTAAAGGGTAGCTTCTGTGAATGTGATAGTCTAACCAATAGGTGGCTATGCCACCACGACTTTATCCAAGAAGACCGGGTCAAGATTCGAAATTTTACTCTGAACTATTGGAGGATTCCCAGCTCCCGAGAGTCAGCCTGGGACCTTGAAGGCCTTCAAAAGCGTGATATCACTCCATCATTACAGTACCCCGGCTGCCATGTATATGGTCCCTCGGGCATAGTGCAGAAAGATTATCGTCTAAAACAGCGAAGTAACGCCAGCCTGGAAATACATGATCACGCAAATAATGAGGGCAACCAACGAACGCGTCGACTGCCGATTGCTCGGGCTTCGCCACCGAAAGCATTTTAGCTCGTTTTAGCACGTCACGTGCTGACGCGCCTTCGTTTGCGCGTAGATCGTGACTGCCAACCGAGACATGGATGTGACCAACGCCATCCCTTTCGCGACCTCGACTATCTCCACGACTCATTAGTGACGACCCTTATGTTCAGAAACCCGCGAGAGAACTGCGAGCTCCCTGACATTGCTCAAGGACCACCTTCGACCGGCCGTGCACCCTCGCCACCCCGCTCGTCTTCGAGAGTCGCAGCCATGACCGCCAGAACCATGACGAAAGAAGCTCCGCCAAAAGCAATTTCTACTCCCCCGCCGCCAAAGCGGACACAGACGACATTGGTCGCCAAGGAATGGGCAGGCAAAGCAGCAGCGAGCAATGCCAGGAACAAGTCGAAGCCACAGAGGCCTGCGAATGGCAACATCATGGCGTTCTTTAAGAAGGCTGAGGATATCAATAACCGAATCTTCTTGCAAGAACGTGGCTCAAACCCAACAATTGAGCTCGATGGTGCAGAGGAAGACGTTGGGTGGAGTGATCAGCTCAACAACGGCGTCATGACTTGCACGGACAACGATGACATAAGATACAACGAGAACGAGGGCAGCAATAAGAAGAGGAAGCTGAGCGAAAATCTGGAAGCTCCAGCATGTTCACCACCCCCACCGGAGGCTTCCAATGCCCCGGCCGCTGAAGCTCCGGCAAGAAAAGCGCCAGAGTTGTCGAAGCCACGGACGAAGCCTGGGCCTTTCGTTGACGATTCAGACGAAGATGAAGACGAGGCAGAAATGCTCATACGGAGAAGAGGTACGATCAAACAGGAGCCTACAGGAGATTCATCGAGTTCTAAACCCTTGGAGGACACATTATCCACAGATAACATACCAGCGACGACTGATTACGCACTACCACGATTGAAGATGGAAGAAACATCGAAATTCGGTCGAGACGAGTTCGATGAGGCTGACCTCGAGAATGATGATTTTCTCGAAGGCGAAGAGTACAACGAGCGGCGGTGGATGAAGGAGCAGAGAAGATTAGGGATAGATGCGGCAGGTTTTGAGGGAGATCTGGACGATTCCGACGCACCCGCATTATTCCCCGAGGAATTGATCGACGACGACGCGAACAAGGCAACGAACGATGATGACGCGCAGGCCTGCCCTTTGTGCAGCAGTAGTCTCAAGGGCTTGTCAGAACAAGAGAGCTTGGTGCATGTCAACGCATGTCTAGATGGAAAGCCGATACCACTACCTTCGCCGGTCAAGGCTGAACGAGATAACACACCCACGCCAGTACCCAATGCCAAAGCGTTTAAGCGGGCACCAAGACCACCAAAGGAGGCCCAGGCGAATCCTTTCCAATTAGGAGTGAAGCCAGGTGTCGCACCAACAACCGCGTTTTCAAAGCTCATGGCTGGACACGCCGAGGACGCTGCTTGGGCAACGGCGGCTGCAGCTAACAACGCAGCGAGAGGAAAGCCTGCCTTCGAGCGCACATGTCCTTTCTACAAGATCATGCCTGGCTTTTTCATCGCAGTAGATGCCTTTCGCTACGGAGCCGTCAAGGGACAGAATGCGTACTTTCTCAGCCACTTCCACAGCGATCATTACATTGGCTTGACATCATCGTGGTCACATGGGCCTATCTATTGCAGCAAAGTCACGGGCAACCTTGTGAGACAACAATTACGTGTCGACTCCAAATGGGTAGTGGATCTGGAATTCGAGAAGAAGACGGAGATCCCCGGCACGGAGGGTGTGCACTGCACCATGATCTCGGCGAATCATTGTCCTGGCAGTTCTCTGTTCTTATTCGAGAAGGAACTCAGCAAAGGTCCCAAGCCCAAGCTGCAACGGGTCCTTCACTGCGGCGACTTCCGGGCCTGCAAAATGCATGTTGAGCACCCGCTCTTGAGGCCAGATGTCATTGACGCAGTCAGTGGTGCCAGCAGACAGCAGAAACTGGATGTGTGCTACCTTGATACGACTTATCTTACCCCGAAGTACGCCTTTCCGCCTCAGCAGCAAGTCATCCAAGCCTGCGCAGACATGTGTGTGTCGCTGAACAGGGTTCGCGCAGACGAGTCTGATGGCTGGGAGCAGATGAAGCGCGACCGCGCTGGTGCGGGCATGACTAAATTTGTACACAAGAGCTCGACCGAGAGTCCAGACAAGATGCCTACGTCTCCAGACCGCGGCCGACTTTTAGTCATCGTAGGAACCTACAGCATCGGCAAGGAACGCATCTGCATTGGCATTGCCAAAGCTCTAGGCTCGCTCATCTACGCACCTCCTAACAAACAACGCATCTGCCGCGCTTTAGAAGACCCTGAGCTGAACGCGTTACTTACTACAGACCCACGCAAGGGACAAGTGCATATGACACCACTGTTCGAGATCCGCGCCGATACACTAGACGACTACCTCAGCGATTATGCCGATACGTTCTCTCGCGCCATTGGGTTTCGCCCCAGCGGATGGAACTACCGTCCTCCAAACTCCCGCTTTACTGACTCGCCTCTTGTGTCTTCTGTCTTGCACTCCAATAATTGGAAGTCGACATTCAGCATGAAGGACCTGTCACCGCAACGAGGAAGCACCGGTCGGGCAAGCTGCTTTGGCGTGCCATACTCCGAGCACAGCAGTTTCAGGGAGCTGACGATGTTCTGCTGTGCGCTCAACATTGACAAGATCATTCCTACTGTAAATGTTGGCTCGGGGAAGAGTCGAGAGCGCATGAAAGGCTGGTGCGAGAAGTGGGCGGTGGAGAAGAAGAAGAACGGTCTGTTCAAGCTTGGAGAAGATAGCTGGTGCTGATGCTCGGCATTGTATCACTAAGGGATCCTTTCAGAATACTGCTCGAGGGATCTTGCTCAGATGTACGCGCGGGACCCCAGGCTGCCACGCTTCCAAGGCCAAGCACCCTCTATTACAACGCCGACACCCCGACATGCTCGAAACTGACTCTCCGTTATGCACTTCTCGTTCAAACACCAGCATGCAGCTATGTAGCTGTATTAAAGACGATACCATTACGCCGTCGCCTGTGGGCTTTCGTGAGATCAGGTCGACTTCATTTGCATGAACACCATGAATGCTGTTGCGTAGATTGCGCTCGCTGCAACAATATCGACTGGTCTGTTGGTTGTTGGAATACCCATGATCCACGTGAACACGACCACGAAGGCTGTGATGATACCAAGCCGGGCTTGACTGTCAGTGAAATACTCGAGCAGCCACAACGACGTCAAGAGCATGACCGATTGGCCTATGATGATGCTTCGGTTGGTCAGCTTCTCGAATTTCTCATTGCTGGAATACTTCGTTATTGTTTCCTAGATATGTTTTCCCGCAACATGTTTCGCTCGAAACAGGCCATCAGATGTATGTGTTAACTAGGCTGAAAGGTGTGGAATCATCCGCCAGCCTGTCCAGCGGGGCTGAGACGCTTCATGCAGTCATTCGGCCACCACACACCGTGACTGGTTCAGGGTAAACTGGAAGCGTCACCGTGCATGTCCAGCTGGAAATTTAATTTCGCAGAGCCTCCTCATTGGACCGGATTTGTTAGCCTTGCTCATTGCCTCTCCGATAAAAAGCAGGCAGCGGGGAGGACTATCCGCGCCGTCGACCAGCGACATATGTATGTTATGGCCGGTTCATGCGTTCCTGGTTGCGAATTTCGACTGCGCCTCCCCTCTCTCACAAACCTTCGCCATCCATCAAGGCTATCCTGACAAGGTTGACCGAACGAGCCACACTCGTTCCTTGTGCGTGTCGCTTTCCTATCATGATTGGTATAGCGGATCGCGTGTGGAAAGTTCTCCGCGTACATCAAGCAGCTGGAGCTTTCGATCGTATGGACGAGCTTCTGTCGAGTCCTCCGCTTCCTGATGATCCAGATACGCCATTTTCCTCGCCTTATTCGAGCACCGGCCCACATGGCCTGAATGCTTCGTGGCGAGTCTTAAACGACTCACGATGCAACGACTTTCACATGTGAAGAAATACTAGACTTACAAGAAATTTCTACAATACAGAAGTATGGCTCTCATTTGGGCTCAGAAGATGCACGTGACAAATCTGGAGGGTATCCGTTGCTCGAGGAGGTCTTGGGAATCAGCTTCTTTATCTAGGCTGGATTGATAGAGGAACTAGACCACTCTCAGGGGGTGCTACTTAGGAACTCAAGCGTCAACCGCATTTACCATACAAGATGATTGGGTTGCTCTTCAAAGCTCCACGAAATCACTGCGACGGCCTCAAGGCCCTCTCTTATTGGGCACACCAAGCATGATGCAAGACAGTTCTTAGCGTCAATCACGGCCCAGCTGCCACGCTTCATACGGTATGCCAACTATCTCGCATCGCCGAGCGTGAGTGTACACCCATCCACAGAGGCCAAAGTCGAAGAGACATCAGATCCACCAGAGCCTGATGGCCTCATCGAATAGCCTTGGCTAGTCGTCAGCGAGGTGGGACATTTCCAGCATGCCTTGAAATTGCATTTGACTAATGCGTCCCAGCTGACTACAACTCGCCCAGTTATTCCTCACGAGGGATGCGATTGCGATGATCAAATATCTAGCGCGACAAAATATACACAACTTGCATATGCTTTCGATCCAGCCATAAATATACCCGTCGCTATTACTGTTCGTCTAAGCAGCGGATGGATCATGACGATCGGAGGAATTGTGGCATTCACACGAACATCAATTCAGCACTGCTTACGTAAGCAAGTACAATGCCTTCGAAATATCTTTCTACGACGTACCGAGACAGCCGAAAGTGGCAGAATCTCCATCGCAGTGTTTCGAGCTGTTCCTGGAGGATAGGTAATCGATACCTCTACGAGAAGTTCAGGAACCGTCGACGAATCAACAACATATTCGCAATTGTCCTATTTAGACTCCAAAACTTGCCTTCAGATGCTCTGTAAAACTATAGTAAGAAGGACATTAAGGGCATCGTTTGCAAGACTGGTTCTACCATCGCACGGCCCGTTACATGAAGACCCTGACCGTCAAGGCCTTACCAGAAACTTCAAGCGCACGATATATGAAGCCAACGGGCGCCAGACGTTGGGAGCTTACCTGTCAGCTCGTGTCATCAGCGCTCGACAAGAGAAACTTCTACTTCTATTTCTGCATCGACACTAAAGTTATGGCAGACGAAAGGAGAAGTTCCTAGACATGCAAGCGCTGCTTTTCTGCTGACTCGTGGCACTGTGAGATATGTGAAAGATGCGTGGCTAGTCGGAAGGAGTCCTGTCGCTGCTGCGGTGGAATTGGTGCTAACGCAAGTCGGAGAAATCTGCTGGAAGCCGGGAGACAGGAATTGAGATAGGAAAAATTTCACAAGACAAGACTACCAGAGCACTCGAGGTAATAGGTAGTATAAGAGACTCTGTCCGAGTCTTCTTTCAATCTGTCTTTGCAGCTACCTTCACTTTACTTCCCGCTCTTGGCGCCTTGTTTGCTCCTTCCTCTTTCCGCCAACGAGCCTTCGGCGCTCCCAGCATATTTGCAGATTACTCTGGCCTCCAGTTTAATGCGTTTCCATTTCAGTACTCGTCCGCCTTCCATCTCTCCACCATGCCTCTTCTCGGCATCCTGCTCGATCTCGGTAAATTGCTCCTATCTACAGCGTTCCCCTCTCCCCGTTTACTGACATGTGCCAGTGCTAGGTCCAGACGTTAACGAGCCTCGACCTCGACCGAACGCTCTCTTCGCACGCCTTCCCACCATACCGATGCCGATTCCACACGAGGTCTTTATGCAGCTTTCAGCTTTTCATATCTTCCTCCTCATGTCCGTTCGTCGAGTGCGTCTTTCACCACTTCTCATCTGCGTCGCATATATTCTCTGCAAAACAGCTCACTCGCTTTGGAATAGCGCCAAAATCGAGCAGTTGAGCGCCCTCGTGGATATTACGCTGGGCCGCGGCGGGATATGCGATGAGTGTCGAGAGCAGGCCTTCGCGTGCCGTGGCTGCATGGCGCAGCTTTGTTATGGTAGGCTAATGCGCAATGGTTCCATGGCATGCCATCATGAGGTGGTCGATGTGGAAGCCGCTGACGTGGGAAACGCCAATGAGGAAGCCAATGCTCATGAGGCCATCGTTGAGGATGCTGAGTGGTCGATGTGATGGCATGGAAGTAGTGAAGAGAAACTGTTTAGAGTCGACTAGGTCAGCTTGAATTGGTTGCGGGGGTGATTGTCGTTGTGGTATGGCTCCTCCGAAACGTAGCGGTAGTCTCAGGTCCATTTGGTTCAGCTGCTTGTCTGCTCTTGCCTCATCTGAAAGCTCGTCAGACAACATATCTTGTTTCCTTCTTCTCATTTAAAACCTCTCTCGCACTCATGACGAAAGCTATCTCTGATCCAAATGCGACTATCACTGCTGCCGTGACTCCAACCCAGGCCACGGGAAAGCCAAGAGCTGCGCACGATGCGTAAATGATGATGGTGTACAAATATGCGGTCCGAAAGAGAAGTAGCAGTAGTGAATTCGGCTCTCGCATCTTTCGAGTGTTGTTTCAGTGTCTGTTCAACGTGCACCAAAAATAGGGAGGAGCCGACTTGGCTAGTGGAGCTGAAAAAGTGGAGCCTCAGGCCAGCTGTAACAGATCGATTTGCGTTCCAAGCTCATCAAGCAAACATTTTCTGCGATTTCGAACTTGAGCTCTGAATGTTTGTCGCGGTTGCACATGGTTTGGAAGGTCGTGGTGTAATCAATGCTGCGTTGGCATAGCCACGCGTCGAGGGTCAGGTCGTATCGGTACCTGCGTTAGGTCTTACATTAGAGACATGTTTAGCGCAGCTCGCATTTGAATACGGCGTCTTCACCAGAGAGGCAATTCCACAAGAGAAGGCTGTAGAGAATCCATATCATTGATTTTGATGCGTCACTTCAGAAATATCTTGTGAAAGACAGCACGCTGGCCGGGTTCATCTTCCCCAGCTGTACATTGAAGGTCCGAGACCAAGTCGACTACCGCAAGGTTGAACACGACCGTAGCTCCAAGAACGCAGAATTTCTCCTTGAGTAGATATAGACCGCTACCAAAGGGAATTAAGTTTAGGACAATGTCGCGACACCTCTGGCTGGAGGTAGTTAGTAGTTGAGATGTCCCGAACAGCCCAGTCGATGCTCGAAGAAGTGCGCGATGGGTTGTTCAGTCCAGTCTATCCAGTCGCGCGGGTCTTTAATTTGGTTCAGCGTTTGCTCCATGCGACCTGAACCACAAGCTTCCCTGTCAGTGCTGTAGACCCAGTCTGCGAACTGGTAATGAAGATCGTAAGCCTTGTCCATATCCATACTGTCCCAGCGAACGTCCTCGTTTTCGACGCAGTACTTGTGCAACACAACATCCCAAGCTAGGTACGAGGTCACCAGCTTCACTCCTTCGCCGACTTAATTGATCGAGCGAGTAATTCTGCCGTAGCATATCCACCCAACGTTAAGCCAGATAGTTGTGATGGCATGAATCCAGGCTATCAGGCGGGACTCGAGCTATTTATCGAGATGTCAAGGAGCCATTTGTCAAGGCGCTTTTTGAGTACAACCACAAATCTCTACGCAAGGCTTCCGCAATCATGTGGTTTGGTGTGAGCAATATCCGGGCTTCAACTCATCGCATCGTTAAACACTACACAGGCCTTCTGAGATCTCTTCGCCATGGTCACAAAGTCGCTGAACGCCTCAGTAGCCCTAGGTTGCGCGATCGCTGGAGTAGTCGTTGGACAGCAAGCCAAAGTGAAGGCAGCATCAAACGCGTCGTGTAGAGTGCACAAACCCCAAAGACGACCAACGCACCTTCTGCACTCAACACAGACGGGCGTGCGACAACCATAACACAAACTACCGTTGGCTTTCGCGGCTTCTTCCTGCAAACATGGTCGACGACGCCAGTACAACAATCGTTGTCGCAAGGAAGACCTCTGCGGTCCGCACGCGGGAGAAGTTGGTGGGGAAATGCTCCAATGAGAAAGATAGGCCTATTGATATAAGCAAGCTCAAGACTTGCGCAAAGTCAGTTGATCATCTGCGTGCGCTTGTGGGGACGAAACACTGATATTGATAGGGCCTCCGCAAATCGACAGGACTCTCCATTGCTTCGCCTTCCAGCCGAGATGAGAAATCGAATCTATACAATTGTCTTGCAGGCTGAATGTATACTGGTCCGCTCCAGATACCTTACGGCGTTCGACATGACGGTAGCGCTGCGCTGCTGCTACTCCACCACCCCGCCAACACACTCGCAGACTTGGAGCGAGGGCAATGCGGTGATCCTCTTGCCTATTATCTGTCGACAGCTGTACGACGAGACGCATGGTCTTCTATACGCTCTCAACACGTTTGCGTTCACCGATGAGCACTCGATGAGAGTCTGGCTCTCGTGCCGCGCACACAGTCAGCGCAAGCAGATTCGCAGTCTAAAGCTTCCGGGTGGTGCGACCGGCTACTACAGATCAGCTCACAACATTAGCCTTGTCGCAGTATTCCCGCAGCTTCAAACGATCTACATCGACTTTTGGCGTATTGTACAGATGGAGAATGATCTCGTATCCGGGGGACTGAGCCAGGACGACCTTGTACAGCTACTAGTTGCGGAAAAATCGAAGGCGCGTGAGAAGGAGGGAGACAATATAAGAGTCATCGCGACCGAGTGCGTGTACATCTCGACAGTCCTTGGAGGGCTCGTGGACGCTGCATGAGAGTGCCTGGAGACCTTACCGACGGCGCACTATCGCTTGTTAAGGGCATAGGCCGCACATACAAGTCGGGGGACAGAACGGCAAACAACACTCGTCAAGCGCTTCACGCCTCGTCTTCACGATACAACACTCACCCTCATCGACAGTACTACATTAATTCTCACCGAAAACCACAGCTGCGACTAATAGCCCTATTCAAACGTGTAGGTTCTTTCAAATTGCCTATGGATGCACTCCCTCATTCATGTGGGATCGTGCTTTGCAGAATCTCTTCTTGGTGAGGCATCCCGTGGCTGGGCAACAGAACTCATATGTTCCTTACAGCTCTCATACAATATGCGACAAGTTAGATGGAGTGTGATGATGGTCTTGGTTCTGCTCACTTTATCGTTCTCCGTCATCTTCATCGTTCTCCATCATCTTCATCGTTCTCCATCATCTTCATCGTTCTCCATCATCTTCATCGTTCTCCGTCTTCTTCATCGTTTACCCTCCACTACATAGAGCTAATAAGCTCTTTATCCGTCTTCGACTTATCGGTCTTATTCTAGCACTCTCTTTTCATTTAAGTCACTTTTTTCAACACTCTTCGTGCATCGCTCATTGCCATTATGGCTCCAAAGCGACCCTCCCAACACTTTCAGCGACCAACCCTCCAAGCACAATGCAGATCCCACACTCGCGTCTACAAGCGCAGGCAAAGCGCTCCCAACAATATCAAGCGCAGGAATGGACTGCTGAACACTGCCATCTCTCATCAATCTTATCTCACGCAATGGTAAGTTCTGTGGTGATGCTGGGGAACCTCGGGATATACTAATCTCATCCCAGCGCTCAACAGAACTCACTCAACTCGCCTCTCTTACTTCTTCCTGGAGAGATTCGGAACAAGATCTGGAAACTTGCTCTAGGAGATCACCGGGTTGATATCCAGGACCTCATCAACGAGAAGCCGATTGACACCTTTCACAACGAGCGGGCTCGGTATTCTCACACGCTTTGTCCCCCTGGCTTTATCCGCCCCACTTTCCAGCTTCCACGCGTTTGTCGTCAGATCTACGTCGAAGCATCACCGTACGTCTACATGCTGAATACGTTCACCTTCCACAACATGGCCACCTTCGATCGGTGGATCAAGAACCGTTGCATCGGACAGAGGCGACTGGTCACTTCTCTCGATGTTCCGTGTACCTATGCACGCCTTTATCGCAGCGGCTTCCGTAAGCCCTTCGTATCGAAATTCCCAAATATCACACGAATAGGTATTGACAACTGGACGCTATTTTGCGACTACAACGAGATCCGCCGCCTGCCAGAGAACAATGGAAAAGGAGCGCTCGAATTATGGGTCGATGCGAAGGCCAAGATTATCGCGGAGGTCAAGGACAAAGAAGGTCAGCACCTACGCATCGAGTGGCACGAGCAGTCAGCGTGAGGCTTTCTCGAACTTCAGCACGTCTCTGTCGAGAAGGCAGTTCGATCATCTTCCGCGCTTACAGTGCAACGGACTTACGCATCGCGTGGTCTTAATTTTCTTATTGATTCCCGCAATTTTTCGTTTTCATCATCGAAGGCAATCCGGATGGGCGTTACAGATCTTAGGGACATCTTGGTCGGTGCGCCGAGTTCCATGCCTGGTTGTTATATTTGTTTCTTGAAAATACGGTGCACCATCGCTGTCTTGGATGTTATTGGCTTCAACTCCGGCATGCTCGTTCCTGGAGCTTCTTCCAGCTAAATTAGCGCTGCGAGTCTTCATCAAAAAAGAAAGGCAACATGCTGTTCACGGCCGCCCCAAGGAGTCTTGAGTGTACCGTCTAGCCAGTCTCGTTACGGCGTATCTAGATCGTTAGTATTCGCCATTCTCGATATGGAGAGCAGCACGCGACATTCTGCATCGTCGCTGGAGAACGACGTTCCAGTATGCCCCAAATTACACGGTATGGTTCAAGCTGAACATCGCAGACCACTTGATCGCCTAGCATGTTCCATTGGTAGATCGTACATCTCGGCTTCGCTTCGGATAGAAAATGAGGCTGGAGCGTGCATAATCACCTGCATTACCATAGCGTAGTCGGAAAGCTTCAGCTTCCGGCTGTCTATGCACGCTTCGAGAGTCCCACTGTCAGTGGGAGGCCGTCTGCGACTCACTGGTTTGATTGAAACGCTAGACCATTTCTCAGCTTTACGCTGTGAGCTGGACATAATCCCATATTCGAGTTTCAGCTACTGAGCTTGCTTCGATAAATTGAGGGCGCGCAGAGAACTGATGCAAGCCATTCGCTTGATAGAGGTCACGGTCTTGGTTCCAAACTTGTCGACCGGTCTTCTGGGAAAGGAGTTCGAAACCCTTCCGCTTCAATCAGTGATTGAGGGTTTCTGTCAACCTAGATGATTCGTCTACAGGTTCCATGCAGGTATGATATGGTTGTGTGGGCTTATGTCTGTGTCGCTTTGTGCTGCCTGTCTGCGAATAAATTGTCTCAAGACTCCAGTGCGCGGTTTCGTCATGAATTTGTCCAATATCCCAAGTGAAGAGATTATGGTAGAAATGCAGCTGGGTCCTGTCAGCAGCCAAAAGAATATTGTTGTTAGCATCGTCGGGTGTGTGCGCTTGGGAAGTTGTTATCATCATGGTTCAACCGCGAGGACCCACTAAACCTAACCACATCTTTGTTTTCACTTCTTTGCCCTATGCCTCCGGAGTGGATCTCGCCTTTACTGTTGCGCAGCTCTTCTCTCTCACTAGGAGTTTTTGACTTTAGTGGGGCACCTCTCGAAGGTGACTTTTGTATATACCGGGCCCCGCCCTCCGAATGATTGTAATTCATCCATCGCCATTGACCAGAGATGCGCAGTTACAGCCGAAGTATGCCTGTTAGGATGAAGACGCCGGAAAAAGAGGCCAAGCTCGAAAGAGACACCGGCATGTTGGACCACCAGGTGTGGGATCGAACTGCTCAGGCACTGTCACCAGCTGTACCTTCTTCTTTGTAACTGCGTGAGTAGTGTCGGTCAGAGACTGTTATCAACGATTGTATTGCTATCTGTTGTCGTGTTGTGTGATGTCGTGATGTTGTGTTGCACAAGCTCTCAGCTCTCAGGTAAGTGCAATTGCCCACCGGGCAGTGCCTGCTACAATAGGATATCATGTGATCTGAGCCACGTGGTTACATTCTCTGACAGTCTACAAACGAAATCCAGGCTCAATCGCAACGCCTCAGAATCGCCCTTCCTCCATTTACCGCCTGAGCTCAGAAACCGCATCTACTCGTACGTGTCTACCAGCATCACATTACCCGTTTGTAAACCCTTTGGTCGCTGGGGCAGTTCCTGAACTGAGACTGACAGAACGCTGGCGAAAGCTTGCAGATTAATATAGTTGCAGTTGGTCAACGTTGTTGCAGAGGCACCAGCAGCAGACAACGTCGCGTGTAGTCAAGGACTCTAAGCAGCATAAACTTAACCCACAACAAGAGGCAGAGCTTGTAAAATATATACAAGAACTCACTACCTGTCGCTTACTACCTACAAGAGAGATAATACGAAATTTCGCCTCTGCTGTGGCGCAGGAGACGCTCTCTGATAGCTGGGTCACTCGCTTCCTCTACTATCACAACAACTGCCTCCTGCCACGTTATGCCACTGCTATGGACTCTGATTGCCACTACGCCGAGTTATATACTAAGTATAAACAGTACTTTAATATACTTTACCCCAAGATTAATAAGTACAACGTAGAGCTAGAAAACACATACAATATACACAAGACGGGCTTTATAATAAGGGTTATTAGCAGGTAAAAAAGAGTATTTAACAAGCGTTAATATAAGAGGAAGGAGTTGCGGCAGTCTATACAAGCTAGTAACTGGGAGTAGGTGACAGTGCTGGCTTGTGTCAGGCTGGGCATGTGGCGAAGCCACCTCTGACCCGTGACAGGCCGGGCATGTGGCAAAGCCACCTCTGACCCATGACACCAAGGCATGTAGCAAAGCTACCTCTGACCTTTGTCTTACGATATCAGTACTGTTCCGGCGCAGGCCCACCATCAGTGTGAGCCATGTTACCTTTTGGTTTGCTTGTCTCAGTGGCCGGAGCTGAGGCTTGACATAAACGCTGGCAGAAACTTAAGCTTGGTGATGTAGTTGATGTGGTGGCAGATCAGGCTCTCAATCTCATGGCTGTACGCGCGCTTCAACAGCGAGAAGCAGCCAATGTCAAGAGGCTGCAGCAGGTGTGATGAGTGAGGTGGCATATAGATTGTGTAGATGTTGTTCTCCTTGCAGAGCTGCTGAAACTCAAGAGAGTAGTGGCTCTCGTGGCCGTCAAGGATAAGCAGGCAACGTGCGCCTACTACCCAAGCCTCTATATGCTTGATAAAGTGCTTCAGTCACTTAACTCTAAGCTTGTTAGTTGTCTAGCTGTTGTTGCTGATTGCAATTGCCTAGTTGCGTGGAATTTCTGCCTCCTTGTACCATGCAGACAAGTGATGCTAGCTAGCAAAGATGAGGAATGGTGGGATCGTCCAGCTGGCGGCGTTGATTGCAGCAATTAACGTTACCCACTCACAATTGCCTGGCTGGACAGCTTTTAGCCTGCCTCTCCTCTCTAATCTTATTACAATAAGCTAGGTTGTAATCTTGCCTATTATAAAACTAGCCTTGTTAAAGTTGTAGACGTCCTCATTGTAGATGCTATACTTAGCCGTTGTCTGCTCCACGAGCTTAAACCAGCCTTGTATAAGGACAGGATCCTCACACAGAGCTCTCTGCCTATCATACACTCAATTGAAACGCGTTATAAGACTGTCTGTACGCTTAACGAAGTTGCGTGGCTAGTGGACGCTGACGTGACCTGCGCTGTGCGCAGCCAGCAGCTTATCAGCCATATCACGTACAGCTGCGTACGTGGGCGCGAATCTATGTTGATCTAGATCTAGTACATGACGTACAATTACCTCCTCTCCTAGCTGGGTGAGTTTCTTTGAGTCGGGTTGGCAATCGCGTTGGGCAGGCTTGCCAACACGTTGGCAGCGGATTGTTTGTTCAGAAACGTTGTAGACAACAGCAGCATTGCGATTACTCTGTATTTGACGAGAATTAATAGAGGAGACAGCAAGCTGAACATCTGCTTTGTTTGAAGCTAATACAGTAGCGCTGCGTTGAGCCATTATACGTTAAGATAGGAGAGGTGCGCATTCTTGGTGGGGTGCGGCGCTCGCTTATAAAACACGTTATACAAGTTTGTCTCCTAGCTTTACATTTTCAATCTCTGCAAGGGCATCTGAAATTCCTGTCATGGTGGTTGAGTTATTACGCGTTAAAGTTTGGTGTAGATGTTGTGCTCCGGGCGTTGTTCGACTCCGGGCGTTGTGCGCAACGGACACGGTACCCACTCAAGCAGTGCAACAACGATCTTCAAATCTTCCGAGAAATCAATGCATTGGCGGGCGCCAATTTGCATCACGAAAAATTGCATATCGTGAGGATCACCGTGGGTGTCAGATCGATGAAGAGACTATCTCACGCCAGTTTCTACCTACGATCCATCGTGGCAGCTACCTTTGTCAAGACACTGTACAAGACATCCCACTTAAGGAAGTGTCTGGTACAGTACCGCAGAGTGCGTGACAACGTGCGGCGCATGTCCGTTAAGCGCTACCACTTCCTCTTTGCGGGAGCCTCTAGCTTACCAAGATCCACTCGATCGTTCCTGCCCACTCCAACATCACACATCATTAACTATTCACCCAAGATCAACGCTTGCCCAGCGCAGTCACCGCAGCTCCCCAATCGCCAGCCGCGCCATGCACGACTTCGCGCATCTAGCTTTCGGAGAAATTCTCCATTTGAAGCAGATCGCCAGCGTCCAGATATCGATTCGTCTGCGCAACCTGCTTGCAGCTGCGCCAGTGCGTCCTGAAGTCACGCGCAGCGGCTGCACCTGCGGTTCCTGCACCGCTGTAACGTTACCGTAGCTTTGGATTTCCCTGGCAGTCGCGTTGCAATTATGCCACCCCCGGCTTCTTATTTTATGTCGCTGGGCCCATGTCTCAAGGCCTTGCATTGTTGGTGGGTACTCTGTACTCGTTCCGTTTCGGCGCGTTGCACGGCCCTAAAACGGTCGAGCTAAGACGGGCGCTGGCTGGGCGTGCTAGCGTGCTGGTGGCGGTAAGCCCGAATGTGGGGTCGAGGCTTGTGTAAGGCTTGTCTGGATGTGGTTGGTGAGCATCAAAAGTTTTGTAACGAGTCGCTGGTTGCGGTGTTTTTCGGCTGTTTGTGGTCCGCTGCGTCTGACCACGCAGTTGCGTGCTAGTCAAGACTGAAGATGAAGGCAGTCTCACTAGGCATGAGGGATTGAATGAATAATGAACTGATTCATAGCGATTGGATATGTACATCAGAAAGCTGCAATCGACAGCTCCTGAGCAAAGCAAATGGATATAACAATACACCAACCCCTCAAACCGTTGCACGTTCATGCATACCATCATACACCATTATAGTAGCCATAATTTTAGACAGCAACGTTCTTCTCGTTGTAAGTCTCGTTGTACTGAGCAGATCTCTTGCGAGTGGCCTGGGCCTCGGCATCAGTCAGGCTCATGCGGCGGTTGTCAACAGAAGCGTCCTGGACGTCCTGGAAGGAGACGGAAGGAATGAAGCCAGGGGACTGCCACGCCTTGGAGACCTTGCCGTAAAGCTCGTCGACCTGCTCGAGGGAAAGACCCTTTGTCTCGTAAATCATGGCCCAGACAAAGAAGATGCAGATGAAGCAGCATCCGCCCCAGACGAAGAAGACCTTGGCGCCCATGTCGGCGTTTCCTGGGCCCGAATCGACCATGTAGGGTGTGGCATAACCAATGGCGAAGTTGAGGAGCCAGTTGGTGGCAGTAGTTATGGAGAGAGACTTTGCGCGGACCTTCAAGGGGAAGATCTCACCAGTCACAACCCATGCGACGGGTCCCCAGGAGCAAGCGAAGAAGAAGATGTAGATACAGACGAATGCGATGAGCAGACGCTGGACGGGAAGGTTATCTGTGCCGACGACGGTACCGGCAATGGCGACGATGAACTGGCAGACAGCCATACCGATGGCTCCGAAGAGCAAGAGCTTGCGGCGACCCCACTTCTCAACGAGCCAGAGACCGGGAAGGGTCGAGACGACGTTGATGCAGGAAGTGATGAGAGTGATGACAAAGGCGTTGGATATACCGGTGTTTTGGAAGAACGAAGTGCCGTAGTAGCTGGAATATATTAGTGAATATTTCTCCATGATGACCTGGAGTCTGTGACTTACAAGATGAAGTTGATACCAGTCAATTGCTGGAGAGCCTGGAGACCGCAACCAGTCGCGAGACGCTTGCCAAGGTTGCCCTTGAAGCAGTCGAGGTAGGTAGCCTTTCCGAGAGACAGCTCGTACTCGTGGTTGGCGGTGATCTCAGCAAGCTCCTCAACCAGAGCAGGGTGCTCGATGTCAAGTTTGCGGAGCTTGGAAAGGGACTTCGCAGCCTTCTCTGGGCGACCCTTCTTGATGTACCAACGGGGGGTCTCGGGGATGAAAATGCAACCGACGAACATGATGATAGCCCAGGCGAACTGGACAGCGATGGGAATTCGGTAGGAACCAGTGTCGTTGCGGTTCTTGGTCGCGTTGTCGACGATGGCGGCAATCAGGAGACCGATAGTAATGGCAAACTGGTAGCAACCAACAACAGCACCACGAATCCACTTGGGGGAGGTCTCAGACTGATAGAGAGGGATGGTCGCAGAGATCATACCAACTCCGTAACCAGCGAAGAAACGACCAGCAACAAAGATAGGGATATCAGTGGCGACAGTCTGGAGAATGACACCGATGCAGAAGACGATGTTGGAGGCGAAAAGACCAAGAACACGACCGAGCATATCGGCGGCAGGCGCAGCGGTCAGAGCACCAAAGAAGGTACCAGCAGAGAGGATAGAGACAATGAGCGACTTCTGTTGCGAAGTAACATCAGGGAAGTCGTCCTTGGGGTTCCTGTAGCCGGTGGAGAAGAGCTCCCTCCAGTGCTTCATACCAAGGATACCACCAATGGTACCAGTATCATAACTGTCAGTGTTAGGATATAACCAGAGCCAGACGAAGCAAGACATACCCATAAAGCACACCGCCAAAGGCAACGAACAGGCCGATCATGATGGCAGGCGCCGCCGAACCAGGCGTGCCCGCAGGGGCCTTGAGCATGAAACCCATGATTCCAGGTGTCTTCAAAGAAGAAGCCGTGTGCCTGGGTAGTGTAATGTGGGTGAGGTTCACAGCAGTGAGGGTGGTACTCAAGGGGCGGCGGACGATCGACCTTAAGTACTCCAGGGACTACTATTTTACACAACATGCGGAGTCCCATGGGCAAGCTGCTAGCACGAAGGCTCAAAGGCTGGAAGCGTGGAGTCGTGCGCTAATGTGTAATTGGATAGTGGATATGGCCCGAATGCACTGGAGGGATTGCACTCCGCCCCCGACGGGCCTAGCGCTGGAGAGCGCACTAGACTTGCCACTCCACATCCCGTTTTGCGATTCGTGATTAAAGATTTTATGCTCCGTAAGCTTCGAGCTGGAGCTGGTACTGTTCATTCCACCTCGCGTCAGATACGGCTGTGGCCATGAAGTCGGTGGCGGCGATCCAGATGCGGAATTCGTGGTGACGCTTTCAGCGTCGAGAAGCAGGTCACGAGGGGTTGATTCCCCCATGCAGCCTCGTCCGCAAAGAGGACGACATGGCAGGCTGAGGCGAAGGTGCCAAGGCTGGAAATTGTGATAGGTTGCTAGTCAGACCATGAGCGTTTAGTGTGCATGATCGTTGGACCATGCCGTACCAGTCAAGATGCCTCTGACCTCATCTTGGCGATCATGAGCTTGGAGTGTCTTGTCACTCTTCATTCCACATGATGTATTTGCTACCACCAAGTGTGCTCTTGGTAGTCAACAAGCATGGCGACAGGCGCGCGATTGTCTTGGAATTGGCCGCTTCACCCACAGACTCGCAGTCTCATAATGAGGGTGTGCGCGGTGGCACGAGACCCCTGCTGGCCTGTCTGACATGCGACAGCCATGTAAAGCCCCAGCAGCTCGTTCGAACGTGGCTTTGGAATTATCTGGAATATTGGCGCAAGTGCGGTCATTGTTGAGGCTCTGCTCCAGGCGCACGGTTGCTCGAGAGAGGCCGACTTCATAGGCCACGATAGTGGAGCGTGATGGAGCAAGAACGGGGGGCCTGGCAGCAAATTCTGCTTCTGGCCGTCGATTGGTCGTGTCCTCGCGAATAGACAGCGGGGTGCATTAGTTCCCCCCGATGCTTGGAGGCTCAACAAGCACTGCGTGGCACGCTTGGTTGCTTAGTGCAGTCTCGCCCGTATAGGCGGGTCAGCCCTCGGTAGCTTTACGCCTCAGCCTGGGAGAATTCAACGCGCTTGGAACAACTCACGGGAGGATTTCGCTCGCTAGTCCAAACGCCTCAACCCGGTTGACCCGGGCTCACGTCCAAAAATGAAGTCGCGCATGTAACTGTGCCGGTTTCGCCGCACGATCGGGGCGCCTATGGGTTGTCACGAATGGCATGCTGTGGTTACGGTGAGTTCGATGCTTCATCTCCACTTGGGCTGACACTGTGTGAAATCGCGACAGCCGCAGGCGCCCAACAACTCGGAGAAGGGTCGCGGGGCGTCTGCCATGGGGAGGCAACTTCTCCGGGTATTGCAAGAGGATCTGCATGTTGACAGCTGCTGCGGGGTACAGAGCTCGTGGGGATCGTGGGGATCGTGGTGCCGGAGGCGGCTTCATGAAATGATCACATGTGCAAGAACAAGTAGAAGATGATCAGGCCGCTCTGCTTGGCGCTGGTACGATATCAAGACGTCAGGTCCGAATATGCGCTTGATAGTTGTTGTCGCGGCGGACTGCAGTTACCCAGCCGTGCCAACGTTTTTCGAATCGAGCATCAAGCGATCAGACGCAGCACAACGACAAGATCCGTTCTGAGGACCACAGATGGAATCGACTCGAATATCGTCTGAATGCCTGCCGCGGTGACTGCACGTGCCCCTTGCAGCTCAACGCGAGGTTGCAATGGCTTGGAGCTCATAAGCGCTCATCGCCCTGCCTGGAGTCCTTCACGTTCATCTTTGCGCTTATGCCTGACAAAGATGGAATCATGCACGGCGACGTAGCTGATGAGTAGAAGGAAGCTTGGCTTGACGGCTCAATCTGCGGCAGGTTCGCATACCCGGTGCCGATGCAACATGGCAGGTGGCAATATTCAACTTTTCCATTTCAATACGGCCGAACGATTGTCAAAGCGCGGAGATTGTGCCTTTCGCGGCGGCGAAGAGCTGACGACAAGGAAAGTTGCTCGACACAGTGCTCGACATGGAAAGTTGCTCGACATGAGGTTCGACCAAGCGGAGAAAGCCAAGATGGTGACGAGTAGAAGCGCCGGCAGTTGAAGCTTGACGCGCCCAGCGTCTGGAGGCAGGCACGACGATTTCGCTTGCAGGAGGAAGCTTGAACGCAGAAAGTTGCGACCGATAACCACTTCTAACACCCTTGGGCTTCGGCCTCCTTCATTGCTCTTTCCTTTGCACGCAAAATCACGAGATTCGGTATGTAGCCTTGACTGACGTTCAAGAGCGATGAACGTACGCCGAACGCCTGTCAACCAATGACACCACTTGCGCAAACAACATGCTCAGCAGAGCAGCGTCTGAGGAGGAAACATCGATACCACAAGAGTAACAACCTTTGACGCCTCGCAGCACACAAGAGCAGCCTCTAATTAAATACATCAGTCTTTGCAACCGCAACATCACTGCCGACATAGCGGCAAAAGTTCTACTGGGCGCCACGCGCCTTGACCAACGCGTCGCGCTCGCGTACCTGCCCCACCAACATTCTCACCGCCTCAACACCGACATCCCAAACAATGTCAAACGAAACCAGCACGCCCGCCCCAGCCCACGAGCCCCCGTCTCTCCCCAGCTCGCCCCTGCCAAAGCGCACCAAAGTCATTGATCCAGCGCCGTTCAACCAGGCCTCCACGCTGCCGCGCAACGACGACTCAGGCACCGCGACTCCAACCCCACTGGCGAGCTCCAACATGGCCGCCTTGCAGCCTCCCGCGCCAATTGCGCCCTCGATCGCGGCTGGAGCTGCAGCAGAGCAAGCTCTGCAAGTTCTCCTGCTGAGCGAGAATGCAAAGGCGCCTACGAAGGGCAGCAAATTTGCGGCGGGACACGACCTTTACAGTGCAAAGGACCTCGTCATCCCGGCAAGGGGGAGGGCCATTGTGCCCACAGATATCAGCATCTCAGTGCCTGTTGGGACATGTGCGTCTGCTGTTTTAAGTCATGTAGGCAAGGCTGACACCAAGCAGATGGTCGCGTAGCACCGCGCTCCGGACTCGCTGCCAAGCACGGCATCGACACAATGGCCGGCGTAATCGACGCAGATTACAGAGGAGCCGTTGGCGTCATCCTAGCGAATCTGTCAGACGCCGACTTCGAGGTCAAGATTGGCGACAGGATCGCGCAATTGATCGTTGAGAAGGTGCGTAAATGCAAAACCCCTCGCGCGAACGCTGTTGCTGACCACTGCAGATCGCGATGCCCGAGGTCGTCGTTGTGCAGAAACTGGACGAGAGCGTGCGCGGCGCTGGTGGGTTCGGCAGCACAGGCGGATTCGGCGCGGGCGCTGCACAAGGTGCGTAGAAGCGCACCGGAAAGAACAGCGGGAACATTGAGGTCCCTTTGGATACACCGCCCGCCTCATTGCTTCGAGAAGTGCTGTCAGAGCCCTCTGTGTATCTTCCTGCCGAGCACGTCCCCGCGGACGACGGACGAGCGGAAGAGGTGGAAAGGCGCGAGTCGTCGAGTGGACTCGGATTCTTGTAAGATGCACAACTAGAGCGATCGGAGGGGATGTAACGATGTGAGACAAGAGGCTGGGCTGTAGGAATACAACGAATGGCGTGACATTGGTTTACGTGTATCCCTACCGTCGTTGGTGATTGGCTAGTCTAGCAACGAGGCTCGTAAGCCGATATCAATCAGCCAAATCGATTATTGCGCACGCAGACACAGAATTGGGAAACACAGAATTCAGGTGAGCACGATCGACGGAGAACAGTTCTGCGACGGACGGGTCTTCAATTCGATTCATGTCCTCTCTCGCCTAACGACTATTCCTGCACTACGCGCGGGCCCAAGTCTGTAAGGTAACAAAAGACCCTCACCGTCGCCGCCCATTGACACCCCACAAAGGCCACTGGTCCTTGGTTTGCATCGGTCGTGTCGTGCCGGGGAATAGACTCGCTGGTCGACTTGCTGTTCGACTCCCCGAGGAAGGAGGCTGGAAGAGCGGGATGGAAGACAGAGGCGAGGAAGTGGAATACAGAGCGAAAGAACGGACTGGAAGCGGTCGTAAGGGCGGTGTGGGAGTGTGGATGTTGACAGTGCGCGTTTGTGTGAAAGACACCGAAGATAAGGGGGGTTTGGGGACTGTCCAAGGCTCGACTTGGGAGGGATATAATACATATACATTTTCGCAACGCAGCGCCCGTCTAAATCGCGACCGTCACGGCCCGCGGCCTGAAGCGCTCTAGATGCGGCGGCTCGAGCAGATCGCGCACATGCCGGGGGACCACGACCTCACTCGCATTCATAAGCGCGAGGTGGCGCTTCGTCTCGCTCTCCCCACCCCCAGCCCTCGCGGCAGCGTCGTCGAAGGCGTCCATCTTCGCTCTGCACGACTCGGCCGTCTTGCCCAGCACGGCCTGCATCGACGCCAGCACCTTCTGGCACGCGGCCGCGAGCGGCAAGTCCTCGGCGGCAACGTCGTCGGGGCTGCGCCAACTGGGTGTGTTTCTGAGGTTTTGCTCGGACGGGGACGTGGATACGGCTTCGATCAGGCGGGGGACGGTCAGAGCGGCGAACATGTCACCCGTGCCGGAGAAGAAGAGCGGCAGCGCGGGCGTGTCGATGCGGAACAGGCGCGGCTTGAAGTCTGAGGTCGCGGTGCTGCCGATGATGGTGAGGGTCTCGACTTGGTCGTGCTCGTGGGCGGGGCTGTGCGGCGGCGGTGGCGGCGGCGATGAGAGGGGGTCGGCGGCCTCGGCGGACGGCGTGTGCGGCTGCGTCACCGGTCTGCTCGAGGGGATCTGGTTGTCGCGCGTCAGGCGGAGCGAGGTGATGATGACGTGCGGGACGCGGTAGGTGGAGTGGAGGACGTGGATTGCGCGGGCGAGCGAGGCGAGGTCGTGGATCGGGATCTCGCTCAGCGTCCTGGGTGGTCAGCACTGCTTTGCCGTCTCATTTCGGTGCGAGATAATAAGGATGGGGGCAACGCACTCGGCTTCGAACTGATTGGGGAGGATGAGATCTGCTTCGCGCAGCAGGCGCTTGTACTCGGGCACCTCGTCCTCGGGGATGTAGAGTTTCCCGTTGTCCCCCATGACGGGGTCGAGCACTGCTTCCACATCAGCGTCCGCCCATGGCCTCAGTGCACTCGACGCGACGCACCCCAGAAGAAGCTCCCCGGCTTCGTGCCGGCGTTGAACTTGATGTCCCGTCCGATCTTGCCCACGGCGCGGACGGCGTCGGCGCTGGGCACATAGCCCGTGAGCAGGACGTCAAAGTTGGTCAGGTTGGACTGGCGCAGGCCCTCGTAGAGCTGCTCGAGTTCGGCGGCGGTCGTCTTGGTGCCTTTGACCTGCTTGTAGGCCGTGTGGTTGCCTGTTGGATTAGTCACACTGCCGGCAAGCGCGAGAGATGCGAGTACTGTAGTGCACCGTGTTGATGGCCGAGACGTCGCAGCCCATGGCTTGCATGACGCAGGTCGCCATTTTGTTGCCGACGTAGCTTCCTATACTCAGCAACGCACTGCTTTCTGGAGGTAGTACTGACCCATGGACTACATGGCTGGCAATGGCAAGCACGCGCGTCTCCGGTACGAGCGCGTCCGAGGCCATGGCGAAGCAGTCGTCAGCGTCAAAGCACAGAACAAGGAAAAGGGGTGGTGTGGTGCTGGTGCTGGTGCTGGTACTGGTGACTGGTGACTGGTGTATTCCTTATCTGAAATTCCACGCGCGATGACGCAGCGGGGCGCTGGCGGGGCACCGAGGACCTGCGACCTCCGCGAGTCGCCCATTCGCCCATTCGCAACGCGCACTCGATATCGCCGTGTGCAACCGTGACAGTACGCCGCCTGCAACGCGCACTCTGACCGCCGTTTACAACCGTGACAAAACGCCACCTGCATTTCGTATCCCACATCATCCCGAACATGCCATGACAACAAACTACTCCTCGTCGCCAATCTGCAGGGGTCAGTACTGATATATCGATGCATGGGCGTGTGACGCACCTTGGGCGCGAGGTAGAAGCGCAGGTAGCTGTTTGACGACAGCGTGTACTCGACGAGCAGCGGCACCTCGCTGGACAAGCTCAGCTTGACGCTCTCCGACAGGCCGCTGGCCTTGCAGAAGTTGACCAGGTACTTGAGCGAGAAGGTCAGCGCGACGGGCTCGCTGAGGTCGATTTCGACGTTCTCCCCGGGCTTGTCGACGTTGGTGTGCTGTCGAAGCTGCACTGACCCCGAGCCAATGTCGCCCTGACAGCTGAACTTGACGCCCTCCTTGGTGCACTCAATCGAGACTGGCAGTGTTAGCGCAGACGCCAGGCAGCGGGGGAGATGTCATCGCATACCCGACTCGGACAGCGCAGAGAGGTCGCGGCAGATGCGCTGGAATTCGGCCGACGGCATGGTGATGGTGGCGGCGTACTCGGTCTCCGGGATGCCCAGGTGCTCCTGGTCGATGTCCATGAGCTTGATGTCGTACTCGCTGATGCGGTCGGACTCTTTGTTCTCAAACGTCAGGTTGACCACGTCGGGCGCGTCGTCGGCCTTGAGCGTGAGTATGTCGTCCGTCTGCGCGGCGCGCAGCACCTTTGTGAGCGAGCCCAGGTTGATGCCGAGCGCGATGTTGCGGTCGCAACGGAACGGGCTGAAGGCCTCGGACCGCAGCAGCATCGACACGAGCGCCACGTGCGAGTTGTCCATGGCCTGCAGCGCGATCCCAGAGTCATTGCAGTCGAAGTTGCAGTCCTGCACGAGGTCCTTGACAGCGTCGACAACCTGGCGGGGTCAGCAAATCGCGTCTTGCTCGCGGTCCCGCACGACGTACCTTCTTGAGCAGGGCGGCCTGTTCCAAGCGTGCCTCGAGCACTGCATGGTCAGCGGTAGTTTGGGTGCGTGAGATGGTGTGACGTACTGTTGGCTGTGGAGTATCACTGTAAGGGATTATTATAACTCTAAAAAGGAGAACAAGAGTATCGTGCAAGACGTGGTTGTTGGAGTGCGCGGTGTGATGTGGAAGGCAGCAGACAGAGCGGGACAAAACAATCAACGCGTCGTTATTTTAGGGCGACGCGTTCGCGTAAAGTGCCTGTCAGTGTGTCAGTGCTACCCACGCACCAATCATGACGCCGTCACGTCACCAACTCTGGACACATGCAAGCAATTTGTAATATCAGTCCAGGCAAGCCAGGACGCCTAGTATACTAGTATAGCAGGACAGTCTCACGCTTAAGACCTTCACCATCCCTTATTTATATAAACATTAATTAGTCTATCGTGATGAAGGTGTCTCTTGGTACCCTCCGGCTAGTACGTTTTAAGACTAACGCAATTCGATCTTCAGCGTCAACTCATCGATGAGCAATGCAACGGGTAGGACTATCCAGCACTGGAAACAGGTGGACTGACAGTGGTGGTCGCAAACATGCATATGTAGTGACGACTTGGTATGCAACCATACAGTGCTTTCTGCAGCTACGTGTATGTCACTATAGCTCAGGCTCAGCGACTTGAAAGTTGAGCAACGGACACGATCTGAACTTACCGGTACAACCCGTGCGAATCCTGCGATCTTGTCCAGTGGCCATTGTGCACAATTTTCGGTGGATATGAAGAGCTCTCTCCGTACAAACTTTGTACCTAGCGTCGTGAATGAAGAGTTAGGCATCATCTAATCATCTGGTTGGCAGTAACTCATGGATGATCTTAAACATCTCTTCGGCCTTTGCTTTCAAATGTTCGCGAGAGGACTCTGGGCATCTTTCGAACTTATCCGGATGCCACTTCCGTCTCTCCCTCTCGAGCAGTCCCTGCAAATCAGCCCCTGAAGCTTGAAAGAGTCGCTTGATCGTATGCGGACAAGCTTTCAGAACGCCATCGGGCCGGCACCCGGAGGAGCACGGCCAGAATGGTGGATCTGGAAACCTGGTCATGGTTTCGCGACAGCTGAGTAGAACTTCGCACTGGCAAAGCTACTGCCGGTAAACATGGTGATCGTTGGCGGCACGTCGTTGGGCTTCACGGGCTTGCTTCTGCCGTTCCCGCGCTCTTCGCTCAACGTCCTCCTTCCGACGTTGTGCATTCAGCTTATGTTGTCTCCGAAGGTGTCTCTTGCGTTGGTACGTTCGATAGACCTTCACCAACACCAGGACAGTAACGCAAAGGAGCATGAGCGACAGGACCGTTATGACTCCAATGACTAGTACTCTGAGTATTGCTTGTATGGCAGCCTTGATCATCTGGCCCACATCGCTGACCGCTCGACCGGTGCTGCTTATCCAGCGGGAGACGACCGTAGCCGCGGCGTTTGGTAGGTGTAGTATCCATAGCACGGACCCTTTTAAGGCCTCGTAGCAGCGTATGATGGAGTCCTTTGCGTTGACTAGATTTCGGACAAAACCTTCCCATCGTGAAGTGATTTTTGCTATGGTTGAGGCGCTCATTCTTGGTGGAGGTCGGTGGGATGCAGAAGGGGGCTATCTGGCTTGTAAGCAAACCAACACGGTTGATAACGATCCATCAGTTGTGGCGCAGCCGCCTCGGGTTGTCTTGGTTAATTAGCTGTTTGGTCTGTTTCCTACCTTGTTGGGTAGGCGCGCGGGTGAGGTCGAAGTTGACTTGATTGGACAAGGCTGTAAGCCAGGTACCAGATCTAGCGCTTACGGATGAATTGCCGATTTCCTTCGTCAAAGTGGTCAATGTCTATCCTACACCTAGATTGCGCCTGTCCTGCGGCTAGCGTCTGTGAAGATTGTTGCTTTGGTGTGAATGTGTTGCAAGAGTTGGAGTTCCCTGTTATGGTAGTTGGCACACAACAACTCTGAAGACAAAGAACGCTAAAGTGACTGTTCATCTAATCTCCTGGTAATCGGTAATTACATATGTTGGACACTGACACGATAGGCCAATTCGTTCTTGGCATGTCAGACCTGATGCTTTTTGAATAGTTGCAGCCTCGCGCGAGTGCACCAGCCACTCCCTTTGTTACTTCTATGCCGACTCCGTTTCTATTTCTGTTCTCTACACCACGCCTTATACTGTGTCCCATCTCATATTGTACGTAGATAAGCAACCGAAACCCCTTAGCAGGCTCCTGAGTACACGGCCCTATGACAGTTACAATAAATCTTGCCAAGAGCACTCTCTTTTCCAGTGTTCTTCACTGCTCACGCAGCTACATCTTCCGTATACAAATTTCTTGAACTTATCATGAATGTCGTTCAGAACTTCGCGGTTCACTTCTAGCGTGTCGAGGATCTTCTTGTTCGAATCTTGCAGGGCGACGCGGGCAAGGTTCGAGGCGATCTAGCCCCAGTCCGCAGACGCGCTTCCTCGGTGCGGCATCCCAAGGAAGACGATGAGCTTTGTTCGCTCACAGACCTTCTCTGATCGGCGGATAGTCTGTAGGAGCGGATTAGCAGATACGGCGTTCTTGTTGTTCGTCTGGAAGAAGCATTCGATAACGTCTGCATCGTACCCATACGGCCACACTCGGGCTCCGGGAACATCCTTCGCGAGGTACTCGTCTGGCCAAAAGACTTTGCAAGATGGTATTGAAGCATTGACTTTTCGTCGCTTGAGGAAGGATATGAAGCCCTTGGACTTTTCGGTCGTGTCGCTGGTACTGCTGCTGCTGTTGCCATGGTTCGCATTCATCGCTGCTTCCCAAGTCTCTCGGGGGTTACCTCGAAGGCCGTGGATAAATACCATATTACCGATCACTAGCAGGAGTAATTCGACGTGTTTGGACGGGTTTTTACTCCAAGCGAACCCGGCCATCGTCCTGCTCTTTGGCAGTCAGCCTTGTGAAGCCGGCAGGCAGGGTCTACGTCAGCCTTGTGTGCTGTAGCTGTAGGAAGTTGTAACCACGTGGCTCAGATCACATGATAACCTATTGTAGCAGGCACTGCCCGGTGGGCATGTGCACTTACCTGAGAGCTGAGAGCTTGTGTAACACGACATCACACAACACGACAACGGATAGCAATACAATCGTTGATCACAGTCTCTGACCGACAATGCTCACGCAGTTACAGAAGTAGACTAAGCGCAGCGCGAGCTAGGCAAGCCTACGGTAGGCGCTTACTACCGCTGGCTAAACCTCCAACAGCAAGAGGATTGTTCATGTGTCCTACACATGCGTTGGGTTATATATTATAGTATTACTACTATATATTCAAGCATACGCTCGAGCAGCTTCCTCATGATCTGTGAGCCGAGAGCTTGGGCTGGACCCACGAGACTAGACTAACAATAAATACTGCGCGCTAACCATTACGCCCAAACGCCATATCAACAATATGCTGTGGTATATAGTAGATGACCAGATGCCTCAAACCCAACGCCAGCGAGACGAACGAAAGCAACAACTGTACACGACCGGTTAGCTACTTCCTCAAGAAAAGACATCAAAGGCTCGTAACCCGTCCGGCCGGGAGCGTATGCCTATGGGGCCGGAGACTGATAACACTCTCAAGCTCGCGCAGCATATTATTGCTAGCCTCGCGCTGCTCGCGCAGCAACGCCTGGCGCGCGCGATCGGCCTGCATCTTCTGCATGCGCTCCTCGCGCGACGCAGCGCGTCTTGTCTTGGGGAGCGCAATGGCTTCAAAGACCTCGTCGTCCGAGGCGCTGCCGTGGTCGCTTGGGGGCGCGCTCGGGTGCGGACTCAGCGTTTCGCCGTTCAGAGCGCGCAGGGCGTCGGACGGACTGCCTTCGTCGACGGCGGTTAGGCCGCCGAGGCTGGGCACGGGGGAGCGCAGGCCGCCGCTGCTCGAGGCTTGGGAGATGCGGCGCGAGTGGCGCTCGATGTTGAGCGCGAGGGCGTTTCTGCCGGCTTCCCATGCCTGCATGAGGCTCCGCAGGTCGGCGCCAATCGAGTCGTACTGCACCATCAGGTGGCCACCAAGCTCTGTGACGTCTTCTGTGTCTTCCAGGCTCTTGTTGGTCTCTTCGCGCAGGACCTGCATCTTCGCCTGCAGGCCGCGGATGCCCTGTGACAGGCCAGACAGCTTGCGGACCGAGTTACGCAGGTTCTCGCGGCCTGGTGTGGGCGCCAGCTTGTTCGGCGATGGGATTGTAAACTGCTCCTCCTCGGCTAGCACCTGGTTGAACTTCTCGCTCCTCTCCCCGGTTGGCGCGGCTACCGTGACCATCGAGTCTACTACAGTCGCCCATCTCGAGAAGTCGGCTTTTCCGCCGTCAGCCTGGAGCGCTAGCAAGGAGCACAAATACACGCGGCGCAGGGTCGACAGTCGGTACTGCCAGGTGCGCAGCGCCTTGACGCCCTCAAGGTCCTCGAATTCCGACTCGCTGTATCCGAGGGCCGCTTCTTGCAGGTCCGGGTTGCTGACTTCGTAGACGTCGAGGTACTTTTCAATGTCCTCCTCCTGGACTTGCCGGCGCAGTGTCTGGCACTGCTCTGACAAGATCGGGATCATCGTGGCATAGGCGGCCCACAGACTCCGGCGCAGACGTTGGCAGCGACGGACTTGGCCTTTCTCTTCGATCCGGGAGATGGGCGGCATCGGCATGGATCTGGACGTGTTAGCCCAAATATGGCGGTGAGAGGCAGGGCACACACAATCTGTAGCCTCTTGAGACGAGCTCGACCTCTTGGATCAGCGCGAGGGCCGACGACGTCGATGCCTCAAACGCCTGCAGGTTGGTGACGAGCGCCGACGCATTCTCAACCGCCTGCTGCCTCAGCGTCTGCAGCCACTGGCGGCGCACATAGCCGTACGCCACGGTCGCGACGACGACGAAGACGACGAGGACGACGACGAAGCGCGTTTTGCTAAAGCCGGACTTGCGCCGGGCCCAGTGGATGAGCCAGACGAGCGTAAAGGCCGTCGCCGCAGTGAGGACGGCGCCGGCCGGGCTGATGGTGGTGACCTTGAACTCTGGACCGGGCCCGCGGCCGTTCGCGTGGCTGGGGAAGGTCGCGGTCCGGATGCTCGACTGCTCGCCCAGCAGCTGCGAGGCGACGATGAGGTAGCGGAAGTGCTCGAGGAACCGCTCGTTGTCGGCGCGTCCCAGGCGCGAGTTGACTGCTTTCTGGCATCTCGTCAGTGACTATGCGCGGCCGTCTCCGGGTGCCGTGTGTACCGAACATGCCAGGTGAATGCGCGCAACGGAGCCGTGGCGGTTCGCCCGGATGCGCAGCGGCTGCGGCAGCCGGTCTCTTATCCTCGACTGCAGCGTGGAGGGCCCGCGTGGCGCAAACCCGCGGGCGTCCGAGTAGGTGGATACGGCGGGCGATGGCGGCGCAGAGAGCCCTCCTTTGCCCTCGCCTAGACGCGCGATCAGTATGAGTTGCCGCATCGTGGGCGTCGGGGGTAGCGCGTACCCTCCAGGAACTCGGCCAGCGGCGAGTCTTCATGTATCACGCTCTCCATCGTGTCCGCCCCTACCGCATGTTGCGCGTGGTGTGGCTTGGTGCGGAATGCCGGCGCGAGACGCAACTCGTGGGTTCGCGTCGAGGGTCAGAAATGCGGGGAGAGGCCAGGGCGGTGGGGCGCAGGGCGAACGGCGAACGGCGAATGGCGGATGCGAATGGCGAAAGTCGTCTTGGAGAGACGTTTGTTTGTTTGCTTGTTTGCTTGTTTGTTTGCGTGTTTGCGTGTTTCGGATGTTCGGTGGATGGCAGGTATACCTGGTAGGGGGAGCCACCGTGGTTCGAAGCTCGGCCACCCGCAACAGGAGATGAGCGGAGATGAAGATGCGGACCTAGGCCCACAAGATGGGCGCGGCCTGCGGGAGTTCGCTGGTTTGGGGCACCCGGCACCGTTAGGCTAATATCCCTGTCTTGATCGATGACCTGCAGGCGATCCCAGGTGCGCCGTTTGTTTGTCTGTCTGTCTGGTACGGCTTCGACGTCTGTCTGGCACGGCTTCGACGTCTGTCTGGCACGGCTTCGACTTCTGTCTGGCACGGCTTCGACGTCTGAGGGGTGGGCGTTGGTGCCATTCCCCGTCGCTGGCTCCACGGCTTTCAACTCATACCGTGTGCAGTTCTGAAACAGCGTCTCGGCCAGATGACTCCAAAGCTCGCATTGTCACATGAGCTAGTGACGACAAAGTCGCAGCCTTGCGAGCCAGTAGAGCCATCAGCCTCATCTGGGTCGCCATGGTGCACACAGACGTCGATATCACGCTTCAGCTCGCTGCGGTAGCTCCGCGCTATTCTATGCTGCTGGGATATCGAGGACCCCAAGATGAGGCATCACGTGTCAGTGGCTTGCACGCGTGTGATGATTTCGACGGGACGGTATCTAGTCGAGCTGAAGGCCTCCATGGCTTTCAATTGCGACAAATCTCGAGCCTACCCAGAGCCACAGGGCTGATGCAAAAATAATTAATGCATGTGAACGATGGAGGGTACGACCCCTTGCGCACGGACTGTGGGGTTAGCGCAGAACACCAGAGCCGGCCGTGAAGCTCGCGAAACGGCATCACCAGCGTCATCAACCAACAGCCTATCACAAGCCAGCCTGTGACTGTAGCTTCGAGGCATTCGCATACCACCGCCGACATCGAGACAAGACATCTCCAGCAGACCAAAAGATTGACCGCCTTGCGCCGCGCCGTTCCATCGATACCCAGGCCACCGGCGCACCTCTACGAACCCACACACATCACATCACTTAGCCACTCGCACGTACCAACAATGGCAACCGCAGACGAGCGCGAGCTCCAAATCAACCCCATCGTCGCCACAAGCGTGCAGCACAACACCCAGGTACACCCCTCCCCCTCCACCCATCACCCCCAACCAACACACGCAGGTCACATCCAACATCCGCAACCTCACAGCCTCGCTCTTCGGCGTAGCTGCCGGCACCCTCGGCCTCGAATCGTACCCGGGCTTCATCTTCTACCTGGTCGCCAGCTTCGTCGTGAGCGCGCTGCTTTTTGTGCTGAAGGCTGAGGGGCAGCCCGGGAAATATTACTACAAGCCGCTCGGAGACATGTGGCTGGGGGATGTGTTTGGCGGGCTGAGTGGGTTTGTGCTGACGTGGACGCTGTTCTATGGGTTGGTGAGGGCCTGAGGCAGAGAGAGGAACTAAGGACCAACACGACGGACAAGAGACGAGGGCCAACACGACGCATCGTATGGGATAGCTGGCAGATTCACCAGCTGTCTAGCAGATGGCTGTGAACGTCCATGAACGCCTGGAGCCTTCGCTTCTGCTGGCTGCAGTCGCAGCAGTTCGAATGTAATCTACGAGGCTCAAAATCACTGCTGTGAGGTCGAAAACGCGACCAGGCGTAATTGAAAGTCATTGCGATTCACATCACAGCTCAAAGACACGTGCAGTAGTTTTTGAGATTGAAATTGCGTGCGTCATCGAGCGAAGAGAGATTTATAGTAATCTTACAAGTTGAAATACTCGAACACGTCAAGAATGGATCGCAGGCTTCGAGTTCACGGACGCGTCACGCGAAAGGCCGACGAGATACCGAACTCAAGGCATAATCGTAAGATGATACCTGTATCTTGAAAGGGATTGAGATCGTGCTTACCCCGAGAGAACGGTACGCGGTGTTTATCTATCAAACTAGCGTCTTCTGTTCGGTCTCATTCCGTCTCTCAACACCAACCTCGTCCCCAATCTGTCACCATCACTTCACATACCGACCGACTCAATGCGACGCGAGCACGCTTCAAAAGGCCCGTTTCCTGACACCATGACTCATGCGTCTACAATGCAACTCAGAGCGCCACCCACCGAACGAGACCAACGAAACATCAAGAGCAGTCTTCCCAACTGACCTTCGGTCGAGCAATACCATTGATCGAAAGTCGGTATGCCGTGCACACTAACAACACTGCAAGCTGAGCAGCGCTCCAGTCGAAGAAGACCCTCCGCCATTATCAACCACCAACACCAGCGAACAGAACGCCAAACACAGAGTAGAGATTGAACCATAACCCACCGCTCACATCAACTGTACCCACTTCCCTCGTACTCAGAACCACCGTTCCTGTCTGGTGGGTGCGAAATGTTGTGTCTCTTCCGGAGATGAACCTTGAGCCCATCAGATCGAATGTACCGCTTGTCGCAGCCCGGTATAGGGCAAACGTATTTCGTCTTATCTTTTCCTGAACCAATGCAGTTCTGCGACTTGAGATGTCGAGTCATGTTGCCGACAGCATGCACGCCGGTCAGCACTGTCCCACAGTCGTACGGACAAGGAACCTCGTACTCGGCGCTGCTTCCCGTCTGTCGTCCAGGAGCGACTTGATGTCCGGTTGACGGGCCTGGTATCGAGGAACTATTAGCCGACCAGCTTCCGGAAGAGGCGTATCCAGCGCCAGAGCTCGCGTGCCTGACCAATAACATCAGCACATTGCTTTACTACAGACCACACAACTTACATCCTTGGCGCGAGTGGAAGCTGAGGGCTTGCATACTCGATCGGATATGCCACATAACTCGGTTGTAGCATACCCTGTGGTCCAGTCACAGCTAGACTGTGTTGAGGGTACGTCCACGCAGGAGGTCTGCGTCTCGTCAGTCACCAATTCCACGCATGATTGCACTGGACGACACATACTGCTGGTTGAACTGCGCAGTAGAGTGGTCGTATGGATCCGCCTGATGCTCCAATGGGTAGCTGTTCAATGGACTCGCCGCATGGTAAGCACCATTCGAAGTCGACGCGGCTTGCGGATACGATGCCGCATATGCACCATCAGTGCTGTACAGATACTGCGAGCTCGCGTTGCGGACATGCTGATGCGTTGACGAAGAGTACGGGGCATCAGCCCCAGGCTGTGGGAATTTGTGGCTTCGGGTCGAGTACCCGGTCGAGCTGTGCGGGTAGATACCGCTGCTCAGCCCAGCCTGGCTTTGTTGCGACCAGGAGTTATGGTAAGCACCTCCAGAGCTTGGATAAGTCATAATGCTAATGCTGCATTCAGGTCGCAGGGCTGACGATAAAGATAGAGCGGTATCGCGGTTCGGAATCGCTGCCTGTTATTGCCGCAACACTTTTGAGTAGGGATGAGCCCTTGCCAACGTTGCCACAGCCCCGGCTATTAACTGTAATGAACAAGGTGCTGAAACACATCAGATTGGCTGCACATGAAGACGACTACGTCAATTCGTACCTTTGCGGAGTCAAATGGCAAATGCGGTCGTTCTGGCTGAGTACCAGTTCGAATGCAGTCAAAGAACCTTGGGAAGACTTCGGCGGTCGATCATATATCTGTGTGGAAGGCAGATGCTTTGGGGCACAGCTCCAGGATCGCCTAGAAACCTTCGCTCATGAATTTTTGCAGATGACCAAACCTGCATTCTGCTGTGCCCCCTCACAGATTCAAGCGCATAGTGAGGCCCGAGTATACTCTCTGCAACTGTCATCGCATTCGAAGTTTGGACAAGAGAGCCAGCGTAGACGCAAAGTATCCCGCCAACCAATACGCCATGAGCCCTCGGTGCACGCGGAGACCGTCGCACAACATATACATAGACCTGCCGCAATTTCATGCGACCCCCGTCTAAAGCCTCGTCATGCGGGATCGGGACGCCGCCACGGGTTGGGGACGAGGCCGTTTTTCGAAGGAACGCTTCGCTGCCGAGGGCCAAACAACTCAGTTCACGAGAAAACTGCAACACGATTCCTCCAATCAGTAATTCTTCACACCTTGCTTGGCTTCTAATCCTATGTTGATCTGGTGGCGTGTCAGAGATGCTTCAACTGGGCTATCTGACTATGCAGTTCAGATCGGTGATACAAGTGGATAATGGGACGAACCTCATGGCTCGTCAATAATATCTATTGTGAGTCGTGAGCCCGCGGAGTGGTGCCGGGTCTGTGCAGAGATAGGATCCTGCGCCTTCAGATCCTGTAACGAGACCTGTTGGAGCAATCTGGTACCCCATACTACATTCGAACCAACCCAGATCACTCTCACCTCCGCTTAGGGGCATCATCCGAATCGGCATCCAAAGAGCATCCAGAGCCCAGCGAATCATCGAGCGTCCAAAAACTTACTCACCGGACGTTCTTTGCTCAGATGTATAGCTCCCTTCAACTTTACGTTGTGCGAGAGCCGCATTTTGCGCCAGGTGGTACCGTACAATCGACAGGTGCTGGGAGCTACAGGTCGTTCATGGCTCCGGCTACAGCCCCACCTGCTTTACCGAGCGTTCTTTCGGCCCGTTCAGAACGCTGTCGGCAATCTGGACGACTCACAACTCAATTATGCTAGTTCTGCGAAGCCGGTTTGAGGTGGCTGCAGCCCCTTGCGCGGCGGTTATGTACTCCCAGCGCTTAGTGCGGCGCAGTCACTATGCGGCGAAACCATCAGGATGCCATCGAAGGTGACCCACCACCTTTATCGCACCATAAGGCGAAGGGCGGCCCTGGATACCAACGTATCGCTTGTCGAAGATCTGTCCGATGCTGTGCAGAATGTGGGTCATCCACACGCCTCTTCTGCATTCCTAGCAAAGTGATTGCAGCTCCGCTTTGACATGCAGTAGCGCTCCTAGAAGGATGCTTTCTCGAGCCATCCTTCACTAGATGAGTGATGTCCCAGGGAGTTTCAACAGGACCCTTGCTCGCGCCCGGTTTACCTGGCCGAGATGCGACAGAGCGTACAACAAGTCCTTCAGGTCTCGGTACGTCACTACGAAGATCTGTCCTGGACATACTCCAATTTCTGGTCATTGAATAATCAACCCTGAACCAAACCCATGTTCAAAGCAGCATTTGTGTCACCAGTATTGCGTCATTGTGCCTTTGCACGAGCATCCCTCTACATGCACCACCCTTGGAAGCGTGTGTCGACAACAAACTTCAGCTTGCGCCGTGTCACTCATGCCTGAGCATATACACACCGATTTATCGATCTCATTCGTTACGTCTCACCCGATAGTTGCTAATCCAGCATATCTGCGCCAATCATGCGAAGGTGGAACAAGCGGTGAGCTTTCCTTCGACACGCCAGTGTCTGTAAGTCGACTTCGCTCGCGCGCACCGAGCTTACAGCCTTGCCCAGGAGCATTAACTCACCGGTTTCTTACAAGCTTCTGGTCGGGATAGCAAATATAACGCATCGGAGCTCTGGCGGTCAGAATCGTCAATGTCAATGTCATTATCGAATGCCGAACATGGACGCACGCGCAGTAGTCTGGCGACACCTTCCATATCTGCAGCATCTCGCATGCCGAGATCCGCAGCCTCGTCAAAGCCTGTGCTCACGTCGATTCGATGACCCCCAGTCGGAGATGTTACGCATCGAATAACGCCCAGAAGAAAGTCCGATGGCGTAGATCGCGTACTCTCGCCTGCAAGAATAGAATGATATGTCTCTGGTCACCGCAGCTGTCAGAGACGGACACAACTCCGTTTATGCCGTGACTGTCTGTTGGCAGCACCGCTCCTCTCGCTCGCCCGTCATATTCGCTGGCTCTGAGGACCGAGTGCGAGCTTGACGGTTGTACCATCGATTTTGTTACCTTCAATGCTGCTTCAGATACGCAGTTTTCTACTCGCTGGCTCAGTTGTCCGTAGGCTGTCGCGCAACGAACGTCTCAGATACAGACTTACGAGTCATTGAGGGAAGGGCATACAGATTTCACACGCTGGGTCTTCAGGGCGAGGCACTGTGTTGCAGAAGATCTGGTATTGCAGACCTAGGTGCGGTCTTCTGGTCATACCCACCGTCACCTATGCCGCGCGGATAAACTGATACGTCCTTCTTGCTCCACTATTTCATCTCCCAAAGAGAAGATATGCCAGAAGCTCCCAGAATCCTCTTGTGGACAATATCCACTGATTTGTCGTCCTGATTCCTTCTGTTCTCTGTAGAAAAACGATGTCGATGTGCTTACGCCAGGGCAACAGTCCTTCAGTAGATCGTACCCGGCCTCTATCTCATCGATATCGCGGACCCAGACGCATCGAGGACCCAGACGCATCGAGGACCCAGACGCATCGATGTATAAAAGCTGCGGATTCTCGTGGCCCTTGAAGACAGACGACACTGTCAAGAGATAGTAAAACTCTAGAATTTCTTGCTGTATGCCGCATCACCATGTCCGCCTGGGCATGCACCGTGGACTCCCCGGCCCTGCCGACGAGGCATCTGCTCAAACCCGACTTAATTCTGCTCAAACTCGACTCAATCACCCTCACTTCCGCTCTGAACACCTAGCCTTCTCTTATTCCCCGACTACACTCACACAAGCGATATTGGTGTGTTGTCAGTCCCGCGTCTCCACCTGCCGTTTCCATCCTCTCGGGTCGTTCTCATACCCTCCTGAGCTACACTCTCAGCGCTCGTCCCGCTGTCCGTTGCATGGTCAGGTAAGTCACCACCCTAAAAATTCGCAGGGGGGAGGTTGTCCGTACACTCCCACCAACACCATTCAAATGGACAACACCGTCGTGGTCCTATGACCGATCCGCCCGGAGTCATTCTAGAGCCCATGCAGCAGCGTGTTCGAGGCCGCTCGCATAGTGAAGAAGCAGCTGGTCGCCACTGAGACTGTGCGAAGACTCGCTGCATCTCTGGAGGACTGAATGGGGGGTTTGAACTGGCCTAAAGTTGCGCTACCAGGGTTCATCTCACCACCGAGCGTGAAAGTGTAGATTCTGTTTCGCAGCTTGGGCAGAGATGAAGCTGTGGTGGCTTGGATGCGCTGCGCTCGTAAGTGGTCTGCGGCTAGAGGTTCGCCGTCGGCGGTGCGCTGGGCTTGTGGAGCTGGAGCTCTGGCGGAGCGAGGCTTGGGATGAGTGTACGGCTTGCTTTCTTGATGGCGAGGCGGTGGCAGACTGAACCAGGTTCTGGTGTGGTAGAAGCTGGAAATACGGTTGAGCAGGTCAGATTGCTGTAGCTCGGTTCTGACGAGGAATGCTAGTTGATCGCACTTGCATGGACAGTTGTTTGGCGTCTGAGAGTTGAGTTTTGTTGAGGACGAAGATGGGGATGCCAAAGGGATCATGCGGGCCTTCGATTACACCTATCGACAGGCAAGCAGAATTCCGATACCACGGCAGCGTGTCGGCTAGGATTCGGGTATCTCGGGGGAGGCGATAGCCAATGTCCGAATGTCGAGGGTGTATATGTGGATTGAATATCGCAGCTCAGGCGGTAGGCGCAGGCGTGGTGGACTAGTAGCGTTGCGCTAAAAGCTGGGAGATGCCTGTATGTACATGCCTGGAAGGGAAGAAGGCGAACTTACGGAGCCTTTGCGTGGGCGATATGTGGCTTCGCATCGAGCTTTTTCGACAAGTGGTTGCTTTTTGGCCATGTTATGGGTCGAGGTCTTTTTATGCGAGTAGTACACATGTGAGTTGACGGAGTTGACGCGACTACTCGTGAGAATGGAACCCTGATTTGGTTAATTCATCTTTGGTGCGAAGAATAAAACGATAGCAGACTCGATGAGACGCATATTCAGAGTCAGCGTCACTCGGTTCTAAAAGCCGCGACGGCTTTTGAGGAAAGCACTACCTACACCATTGTGTAAAGGGGCCTTCGAGACAGAGCAATTCTCAGTTTGTGGGAGGACAACAATTTCTTGCTTACTGTGCGATTCATGAGCATATGTCCGTTTCGTAGTGGTGCGAGCGCGTCACCTACATCCTACGCAATTCACCCCGAGGTCGCGTTTCCGGGACCATCGTCACCCAGCACGTTTGTATCCACTTCAAATCGTGGTCACGATATCCACCTCTGCGTCTAAAAGACTGATGGATGCAGCCTCTGTCTCCCGTGCCACCATCATACGCCTGAAGCCAGAGAAAGCTTCCAATTGAAAATCTTCCAGGTGCTTGGCCGCAGTATCGTAACAAGTCAGAGAAATCTTGACCGTAGTAATCGGCTTGATCTGTGTGGGTATCCTTTTGACCAATTGCGCATATTAGCGACGTGTCCAACCTATATTTAACGTTCTTTCAACGGCGTATGGTGTATCATCTCGAGCTTATGATTGGAAGTTCATACTCAGTTGAAACGTCCTTTCATGTGGTATTGATGCTTCAGTTGGTAGCACTTTCGCACGGCTGTCAAGTTGCTGTTCACCATCGGAGCAAAAGACATCTGTCACTCCGTGACTTATTAGGTATATACCGCAACATGTTCACTATTGTGGAAATGCATGCTTGTGCATGCAAATATGTATAGGAACGTACGGGAATTGAAAATCGATTCAGGAGCATGATACTGACCCTCGGAGGAAGTGTGTGCTTTAGTAGTCTGGGTACTTGTTGGAGTTAGGTTCTGTGTGAAGCATCGCGGTGACTGACCACTTGGGCACCAACATCGGTAGTAAGTTGGGTCTGAATGCAGGAGGTATGAGAAGTCCAAAACCACTTGTTGAGGGGATATGGTTGCTCAATGGTTGCTCATAGTCGGAATTTAGGCCTTCTCGGTTGTCGTGGCTCGTTTTTATTGGTGGACCGCTGTTCGTACTCTTCGTCTGCAGCCTCACTTTTGTTGGCGATATAGACTCTGCGAAGGACTCAACACACCACATAGATCATGAGTGCCTGCCACATATTTTATTCACATGAGGCGGGATTTTGCGTCTCCCAGGTAGGTTATACATAAGTGAGCTCGCGAGGAGAAGCTGACTGTTGAGCTACTACACAGGATTTACACGATCAATGCCCCCACTACGCCCACTCCCAAACGATCGCTACAAAGAAACAATATCTACTACCACTGTTTGTGATGCTCAGAATATTTTGTCAAAGAGGAGTGCACTAGACGGACGCACACTGCCGCTTCTTCCCACGAGAGTCTCCAGCCGCATTCTTTCGAGGAACTGGCGGCGAGACGGTGTTTGGATGTGCCTTCCTCAGGTGCACCTTCAGCGCATCGCTACGTTTGTATGAGCGTTGACACCCGAGAACCTCGCACACGACAGGCTCACTGTTCCCATGCAAGCTAAGTCTGTGTCGACTAAGATTTCTCTTGCGGTAGTCGCCGATGAAACGCTCCGAGCAGATATTGCATATCAACACTGAGGCCTCTGCACTGACACAGCTTAGCGAAATTTGATGGTCAAGACATATTCACCACCAACCTGTTATGAGGAGATGTCCCCGCCGAGGACGTGTCTTGGCCCATCGATGATTTCGGGGCACATGACCCATTCGACTGCAAAGGGACCTGACTATTTGAAGAATATCCCTGGTAAGCCTGGTATGATTGTGCATTCAATTCCGGAGAATCGTGAGACGTATTTAAAAACTGGATGACCGGTTAGCATCCGTCTTTCCAGCCTTGCGGTTGGCATCAGCAAACAGCCCTCACCGAGTAGCGTGTCATCACGTTCGGCAAAGTGCGAGATAATTCAAGGCCGCCATCATCCTCAACATCCACAACGCATGGAAACATGATATCCCACTCTCCAGATATCGGAACCAAGAAAGAAGAAGGAAGAGCCGACATAATTGATCACATCGGTTGAGTTGCATACAACAACTCACAACCGGTCGCAAAGCTGTTGAAGTATCGTCCAATATCCTCGAGGACCACGACATATCTAAGCCTCGTGGCAATTGCAGAGCTGTCGTGGCAGGCAAGCAGACTCTAGGTAGGCAGCATGTTTCCCGAGGGGGGCATACCCGCTACGTTTAGGACCAATAAGGGTCGGATGACAAGGTTATGGCTCCCGAGAACTTGATACTGTTGCGATGTAAAGGTTCAGTATCCAAGCTCGATGACAACGCACAGATCCCTGCAATTATTTTCGACGACGTGGCCATCGGTCATTGCAGGGACAGCTGCGACTCGACAACCATGCTGACGGTTTTGCAGATGGAGCTCGAGTGTCGAAAGCAATGCTACAAAACAACGTATAAAGGAAGATGCGCGAAGGCTGCGTGGTGGTGGACAAAGGAGGAACAATACTGGGCTCGTACATGCCTCTTGAAATTTACAAAAAGACAGGTCGGGATACAAGGGTAAACACGCCGGATTGCAAAAGGGTGCAGTTGCAAAAGATGACGGAAATGACAAGGAGGCGCAGCGTAGTTTCCAAGAACCCGAGCCGCTCAGCCCCTGTCCTAGAGTTCAGCGCCTCGCTTGAACAGCCAAATCTGGTCAAGTGTGGAGGCGGGACAAGGAGGACTCGAACAACGCCAATCATCGACACCTGTGCGCTGGCACAGCACAACAGCGGGAGACAGCACACGGTGCGAATCGCGCTCGACAGAGTTCTTTCACATTGTGAATCAAATCCGTATTGAAAACAGCAAAGCCGCGACGACTCTTCCCTTCACATTCTACCCCGGCGCGAGGCTGGTGGAAGAGCGAGGATCGTGATTCTTGGCATACAGCCTTGCATGTTGCAACGAGAGTTGGCAGAAAAACGAAGCACCAAAGGGGCGGAAAGAGTAGCTACAGACACTCGTCGTCGTGCATGTGTATGTATCACGGCGCAAGCTGTACCGTCGATGCAAGTAGGGCGCTAAAAAGCATATTATGCACAGCTGATTGCATAGCATATAAGTCACGCGTGGATTGGAGAACTATATGGATAATAGAGAACTGTACAGATGATAGAGAACTGTACAGATGATTGAGATTACAGGGCATGGTGAGTACGTGACTTCGACAGGGGCAGCGGAGCATATTAGAGGATGTAAAGGACCCGGCCATCATCTCAAGTTGTTCTTGCGGCGGGCTTCTGTCGGCCTCGCTGGCATCTCGTGTTAAATTTTCACTCTGTCCGTGCTTGAGAGGTGAAGAATGATGTTGACGCTTGCATCTATGTAAGAGTGAGCAGATCGCTTCGAATTCGGACCGAACACTGCGTGGAGAAGCGCTCAAATGTTGCTTGCTTTTGAAAGAACACCAGATATCTTCGGATTGAAGACTTTCAAAAAGGAAAGATGAACTGAAATCGCACTAGATCTGAGCAGAAACAAAATGCAGGACACTCATCTTACTCGAAAGGAAGACGAGCTTTTACGTGACAGAGAAATAAATGCTACGAAGATCGGTCTTCGGAGTTAATACAAAAAGCAGATAGGAAGTAGAGGCTTGAATACAGATTCAACAACCCAGTAAATCGAGCAGGTCCAGACACGTCAGTGTGCGGCTATCAAGAGATGCATCTTGACGCACAAATATCAGATGCAAATCCCATTTCACAAGGACAGCAGGCTAGTGATATCGTCCGGCTATTTTACGGGCGCTGTGTGAGTTGGGCTCAGTAAGTGCTGTGATTGTGCCCGATTGTAGTAGGACGATTTGCAAGCGCTTGCTCCGTCTGGGTATATAACCGTGCACTCAGAATTACGACCGCATCGCAGTTGAGCTGTGCTGAAGTGGATTTAGCCATCAGTTTGATGTGCTCAATGAGCGAGAAAGCCAGTGAGCTTGTGATGTTCGCCGAGCACTTTGCACTGCAGGAAAAACTGTGTCGCCTCACGATTTGACACCATGTTTCATCTCCGCTTTTTCGACGCGCCCGACTGGCTCTCGAAGGTGAGGCGGATCATTGGCTTGAGCTTAACTCAACGACACAGAGGTAGGCACACGAGATTTCCAGCGCCTCGCAACCATCAGACGAGTTGTCACCACGGCGCTGACTCTCCCTTGGAGTCAAGTCGAGCTGTGACAGTTTTGGTAGAAGCTGTGTCGACCAGCGACCGAGAGTAGTGAAGTGTAGGACCTACACTGCCAGCCTCGAAGATGACTTCTTCATCCTACTTGGCCTGGTCTTCTCAATCGGGATGGTCTCGGACCAAGCAGATCAAGATGCTTTTTGCCTTCATGGGCCCTAAGTGCGTCACTTCTTTTGTAAGTACGGCCGCAACCAAGTACCATACATGCATGCAGAGGTGCAGTATCGTCACCATGGGTGGTCCGCGTATGACGTGTAAGGTTGCGTCTACGGAAACGTCCACTGAACGATGTGTTGCACGTCTCACAGGCTATTGTCTGACTGACAGATGTTAGAATGGCAATCGATATGCATGAAAGAAATACATACCTTGGCGTACCCGATGATAGTGACCTTCTGGAGCGTCTTGAGAACGTCGAGGTAGCACTATACTGAGAGTCACCTCGTTCCATTGCGGCAGAAGTGTTGGTGGATCTACCGTCTAAGTGCTGCAAGCCAGGACGTCGAGAGTAATGCAAATTTTTGTCATGGCCGCCGTACTGATTAGATTGTTCATGAATAGGAAAAGAGTATGATTCTGCTTGGTACGGGGGGATGTTGGACGGGTAAGGGCTTTCGAGATAATCATTCGTTGTACCAGAAAAATTAGCAGAGGGCAAGAGACTGGAGGGTGATGCCCGTGCAGCAGTGTGAACGGAGCTGTGACTATCAGCTGCAAATCCACCAGTGGTCATGGCGTTGGTGTACGCCATCGCTGGAGATAGGGCCTCCGCGAGGCGGTGTGGACCTGAAGCCCGATAAGCGACTCCGGCTTGTGCAGGATAGTCATCTCTCTGTGGTAGGCGATGAACAGGTGCAGAGAGACTGAAAGATGGACATGGTATGTATGCATAAGGAACAGGTTTCTCAGCGGTCCAGCTTCGCGCCACAAGTCCTTGCCGAAACTCGTGCTGGACAGACATAGCGCACGAACTGGGCACGTTGTCGTATTCGCAATCCAGATGCCAGTGTAGTTGAGACTGGCCGAAGCTGAACTAGACTTGTGTCAGTTTACTGACTGTGTATCCAACCTCAGACCATGCCCTCTTGCTCAGCTTACAGTCTCATTTGGCCTAGCTACGGCGTCATTGCTGTAGCCCGACTCAGATCCAGGCTGATCTCCGCAAGTATAAAGCAGTCCCCGCTCTGGATTTGTATCGCGGTATCCGTCGCATACCGAGTCTGTTTGGTCGAATGGCGTGCACATCTCGAGCTATTAAACAGGTCGGAACGTGGACTCGAGCATCGAGGCACCGCTCACACTTATGGGCCGCGCGAAAGGGACCGACCGAGGTGCCTGATCAAAAGCGTAGGGTATCAGCTTTCCGTCGCCAATAGAACCTGTTGCCTCACTCATGGAGCCTATCCGCAACGTGATTCAGACGTACCAATGATCGTACGGGGCCTCGAAGGGCAACTGCTTCGGATCGCGGTCATCTCAAGCTTTTTAGCTCTGTCGACTGCCTGCAAATGCTTCTCCAGGGCCTGCGGTATACGTGTGTGCATAACAGAGGTCGAATCACATCCGACAAGCTGCTGTGACCGACGGGGCGTCGAGGAACAGTGTAGACGTGTCACTTCCACCGAACCGAGGACCGGGGTTTTGGCGGCTGTGGCCATGGGAGGGCTGCATTCACCTATTTCCAAGAGATGCAGAATAGCATCACATAACACTTTGCCAGCCGCGTTTCCAGTCAGGTTGTGCAATCTGGGCAAGTATCTGGACGCAAATGGCGGATGCACGAGGTCATGCGCCTGCAAAGTCGCCTGGGGTCGATTCTGCTTTCACTCAGGCCTCGATCGAAAGACAATTTGAGGCGCCCAATTCACTAAAGCAGCGGCTACCTATCGCCACATCTAGGAATATTATAGATCGCCGTTGAAGCGTCCCGCAGCTGTGGGAAGGCATGCAGTAGCGTTGTTTTGTGGAGACGGGTCCTAGCGCACTCCGAAATCCCACCCCACTCTTGAGAATCACCATGTGCCTGACGGTTGAAATGGCGCGGCGTATGCGGCAAGACCTCGGGACGCTGAGAATGGCGGGCGAACCGAGAATCATTAGTGAGGATAGGCTGGCGCTCCTGCACGCCAACACGGTTTTCGTCTGTCATCAATCATTGCGCCTGAACGTACCGCGTCAGACCATTCTTTGTGAGGACCTCGCAGACCACTGTGGCCTGGCGTGGAGCCTACATGCGAGACTTTTGAAGCAGGCAAACGACGGAGAGCCTATGATCCTAAAAGCAGGCCGCCGCGACGCCAAAGATGGGGGTTCAGGCAACCAATGTGCAAACCAACAAGCCATCGAGGAAGGACGATAAGTGTCAGATATGACTCGCGAGGCAAAAACTAAACATACTCTGGTCCCGCGACGTCGCACATTAGCAGTCTTATACTGTTATACAATGGTTGGGGTTAATACCCGGGCCGTTGTGATGCAGCTATCATCATATTACTCCCCACAAATGCACCTTGGTGTCCGCTCTGCCAACCTCATGTCAACACGTCGCCGGAAAGCAATAAAGTCGGCTGAGCCAGGCATTCATGCATCGGGACACTGTATGGGAGTGTGGCCGAGTCGATGTATCAACGCCATACCCAGCCCACCCCTGCGTTACGCTGGTGTCGACGTGGCTACATTGTCCCGTTGTCATCAAATTGCCTGCAGGAAGAAGGCAAATTTGGGCTTTAGCTGGGTCAATTGGTTGTAGAGAAACTATATGCTGCCTGCCGTACGCGCATACCTCATTATGTGCATGCGCTGTACATGAAACCCGCCTTACGGCAGCATGAAGACACTGTCCGCCATGACAAGGTGCATGGTTGCAGCATTGTCGTTGTCACTAGTTGCACGACATATTGTGTTAGGTCGGCACCGCATGACAGCATACACACATGTCAAATATGAGGCCGAGCACTTCCTTGCTGATTGCGTATATGGTGTATTGATTCTGGATCGCATTTCATACTGTCTTCGAGAGCTGTGCAAGCTAGCTACACACGATACTCGTACATGTTGCTGCTTTATCAGCCTCAGAGCTTCGACTTTGCGTCCTCTGGCTTTGCAACTTCCACTAGCGTTTTGCCTGAGTTCTTGCCCTCGAATAGCCCGACAAGCGCGCTTTCCGCATTTGTAATGCCGCCCTTGATGATCGTCTCTTTCCTCTTCAGCTTGCCTTCTAACAGCCACTGTGCGAGCTCTTTCCTCGCCGCAGCGTACTTGTCAGCGTAGTCGAACACAATAAAGCCTTGCATACGGATGCGCATTGAGATGATCATGAGGTAATTCTGCCTCTGTCAGTACCTCTACTGCGTGCAAGCTTGGATTACGTACCGAAGGACCTTGAGCCTTCTTATTGTTGTACTCGCTGATAGCACCACACATGACAAAACGAGCGAACGGCTTCGCCCTGGCGAGGGCCATATCGAGAATCTCTCCACCGACGTTGTCGAAGTAAACATCGATGAGGCCCTTGGTCGCCGCCCTGAACTTGTCCTTGAACTGAGGATCCTTGTAGTTCAGCGCCTCATCAAAGCCAAGCTCTTCCTTGAGCCACGCGACCTTGCTGTCCTCACCAGCAAGACCAAGCACCGTCGCGCCCTTCAGCTTCGCGATCTGCCCAACAACGCTACCAGTCGCGCCAGCAGCACCAGAAACAACGACGAAGTCACCAGCCTTGACCTGGCCAACCTCGGTGATACCAAAGTACGCTGTCAAACCAGTCATACCCAGGCAGCCCAGCGCATCAGTCGGCACTGCACCATGCGGCAGATCCAGAAGCTCAACCTCCTTCTCTGGCAGCACCGCGTACTCCGACCACCCGCACATACCACTTGCATATGTGCCGACAGGGAACTTCTTGCTCTTGGAAGCGACGATTAGACCGATACCGCTGCCGCGCATGACCGCGCCGATCTTAACGGGCGGAATGTAAGATCGTGTGGGGTTTAACCAGCCGCGCATGGCGGGATCTAAACTCAGGTAGAGCGTCTGGAAGAGGACTTCGCCATCTTTGAGAGACGAGGCGGAGGGGAGGCTCTGCTGCTTCGATTCGAAGGTCTTGCCTGCAATGATGGCGTCTGTCGGCCTCTCCTTGAGGTGAACGGATGTGTAGGAAGGCATGTTGATCTAACTAAGATGGAGAGGATGTGGTTTTGATGGAGTACTACTGCTCTGGAACTGGCTCGTATGCCAAGCTGGAGTCGGGCTGGGTTTTGCACGAAGGAGGGAAAAAGTCAATGAGACGGTCATGCGATGGGCAACAGCGACTTATGAAGGCTCGTTCAGAGTTTCGGCCGTATGAGCAGATTGCGTTACTCGACCGGTGTCGCGTTTGTGGGGTTGCATCGCGGAGAGAGCGAGCCTCGGTAAGTGCGGCGCTATTGCCCGATTGGGCTGGCTCCGTGGACCCGCACTCAGCCTCAGCCTCACGTGTTACCTCGTTGAAAACGCTTTGCTCCGCTCAGTTTCGAGACTTATAAGAGAAATGTATGACGTCTGTCAAAAGTAACACATCTTCCGACTCTGGTCCTGAACCGTTGACGTGATATAAAGAGGCAATACTCGCGCCCCTGACATCCTGCATAGCACTGTACCAGACCTATCAACAATCAAGTCAATTTCGGCCTCACAATGACATTCACACGCTTATCTAACAAGGTAGGAATGAAACCTATGCAGGTGACTGCTAGGCTCGAACAGGTAATCAACTCATTAGATCTTGGGTCGCTAGGCCATAGATACTTCATTGATTGTTGACGACTGTGCACCGTACACACGCTTTCATCTTGCTTGACAGTACATCTCGAAGCTGTGCAGCTACTGAAGATGCTGCGTTTGGTCAGCGAACAGAGTCGGCGTAACTACATTCTTGAAATATCTGCGCCTGGGACACCGTGCAGCAGCATGTTCACAATATGCAGCACGAGAGACGTCCCACGAGCCGCAACACCACAACAACCCTCAACGACAAGCGGCGGACAACGAGCGATTTTGGGGATGAGATGGGACGGATCAAGATGAAGAAGCCTACATACGATCATTTCCTCAGTGCTTCCGATTCATTACAGACGATTTATGCCTTGCCCACGCCAATGCCCACATTACTTCGACTGTCTAACAGAGACTCCCTCCCAAGACTAACGCGCTAGGAAAGCTGTTCGACAACCAATTCCTTCAAGCCCCCCAAAGCAGTCCGGCCTTGCCCGTCCTCTTCCCGCTGTCCACAATCCTCGCCTTCCTACCCTTCCCACAACACCTCGCCCAGTCTCCCGGCCACCCATGAGAGCGCCGAGTCTCTATGGCGTGATGCTTGGTACAGATTTGGAGGTATGACGAGAAGGGGAAGCGGGAACGATGGGCAGGGCGGTGAGATTTTGGGTGCTGTGGATGCTGGGTAAGGATCAAACTGGGAACGGGTGGGTCTTGATTCATATTGGGGGCAAATTGAAGCGTTTAGAGTTTCTTATGTTGGATGGGCGTGTGTGGTTTGATGTCGAGAATTGGAGTTGCAATAACGCCGTCTATGTATGTCAGATGGCGATTACTCTTCCATGGCATCGCCTTCCTCGCCTTCCTCTTCGCCTTCTTGTTCGTCCCACCAGAGCGTCGGTCCCAGACCGGCCTGGTTCATCGAGCCCTGCAAAAAATTAGCAAAGCCCTGCGATCACAGTTGGTCATACTTACAATGACTCTCCATGCTGTTCCCCGCTCATCAACGACTTCACCCTGTTCATTCCGCTGCTCGATCGTAGGCCTCTGGTCGATCCACTCCTCCTGCTCAACCCTGAACAGCACCGGCTCGCCCTTATCCAAAAACAGCTCTGTGCCATCCGAGTTCCAGACCCACACGTTCTCACTCTTCTCAAACCTGCTGTTCTCAAAGAGATTCTGGTACGGCACGAAGATTTCACTCGTAAAATCGAGATCAATCACAATGCCTTCAGGATTGCTGCTCTTGATGCGCCCATAGATGATTTCACCACGGAAGGGGCGGAAGACAGCAAGTCGAAATTCCGCGTTGATGTTGACGAGGCCTGTGCCATGCCCGATCAGGCCTTCTGTCGCGGACAGCAGGTCCCAGAGCGCGATGCAGAGGCCGACCCCGGGCACGACTTTGTTGCTATACTTGGTGTTGATGGCGTCTTTAATGGCTTGGGCTGAGGGCTTGCCGAAGTCGTGGGGCTTGATCTGGATCAGGTCTTGTATCGTGCTCTATGGGACATTAGCAGGCGTCGACGGTGGATGGATAACGTGGGTCGGCCCAGATTCGAACAATAGCAATATTGAGACAGAGCTTGAAGCAATTTCGTGCAAGACGTTTGGAAAGTATATACAATATGCCCTCAGGCGCATTGGCGCATGTGACTTCTGCGTGAGAAAGTTCGAGTAAAATGACCCGCGCCACCCAGCAACACTTACAAGAATGAACATGGTGGCGAGAGCCGAGGCTTCATGCTACGTTCTTTGACGAGAGAAGAATCTGGCGTTTGGTCACCGCAGCATTTCGGTGGTGACTGTGAAATGTGAGAACCGGCGAATGACGGTTCTTTCCTACCAGCAGAACGCGCTAGCGTTATCGATAAGGAAAAGATGCAGGTGCGGACCTCCGGCGCGTCTTCTACTTCAGTCCACTGCCCAAGGTCTTTTTACTTAGGAAGTACTTCCTGCTACTGCCTAGCACATAGCATGTGAATATACAGCCTACGGAAGTGCGCCGCTGCACCCACCACAATCCAAAATGACGTCGTTCAAATTCCCACCACCACCTCCGCCACCGCCGAAAGCCCCCTCGAACGACAATCAGCCGAGCTACGCGAGCCAACGAGTCGGAGCAGGACGTGGAAGAGGCGGCGATAGAGAAAGAGGAGGCGATCGTGGCAGGGGGAGGGGCAGCTCTGGTCGCGGGGGTAACAGCGTTGGTCAAGGACGAGGAAATGCTCATGGAGCACGAGGGGGCTCGAGAGGTGGCTATGGAAATCAGCATGGGGGGAGCAGTCAGCAGCAATATCAGCCTTTGCAGCTTGGTTCTTCTACCACACCTCAGCCGCAACAGGGAGGACAGCCACAGCCGCATATGAATCCTCAAGCTTTCGCGCAGGCCATGTCATTCATATCTACACCGGACGGCATGCAGTCTATGGCCGCATTTACGCAGCACATGTCTTCGACGACGAATGGCGCACCGCAGTACCAACAGTCTCCTCCATCCACACAGAGCCACGCACCGCGCTACGCGCCCGGACAACAGGCAGGCCAGAAGCGAAAGCGCCCTGAGCACAATATGAATGCGCCGCCTATACCGCCCAAGAAAGCACAGTCGGGGCCAAAGCCTCCACGAGCAAAGGCGGCGGTGCCGCCACCGGTGCCGAGCTTCGGCTTCTCGCTGCCAACACCAGCTGCCCTGGCGTCGAAACCAGACAGCAGAAGAGATCCAAAGAAGCGCGTCAACCTCGGCCTCAGCGAGCAGAATGTTCTGGACAACAGCAGCAGCGGAGAAGAAGAAGTCGACGAGGAGGCGGCATTCGCAGATAAGACCAAGGTCGAGGGCGTTGCATTCGAACACAACGGGGAGATGATCTCGCTGCAGACCGTCGCAGACGTGCAGGCATACATCAAGGACCGGCGGAGAAACTACCCGACCCAGCAACGTATAGCCGAGAAGATGCAGGAGGCTGCTGCGAGGCGCGAGCACGAACTCGAGTTCCTCCACCGCGTGAAGGGCAAACCCAGGAAAGCCGCAGCAGAGACGCGACCCGCGAAACCACCAAACCCCAAGCGACAACCGAAGAAAGTCGACACCAAGAAGCAAGAGGAACTCGCAGCTCTACGTAAGAAACTGCACGAAAGCATGATGGCCAAGCACCGCCCGCCCACGAACCTCCTCGGCGCCGGCTACGACAGCGAAACCGCCTCGGACGTCTCGAGCTCGCTCCTATCCGACTCGTCGGTCCTATCCGACTCGTCGGACGACTCTTCAGAGGACTCGGACGAAGAGGAAAGCGACTCGGACGCACCGCCAGAACCCACATCCTCCAAAGCACTTCCCCTGCCCATGGCCATACCGGCTCCAGCGCCCGTGTCCACGCCACCGAGCCAGGTGTGCAAGAACTGGAGTCGCAGCGGGAAATGCAGGTTCGGCCGGGGATGTCGGTGGGCGCACCCCCCCGCGGAACAAGGCGGGGTGGTGCAAGGGCGCGAGTCGGAGAAGAGGAGGGAGAAGAAGACGATGACGCTGCGCGAGAAACTGGTGGAGCAGGAGCTTGAAAAACGGGACCGGTTGGCACTCGATGTCATCAAGTACCTGGGCGCAAACGGGTTTTTATTCTAGGATATTAATTACTGTACGTTCGAATAGGACGCGGTCATTCGCCGATCACATAGGTGCAGCCTTCGGGCCCGATCCAGACTTGATGCACCTTTCCGGCGTCGACGTCCCAGCGCTGTCCTGGGCGCAGCGTCTCCTTTTTCGCGGCGGGGTCGTGTGGGTATTGCATTGTCAGCGTGCCGGAGAGGAGGAGGTGCGTTGTCTTTCCGCTGTGTTTGTGCGGTGGGTAGTGTGCGTTGCTGGGCGTGTCAGCTATCCGCATTTGCGTGCAGTGGGTAGTGGAGTGTGCCCTGTGTGCTAGCGTGGTTGGACTTGTTTTGAAATGACTGTAGGCGTGCGGGCTTGGTCTGCTTATTGCAAGGATGTCTCTCCTGGGCTTTGTGTCTTTGGGAGTGTGTCTTTGGGAGTGTGTCTTTGGGAGTGTGTCTTTGGAAATGTGTCTTTGGAAGTGTGTCTTTGGGAGTGTGTCCTTGGGAGTGTGTCTTTGGGAGTAATGGCTTTATGGGACAGCGATACGTACGGTGAGTCGGTCCATGTGAAGACGTGGTTGTAGCCCCACGAGCGCACTTCGGCCTCAGCTTCGCTACGCGATTTGGGCATGGCGTGGAGCTGATCTGCGGGTTTGGTGACTGGTGTTACCCGTCTCGACAAGAGTACAGGTGTGAATCGTCACGACGTGAAATCACCGACGATGTACTTCTGGTGCTCATCGAATGGTGATTTGATCTATGTATGCAACGCCTCATGTGGCGTGAAGTGGGGTTGCTCTAGCCCCTGGACCCTGAAGGCTGTGACGTCTGCGCTGTCAACACGCAGTCAACAGAGACAAGCAGGCACGCGCAGCAGCAAACATGGTCAAAGGTGCAACCAGGTAGTTATTCTAGACGGCTGCTGTGTTTCAATTGGTCGATCACGCGGGTATGCGGCTGCCAAGTTCTGGCTGTGGTTTGACCTCGCGGTTTCGTCAGGGCTGCAGACCGCCTGCGCCCACTTCAACGTGCACGCGGCGGCCCGCACGCACTTGACATTTCGCTCTCTCACGCTGCTCCGCTTGGACTCAGACCTCGCAACCTCTGTGTGAGCTGCTGGCGAGTTTGCTGGATATGTAAGACGTTTCTCGTCCCCGCTGCCACTCTGCAGCCCCTCAGAAGCTGTCGACTGAGGAGAAGCGCTGACGTGCATAAGCAGAGCTGAGCTGTCACCCCGGACCCCATCTATCTCGAACCTGCCACTACAGACTGCACCGCTACTCCACATCCTACACCTAGACATATTTCTCACTACTGCCACCTCAACTCGAGGACTGCCTGCGCAATGGAGGCCAAGACAGCTTCAACGGACCCCAAGCTGGGGACCCCCGAGACTAGTCAGCCACAGCTCCAGGCTGGTGGAGGCACCGCCACCGCAGCCACCAAAGCTCGCGAGGTCGACTTCCTCTCGCCGCTCGCCGTGAAGTACCTGCGCGCCATCTACGACGAGATATCGACGCGCCACAACCTGGCCACGCCCGAGGGCCAGATCCAATGGCTGACCCAGGAACAGCAGTGCTCGGGCGAGGATGCCCTGCTGCTCGGGGACGGCTCGTTCTCGCACTTCGCCGACTACTTCCTCTCGGGCTCCGCAAACGTCATGGGCCCGCCCCCTGCTCTCGACGAATCGTACCCGCTGTCCAACTACTTTATCTCGTCCAGCCACAACACATATCTGACCGGCAACCAGCTGTCGAGCGAGTCGAGCACCGATGCCTACAAGAACGTACTGCTTAGGGGCTGCCGCTGCGTCGAGATCGATGTCTGGGACGGCGACCCGCCCTCGAGCTCGAGCTCCGAGGACGAGGCTGAGCGCGTGGGCCAGGCAAAGGTGCCCAGGGAGAAGTCGAAGCTGGGCATCCGCGAGAGACTGGCTATGCGTCTGAGGGGGAAGTCGGTCGGCAAAGACGGCGAGCCGAAGAAGGAGGACGCTGCACCCGCACACAGTGGAGAGGAGCGAGTGACGCCTTGGCGGGGGGATGTTACCTACCGAGCGGAGCCCAAGGTTTACCACGGCTACACGCTGACGAGCGAGATGCCGTTCCGCGAAGTGTGCGCTACTATCCGCGACTACGCCTTCGCGGCCTCGAGCCTGCCTCTCATTGTCAGTCTCGAAGTCCACGCCGGCCCGGAACAGCAAGAGATCATGGTCGAGCTCATGACCGAGTATTGGAGAAACATGCTTGTTGACATTCCCCTCGACCCCGCCCAGCCTCTGGAGACCACCGCCCTGCCTACCTTGAAGGAGCTCGAGCGCAAGATCCTCGTCAAAGTAAAGCGCGGCCACTCCAAGCCCGCTCTGATCCCGACATCGAACCCCACGACACTGCAGGCACCTGCAGCAGAGCTCCAGAAGACCGACAGTGCAAACTCGGTCGCTTCGTCGGCATCAGACGATGAGCTGCCTGACGGACAGAAGAAGCCACCGAAGGCGAAGGTCATCGATTCGCTAGCCAGACTCGGTGTGTATTGCGGAGGCTACTCCTACAAGAGTCTTTCCGCACCCGAAGCCAGCATACCGACCCACGTCTTCTCGCTGTCCGAGAAGACACTCATGGAGGTGCACGAAACGGAAACTGAGGCCCTGTTCCAACATAACAAGCATTATTTCATGCGCGCATACCCAAAGGGGCTGCGTATCAACTCGGGCAACCTCAATCCCTCCGTCTTCTGGCGCGCTGGTGTGCAGATTGTAGCTCTCAACTGGCAGCGCTGGGACGGCGGCATGATGCAGAACGAGGCCATGTTTGCTGGCACAGGCGGTTGGGTGCTCAAACCAGAAGGGTACCGCAGCGTCAGCAACGCCGCTACGCAGAAGCACGCCATCGCACACCACAAACTCGACCTCAGCATCGAGTTTCTCGCCGGCCAGAACATTCCGCTGCCGCCTGAGGAAGAGGACCCCGAGGACTTCAAGCCGTACATCAAGGTCGAGCTGCACGTCGAAAAGTACGAAGAGCGCGAGGGCGAACCGATCCCCGGAAACGGAAGAGGCAGCAAGGCCGAGTACAAAAAGAAGACGCGGACGTACAGGACTACGGATCCTGACTTTGCGCGGGAGGTCGTCAGCTTCAACGGCGTGTATGGCGTCACAGAGGAGTTGACCTTTGTCAGGTAAGCCCAGTTTTTGATAGCTGTTCTGCCTCTCTTTCTCTTATTTGTCGGCCTTTCCACCCGGAGTCTAGCATCCTTGCCCCAACAGCCGACCGTCCGACGGCTGTCGAGCATCCTAACACAGCGCCACACATCTCGCCTACCTGATCGGGCAGTGTGCACAAGGATAAGTACCCCGAGGTTTCACGCGCGCGCCAGGAAGAGATTTGTCTGCTTCGAGACCGTGGTGTCGCATACGATCACGGACGGCAGAGACGTGCAGGGGTGACCATGTCGCCGTTATTTCCGTTTCGGGCATGTCAGCTCTCGTCACTTTCTCGTTTCTTGAAAGTCGAGAAGCGATGCGCAATGGTGGGGAAATTCGGAGACTTTGCTTTTTCCAGATCTGACACATATCCACATGGCTGGGGGCTGCATGTCACACTCGCGCCTGTTGACATGTGCCTTGCGCCGGACATGCAGTCCTGCAGCTCTGATTTGTTCGTCGCTTCGTCGCCTGCGTTCTTTCTTCGTTCTTCGTACATTCGCTACCGGATTTCCTATCCTGCAGGCTGGGCTCGCTAACACATTGCAGATTCAAGGTCATGGACGACGAGCGGCTGTCGGATGATCTGGCGGCGTGGGCGTGCTTCCGCCTCGATCGCCTGCGGTCTGGGCTGCGCGTTCTGCATCTCTACGATAGCAACGGTGTTATCTCCAAGGGCGTTTTGCTGGTCCGTATCGCGAAGACGGTTAGTCAGGCGTGACCTCCTACCTAGAAATCTCAGCACGCCGCCACACCATGCACACTGCACTGTCTCTCCTCCGGGCTTGAATATGCTCGCAGTGGCCGGCCGACGTGCTGATGCGATCCAGTTCTTCCCCCAGGGCCGCAAGATGGCGAGGGGACTCGGGTTCAGACACGATTCGCACTCGGACCGCTAGCAGCGCGACGTGCACATCGCGAGTTCAGATCCTCACCACCATTCCGCTGGAGCTAGGCGGCTCTGTGCACCGCATCATCCGCACCAGGGCCGTCGCGAGCACTCGTATCACCGGCACCCGCACCATTCGCACCACCGCCACCGCTACCATCTCAGCGAGGAGTAGTGTGTGTGCACCACTCCGGTTCTCTCCTTAACGACGTCTCGTAGACCGAGGCTGTAGCGTATCAATAGTTGAATGCCACCCTCGATCCTAGTCTCTACATGCCCCATTGCCCCTCCATGATGATGCACAGCCTCGCACACTATGGCGAAAAACGCCGATATCCCCAGCGTCGCATTCTCGCAGCCCATCATCCTCACACACGTCCATTTAATCGCAACGAGCCGTGTCTTTCCCATGCAGTCATGCGCGGTCCACGCTCGTCCCGCCTACACATGACGAGATACTCGGTAGACACGCACAATGGGCGGTGGAAGATGGATGGACGGGATGGACGGGATGGCGGGCGCGTAGATGTCGCGCGGCTGTTGCCATCGAGCGAGTGAGGGGACGGGCGCCAGCTGTGCCTGGACGTGAGCGAGCGCGACTGCTGTGTGCATACGCTGTTGTGATGCGGATCAGCGTCCTCTTCGTTTCTGCGGATCGTGGGTCTGTTATCACCCCGTGGAGATGTCGCTTCGACGGCAGCGCATGGCTATAACTGTTGATATACTGGGCAATCAGTGGATATCTGGCGGGCATCTACTTTCTTGCGGGATGAGTTGACGGCAGGGCGAGTGAGAAGACGGCGGTAGTCCAGCGAAGTCACGCGCTGAGAGCTACATTGAAACAGTGGGAAGATGCGGTGGCGCGGTGAAGTCACGGCAGAGTGACATGCTGCTGTGCTTCGATGCATCGTTCATTCCCCAGCCGAGCTGTCATCCGATACCTACCTGATGATCCTCACCCCAAACCCACCTAGCCCAGCCCATCACCTCTAACCGATCCCAGGAATGAGTCACCTCGTCAGTTGTCACACGACCGCACCTCCGCATCCCCACCTCCAATACATCGCCCCCGACTTCCGACGGCGGCGCGCTCGGCACGCACACCTTACTGCCTGAAAGCGGAATACGCCGTGCGCCACGGTCGCGTGCGCGGATGTCCCAAACGAAGCGAGCCGAGGTGCATCTAGACGGGCGCAGCAAGACTTTCCGCACGCGTGGGCAGGCGTGACACGGGATGATGGGGCGGGGAAGTGTGGCCAGCGAATGGGGCGCGTTGATGTCGGGGCAGAGGGGTCTGCGGTAAGGCGTGTGCGTTGGTGTCACGGGCGAGGAAGTGCTCCGGCTGAGCTGAGCGGTTTGCTATGGGCGCCGCATCCTCACCGCACAGGGCAGGGGTGGCAATGAGCGGTCTCTCACCGATGCCAGACAAGTGTTGCACAGCCTTGCTGGCCAAGACGGTAGGCTGCTGGACCATGCCTGACTCAACTGTGACGACGCCTCGTCACTTCGAGGGAGCTCGAGCTGGAGCTTCATGAGGTACAGGAGGTCAACGTGTGGAGGGCGCGTCTCTGGGTAGCCGTCCGGGCTCTGCTGCACTCCAGTGATGTGAGAAATGACTCGGTATCGTCTCAGGTATTAGTAATGCGCTCTGTCAGGCCGAGTGTACGGAAAGTCTGTAGTACAATGCAGGTCCGCTGTATACTAACGCGTTTGGCATCGTAATCTCAGCTGCGGAACCTTCAGACCGTTTGCCTGCAAAAGCGCCTACCCGGCTCAGAATCTGCTTGCTTCTAAGTACTGGTGCAAGTGGATTGTCAGAACGCCAGAAGACTTACAGCGAAGTGACAACATAATCTGCCTTGTGGGTGGAAAGAGGTCCTGCTAGCGCAAAGCTCTCTCGAGCCTGAGCTTAGCCTGGGATGGTCTTTGAACTGGGTGCATCTATGGTGCCTCACGTGCGGGTGTCTCAATAGGTGCTAGCCACCATGTGAATCGAAATGATATCATGAGACGCCTTTCGAGTCAACAAGACCGGCCCAGCACTGTAGTCTGGCATCGGGAACGCGTTGTGCGACACAGCCTCGCTGTGGATGTCTTGAGTCGTCAGTTGTTGCATGGTATCACATGTCCTTTCCAGATGAAGAAAGACTTGAAGCTTGATCTGTGGTCACGCGGGCCGCCCGAGATCTTTGTGCTGAGCATCGGGTTCGGTTGACCTCTTCCAGAAAGTTTGGGTCTGACGGCGAGCTGCGTATATGCCTCCATTCCCATCTCATTCAATCCTGGGAAGAGTCAACGGACCGTGATCGGTGATAAATTGTACTGCCGTTGACGCTGTTACAGTGCACACCGACAGTTGCTCTAAATATGTAACGTTGCGCGAACTCAAAGGTCGGTCCGATGAAGTCACAGATGGCCATCGCGGACTGTTTGGCGATGGAGCGAAAGAGGAAATACCGCCATGGTTACTTTACTGGCTCTCGCAACGCACCTCAATGGGTGGAATGAAGGCGGTTGCAAAGTAAGGTCTGGAAACGGGACGGCCCTTGCCTTGCCGAGTCTAGCTAACCGTGCGCCACGTTATTCGCGGGGCGAGGCTTGTGGTGCAGCTAGCTTCCCATCGTATCCACCCATTTTCTGCTTGCTTGTTGTGTCAGTCCATCTGCCCGGTATGCAGAAATACACCAATATCGTTCGGAACGATTTCGCAGCGTACTCAACCTGTAGGACGACAGTTAGCGCCTACCATCCAGAACATGAGAAGAGCGGTCTGCATGTATGGATCCAGGGAATTGTGAAGCAGGTCAACAATCGGACCGTTGGCAAATTTCCTGATGGTGGTACCGTAGAATCTCTGGTAGATGCAAAGGCCCGGTGTTTAGGTGCATGCAGTCGTACAGTGGACTCGCGGTCTGATGCCAGCTGAAGGAAGTTCAGAAGAGAAAACAGGATGTGAGAGCTGCTACGGCAGCGACAGGAACTGTTGGTGGCGCCGATGGGCAAGTCTCTTCAGAAGAGGCATTGATATCCACTGAGAGGTTATTGCTGTTAGTGACCGGGGGCTGGCCGGTATGCACTCAACACGAGTGATCAAAATAGAAGCTTGCTGTCTGAACAGGATGCGATTTGCAAACCTAGTCCTGTCTGCTAGTGTGTCTTTGAGTTACAAATTGCCATACACAGCATCAACTGCCGCATGTATGTAGATTCGATCGAAGGATGTCTCGGGGAAGGCGGGTCGCCTGCACGCGGAGCCGGCCTCAGCTCCCGTCACGCTAGGTAGTGAAGCTAGCAAGGTCAGGGAATTGACGTCGGTTCAAATGGAAACGTTCAGCACAAGCCGTTTGTCTACGCTGTAGTGGGGGGCGCAATGACATCTGCCAGCAGTCGGAAACGGAAAAATGACGAGTACTTGTTGTGGAGCCCAATTTGGGCAGTAGATCGAGGTACCATTGTACACATCTGCAAATCGTCACAACAGATGGAGCGACGTGTGGTACAAGCCTACACTTGCACTAAACCTCGCAAGTGAGCGAGTGCTGATCAATCAATGAGGACAACTCGGGTGAATAGGTTTGTTGCTGTGAGACTTGAGTTGAAGTGCCGTTGATGGTCGCATCGGTGATTGCGGGGCCTGTGTGTACGCGGAGGGTATTTGCAGGGAGGAATCGTCGCGTATTTTGGCGGCTGCATTAGCGTCAAATTCGAAGAAGTGATAGATCGCTTTGGTTCAGATTGGAGCCTTGCGCAGCTGAGTCTCCCGCACGTTAATCCAGATGCGGCTTGGAACGATCTGCAACCGTGTGACAGCAACGGCGATGGTCCTATAGTGAGACACATACACTGTAATGTTTGTCCCTGATCATACGTCGAGACTCGAGATGAATCCACTGATGTTGCTTCTCCAGACGCAGAAGCTGAGTTTGGTAGTAGATTTAGCCGGCAAAGGTTGTCAATGGTCGCAGCGAAGGTGTCAAAGTGCGCCGGCTGCAGCTCTGTGGACCAGGAATCGCGAACGCATCCCTGTCAATCTGACATGAAGCTATCGGTCGGTTGCCGGAGTGTTTTGAGAGGGTGAAAAGCAATTCGACGTTCCCGCCTATCCTGACATGGCGTTGTTGACCAGTGGCTTGCCGCGAGCCTGGGTAGTTGGTGGGACTGGAAGATGCACGCCTTCCCGGTCCGCGGAAGGGTGATACACAAAGATCCGTTTCCTCTGCATGGTGGAGGTACGTAAGGAAGATCCTTCTCGACCTAGTCTTGTGCCTCAGGGCCAGGCGCCACAAGCGTGCGTGATGCAGGGTGTGGTCCAAATTCGAGGTGGCCCGTTGTAGTGCTCCTGTAATGGCGGCTGCGGTAGATATAAATACCGTTTTCCCTTCGTGTCAAGACTTCACCATCAAAATCAATCCACTCCACACCATCAATCAGTCACTCTCTTGACAGACACTCGCTTCTCGACTCCAGTCTCTGTCTGACTCTCTACCGACAATCAGGACTGCCATGTGCCTGCGCTCTTCCATCGAAAGGTTCGCTATTCCCTGCATTTACGAGATCGAGGGTATAACCACTATGCCGGTATGTTGTTGTTAGGGATCTAGGATTGATCCACGTCCACAGAATTGACAATGACAGGTACCTGGTCGTCGCTGCCCTGCCTGCCTGGAGCGCGGAGACACCGTATGGGTCATTCCCGGCAAATGCTGCCCACAGTGCGGCACACCTGTCAACTAGACAGGCAATTCTTGTCCCGTATGTTCTCGTCGTGATGCTGTACCCGTCCCACGCTGACTTGCTCATCAGTATGCGGACGCTCAAAAGCTTTCTTCACACTTGGGTCTTAGTTGGCTTCGGATCCATCGGCGAATATTGGTAATGGTTTGAAGGATCTGCTGCATTTCAGCCCGGGCGGAGCATTGTTTGCATTTACTGGCTCGGAGTTAGATGTGGACACATCAGTGGCAGCGCGTGCTTACGACAACATTCGATCTTGTACGATACTGGTTGATAGAGAAACGATTCAGTTCACGCTCTTAGTGTTTGCCTCGCGGATCCTGTTTGCGAATCATTCGAGTGTCTTTGGTGGCCGTAGTAATTTGGTGGCCGTAGTATTGTGCGCGGTTCCTGATCCCGAATACTCAATCGCGTGTTGTCTCATGACCAATTCGAATGGCGCATCTGGAAGCTAGAGGATGGCTGATTTGAGGGCTTCAAAAGTGCGGCTGGAGCAAGCAAGATGTTGAGCCTGAGAGCGGAGGCTGTCGCTTGCGGAGGATACCAGGGCCATGCGGGTGGGAGAAGCTCCAGCTTGGAAATTCGTCCTGAGCCAGCGGGTGGTCTTGACGAGAGGTGCATGATTGATAACAGAGATGTAGGGGAGGTAGCCAGATAAGCCAACGGATAAGTGGCCTGAGCAAGAACGGTGTGAGGGGAGATGTGGTGAGGTCGCCGGCGATGTTTTCCCTTGGTCACGACCCCGAAGGAGCGTCGCGAAGAAAGTGCAGCGACGTAAACAGGTCTGTCCCAAACCGTCATGTAAGCACTATCGCAAAGAGAAGAAACAAGCGCGAGCACAATGCACGTAAATCATGGAGTATAATGTGAGCAACTCGATCTTCACGGGTATCTCTAAACCCAAAACCCATGTACTTGAAGTAAACAAAAAGCAACGTCCTATGCAACTCCAGTCATAAGTTGATGCCCAGAGCGCCTTGCATCGCACCCAATGCTTCAAACGCCAGATGAATATTTTCCAGACCCGGTTCTTATGCAAAATGTGTCATGACGGTCGTAGCAATTGTGATTCCTCCTACTGCCTTCGTCTGGTGGACAAGATTCTGGCCCATAAACCTTCTTTCGTGTCGACAGCCTCGTTCGTATTCTCTCCTGATGGTCGGCGCAGCAACGAGTCCGGGGACGTAGCCTATTTGTACCCTTGTTGTCGCTGTTGGGTTTGACGCTGCTGTTGTGGGCGCTGCTCCAGTGGACGCGGGTTTTGTTGGCGCTGCTGCTGTGTCATGACCCACTTCATCTTGTCTCTTGTCTCTTCTAGTTGCTGCACCAGTCGATCTGCTTCACGCTCCTTCGTTGGGAGTGCCATCTTGAGTTTCTGTGCTTCCTGGACAAGATGGTCCATATCTTTTCTATGTTCCTTCTTGTACTCCTCCATCAAGTTTATGACAGCGCCTTCAGAGCGTACGGTTCGTGACATCTCGTGGTGTAGTTGGTCGCTAACGACTGCTTGCCGCTTGATCCTGTCGGCGTCTTGGAGGCGCTGCTTTCGTAGCTCATTCATGCTCTCGCTTATGTGTCTGATCTTCTTCTCATAGCCCTCGGTCATGCGCTTGAAGCCGTCTCGCGCCGTCTCGAGCTGGGTGTCTGCCAGAGTCTTCATCTCGTACGCGGTGGCCAGCTGGCGCTGAGTCTCTGATCGTGTGTCACCCAGCATCTTGAGAGCCTCTTCTGCCCTCCCCTCTGCCACCTTCCTCCTGTGTACCTCGGCGTCGAGCAAGGCCTTCATCTCCTCCAGCTTCCTATCCTTGCGTTCGATCGCTCGTACGTTTGTCTCTGCGAGCACCTGCAGGTGCTGTAGCTCGGCTCGCGAATCTTCGGCCTTTGTTTTGGCGGCTGCGATGCGTGTGGTCTCATCTTCGCGCGCCGCCTTCTCTGCCCGCAGCTCTCTTCGTAGGCGATCGTTCTCAGAGGTGATCTTATCGATGTACTGAGAGGTCTTGGAGTTGTTCGGTGTGCTTTGCGGGTTGCTGTGCGGATTGGGACGGGCCCACTGGGAGCCCGGCGAGACTGGCGAGACGGGTGCGGCGGCCATGTTAGGATTTTCGACTGCGAGCGGGCCAGAGAAGTTTCGATGCGAAGTGACGGACATGGGTGCGACGGGTGCTTTGTTGCGGTGGGCGTCGTCTCTGGTACCGAAGTCCCCGTTCATGTCACTCCCGCGGCTGTATTTGGCGACAATGCGAAAGTTAAGCTCGGGAAGTACAGGTGCTGATTGTTGCACTCAGATGTCAGCATCGGATGAGTGCTGCGAAGAATGGAACGCGCAGAAATAAGCAAGCGTGGTGTATAAGAGCTGTTTATGCCGCGCTTGAGGTGACGGGTGATGCGAAGCCGTGTGTTTGGGCGCTACTTACCGATCTGGCCTAGTCCCGGCGTTGGTCGTCCCTGCCTCTTGACAGCGGGAAGCGGAAATGGTCGCCATTTTGACGGGCGATCGTCTGGCGCGGACATCTGAAGATTGGTGAGAATCCACATCTTGACAGACATCGTGAATGAAGGAGAAATGCAATGGAAAATACTTGCCAGTCAATGAAACTCAACGAAGGGTACAAAGCAATGCGTTGCTGAGACAGCTGCTCCTCGGGTAACATCCCTATCCAACGAAAAGCAATACTCATTAAACACTATTACCACGACGTACCTTGCTTGCCACCAACGCGTTGGCGCGAGCCGTATCTGCTGCTTGTTAGCATCTTTGTGTAGCCGATGCTGTTCTTGCTGTTGCTCTTGTGAGTTGCTGTGACTGCTTCTGCTGATGCTTCTGCTGGTGCTGAACTGACCTGTAGTTAGTGGTTAGTGGTATTTCGGTGGGCAAGTCTGCATGAGAGAGAAGTTCCTGGTCGCTGCCCAGCTGTTCCTATTCACCTTCACGCAATGCTCATCTCCAGTTGAGTTGATGCTCGACGGTGGACGGACGGCAGCCAATCAGCGTCGAGTAGCCGTTTTCGTCCTGCACGGTGGGGCGGCACCCCAGCAACGAGATTTCTTTCGAGCATTGAGGTGTGCAACTAGCAATCTTTAGAGTTCATTGCATTCTGGCAAAATCCCATCCAGGGATCGCCCACTGCTTTGCGGTGAGAACGCCTTCGCTCCAGACATCAAGGAGCCTCGGCGCCTACGCAAGCCTTGAAACGGCGATCAGTTTCGAGCATCGAGGCACTGCGAACGGCTTCAGGGTTCGTCGCTGGAGGCAGGTAAAACGAGGACTGGAAGTTCATGCGCGCTTAGGTGGGAGACAGTAGAGAACGAGGGTTCACAGATGACCGTGTTCATGGTCGTGACTGGGAGGCGTCTGGTAGTGTTCTCGAATGTTGGGATTTGCACCTGTGATGACATCAACCCCGTGGCTGCAGGCGGATGACTACTCTAAACCCTATCACCAGCACTCAAAGATCGCGACAGTCATAACCCACTTGCAGCCCACGGAGCTTCTTGTGAGTATCCAGTAGTCGCTGATGGAATTTGCGGATTGCTGACTACGAAGTCGGTCTGGCTTGCTGTGAACTTTGTGCTTGTGGCGGCTCGGGGAAGGGCGACCCACTACTGCGGTCAGCACCGCCCTTTTGAGTCCACAAGCACCACGACCAAAAACTATTACGAAGCACAGGTGAAGATCTGCTTCCGTCCGCGAATTATGACCGTGTCATTCAGACATCGGTGAAGCTTGATATGTCAAAATTATGGTGTTGCGTAACTATAAAGCTGCCTGGAGCCAACGATCGACAACGCAGTGTCAGTTCAAGACAACGCCCCAAGAAACACACTACTACCCGGCGTACCTTATCAACCAGTCAAGAACCCATAACTTAAGACGCTCTCCGATTCGCTCGTTATGGGCACCACACGCAAGCGTGTGATTGTCGTTGCCTAAACCCAACCTTATATCAACCCCTGTATTCCAAGCAGCTGCAAGGCAGTGCCTTGCAGCTGTTGATCCAACATGGAAGCTAATTAATCGCACCCCCCTCCTAGCCCAAAACAGCGTGCCGGGGGAATACATCGTCTGCATGCCACCATCCCAGTTCACCAACACTGACCCCAGGTTGTGTATCTAGAACCAGGTATTGACCGTTGTACTAGAAAGGAAAGTGAAAAGAAGAGCATGGGTCTGATGAATGCTGAGCTGGGGAGATCAAACACCGCGAAGGAGCGGCTAACGTCCATGGGGCATAGGGACGATGGGGCTGTAGCTCATGATGCTCGGGTGATGAGGCGAGCAAGCTGAAGGAGAAGAGGGTGTGTATACTCGTTCAAGAACAAATGAAACGGATAACATTCCTTAGTATATACACAAGCCATGCCTTTTAGTCCAATTGCAGCTCTTACACAGTGTAAGGCGACTTCCTCAGATGGTTCTTGTTGAAGGGTTGCTCGCTCTTGATCTCATCATTGGCAAGTGCTTCGAGCTTGCGCTCGTTATCCTCGTATGCAAGCTTCTGGTACTTCTCGATGACGGAGGTCATGGGGACTTGGCTGCCAGCGGGCACGTTGTAGGGAGAGCCAGCGTTCATGATCCTGTACGAAGTCAGCCGCGCCATTGTCTTCAATCGCTCCAGAACAGCACATGTTGACTCTGTTGCCACAGATTGACCGTTCGCTGGGATTCCGTTGCGCCAGTCAGGTCGGTACGTACTCAGGGAACCTCATATCAACGTATTCCTGGGGCCTGGCGTTCATGAACAGCACGCGGTCCTCGCCTGCCTGCTCGACCATGCGTACGTGGATATCGTTTCTCTTCTGGCGCTTCTCCTCTGCCTCAGCGTACTTGTCCATCATGCGGGTGAGGAAGGGTCGGTCGCTGTCGGAGTTCTTGGAAACGAGGTAGAGGCCCATTCCTGCGGGAATCCAAATCGTGGCCCAGAAGAAACCACCTGGTCAATTGAGTTAGCAATTGCACTCATGTACATTTTCGGTGTCGCGCAGCGCTCCGGAGCGCATTGTGGGAGAGCAATGGGTGGGTAGGCGTACGTCCGAGAGATTCGTTCGCGGGGGCAGCGTGGCCGTGGGCGTGCTCATCGTGAGCATAGCGGCGGGACTGGCGCGAGAGAGTGGTACGGCCCGTCCGGGCAGCAGTCACTGCTATCCTGCGAAGCGAGTGCATTGTGTGTGGGGTTGCTGTCGGTGGTCGTGACGGAGCTCGCGATGATGCCCAGCTTCGAATGCGGCACATGCCGAGCGGGCGCTAAGAGCGGATGCAGACTAGTCGTCATCAGTAACACCTTCCTCATCACTCGCAGCAGCCTTGTGCCTCGTCCTCCGCGCATATATAACGATCAGAATTCGCCGCTAAAATGCTGCTTACAGCCAGCCATGACTGGCTTCGAGGACTTGAATGACGATGTACTGTACCTGATCCTCGACTACGTAAGCACCTCTGCAACAGCCCTGATTGGCCACTGACAGCAAGAAGTTGTACCTAGAGCGAGCTTCTGCTCTCCGTAGGTTACGGCTTACTTCTTCACGCTTGAAAGAATTTGCCGAGGCCGTAGCGCACAGGAGTATATCGTTAGTTGACGATGTAGTCCACGATCAATTCACCTACCGACTGGCCGAACGACTGACAGACCCCACTGACAAGTTATGTCACTACGTGCGGGATCTCCTTGTGGTTAACTTCAAGGGGGATGCAGAGAGCTACTGCCTCAACAACATCTTGATCGCGAAATGCCTCGAGCATGTGCAACGGCTAGACTCTTTCAGTTGGGATAGCGACACACCGATACCGGGCAAGACCTTGGACGTGCTGCGGCAACGATTCCCTCGGGCACAGCTTTACGCCAACATCAGGACAATCGATATGAGGCTTCTTTCCACGACACAACTTCATCGACTGGACATCTCGGTCCCGTGTCTAGATCTTTCCAACGAATATAGCATCTCCTTTTTTGGAGTTTTCAAGCAAGCGCTACTCCGTCTTGTCAGCCTTTGCCATTTGGGCATTGACACCCATTATAACGCCAACTTTGGTAAAAGGGAAGGTAGAGCACTGGATCGTCTACAGTTGCCCTTCGAGCCTGGTGATAAACTACCATCACTTGTGTCACTCGCTTTGCGCAGCAAGAGCTATGCTTTCGACACCGACCACTGCAAAATGCTGCATGCCGCCATGGACTGCGATAAGGTCCAGCGCCTGATTATTGGGTCTCCCAATCCCGGCAATTTCTTTCAGGTTTTCAACGGACACTTACCCCGTTTGACACATCTCGACGTCTCCTACACGTCGATTAAGGACGATCCAAGACATCGCCGTCTTGAGTCTTTGTCGATCTTCGTGGCTGGACTTGTATCACTCAAGAGTTTCGTATTCCGCTGTAATAACTTGGATCTGCGCGCAGATTTCGCTAGACTGCTAGCGGTCAGACATGGGCCCACGCTTGTTCGCCTCAGTCTGCAAGCAATACAAGAGAATGTTGAGGGTCCATCTTTCGCCGGCAACATCAGGACGTTTCTCTGGAAGTTCACCGACTTGCAGCTTCTCGACATGGCATTCCCCAGCATTCGAAGCTGCCACCGCTGTCCCGACTGCGAGGACTACCAGTGGGGGGTGAGTCGCCTTCTTAATCCTTTTGGAGTGAAACTGCGTCTAATATATGATAGGAAGCCAAACACTTCTCGTTTGTTCCTCCGCTACCAAGCCTACGAGGCGTTCACCTGTCCATCCGTGCACCCCTCCTGGACCGCTCACTGTACGCATCCATCGACAAGCATGCTCATTGTACCATATGTCACCTCTGGACTACCTTTGTGGAGCATCCAGAGTCGCAACTCGAGACACTGGGCATACGCTTCTGGAGATGGGCAATGAATGGGCGTCAGCCATGTGTCGAAGAGTTGATTTACGATACTGTAAGACTGCGTGGAGAGCTTTCAGTCAAGATTCGGCATCATCGTGAGATACCTGTAGTAATCTACAAAGAAGTCTGGGATCCATGGGATAGACAAAAATTCGTGGCATTCGAGGTCGCCAAGGATAAACGAGAGGCGGGCATACAGATGCTGTAGTGTCCAAATGCTTTATCAGAGTACAAGGACCCTTCGAGATGGGGTTGACTAACTTTCAGAACACAGGAATTTTCATACTGAGGCACCGGACGCTCTTAGGCTCTGCTTAACGCGGCGCGACGATTCTAATACTTCACCTTCAAAGTTGCCTCAGAGATTGTTTCACGGAACCTGGATCGGTCTGAGACATTTGAGGTCGGTGTGTTGTCCGATGACAAGGTTGCTCCGCGCAAGCTCTCCAACAACCGCTGCGCTGTCTTCAGGTGGGAAAATAGGGGCTACCACAATTAAGGCTACCGGAGCAAGCAACAATGAAGAAATTCACTTCACACATAGAACTAGAATCGGAAGCTATCCTTGTAGGGAGCCTGTATATTTCTGTTCATGTGTTGCTGATTAAGACGGCAACGGCGGATGTGGAAGAGAGTAGTATTTCAATGACATGAAAACCTGAATATGCGGTATGAATGCATTTGTCGAGCTCCTATCTAAGTAGTCATTTCATATTAGCGTCTTCTTGATATGACGTTCAAGGATCCGGTTAATCGGTCCCCACTTTCAGCCGGGCTTACCATGTCTGTGGGCGTCGCGTATCGCGGATAGCGTTTACGCGGCTGCCTATCTTGCTAACACTTGCGGGTCTGGACCCCTCTCTGTGATTGTCTACAAACATTAAGACTGTGTCACACAAAATCTTCACCACACTTGCCTTCTAATCCTACCCGCGAACCGCGTTTAGCCAAGGAATGGACGTTGTTCAAGAGATAGACGCTGCACAGAAGCTGCAGTAAGTTGTTGAGATTCTCGCACCATGTATGGTGACTGACTGTGCTCCGACGAGAGCTCCGCAGCCAGCAGAGAGCACTCAGGCGCCAGCACGACTCCGAGATGTGGGCTCTCCTCCAGCGGCAGCGACTTCAAAACGAAAATATTGCCGACAAGCTGTAAGCGATTGTACACACTGCAATAACACGAGCGACAATTAACGTTTCTGCAGCGCCACGTTCAACGAGAAGAACTCTCTATTCTTGTTCAAACTTCCCGCCGAGATCCGCACGATGATCTACGCGTACGCTTTAAGCGATATCGTAATTCGAATTAAGCCTACCAACACAGATCCTGACTGGTGCATTGAACGTAAGTCGACTCGAAAGGCTCTCTTCCTGCCCCGAGTCTGTCGTCAGATCCATCACGAGACCGCCTCGCTCGTGTTCAGCCTGGCTACCTTCCGAATGCCAGTGTACGCACTCGCGCCGTTTGTCGGAAGCATCGGAATCCCCCGAGCCAACAACATTCGTTCTGTGAGTCTTGAGCTACACAAAGGAATCAAATCCAACCGTGGGTATAGTCGGGCGGACTCGGGTTATAGCAGAGATGAAATTGATCAGAAAGAATTGCTCGCTGTCTCGGGTAATTTGAAGGTTCAGGGGAAATTGAACTGTGTTGAGTTTATTCACAATGCCCACATTGAAAACGTCCTTTTGCTATACAGTTCTCCCGCTGTGAAACTATTCTCAATAACACACAAGACTCTACAAGACCCTCGAATAGGGCGCAAATTCGCTGTCGACATCAACCTTGAGGAGATGAAGGGGAGGGATCGCAATCAATGGGTGGAGGAAATCGGTCCCAGGCAATAGTTCTTTTTGTCGAAAGAATCTCGGGGTCTCAGCGATGAGGAAAAAGGCTGGGATATTGGGGATCTTGCATGAGAATTATTGAGCAGATACTGGTCACGACGCAGATGTATGTGGTGCTCAGAACTTTCCGATATTGGGTAACCTTCTGAGTTAGAGAGGACTCGTGCCAAACCATAGGTTCTAGTGTTCCAAATCCGACTTATCATGTGGCCTTCTCAAGTGATCGGCCTATGAAGTGCGCATGCTTTCAGCTTCAGTAGCACATCACGCTTCGGGTCTTGTGTTTTGATAGACACACTCTAGCGACCAGATCCGAGGTGTTGAGATTAACCCAGATCTGAAGATGTGACGCGTCGCTGAGTGCTTACACAGTAACTTTCGGCCGTCCTTCATCGCGGCGCTCAGCTAGCGGTCCCGGTGCGATATACACTCCTCTCAAGTCTAGCTCTAGAAAGGAGCGCGACGCTGCCAGTCCACCTCTGCCTTGCCTGCCACCGAAGCTTCGAAAGAGCATCTACAGGTATGTTCTCGGCGGCTTTCAGGTAAAAGTCACCTGCCCCGCTATTAGAGGACGATCTTGGTTTGTTCACGAGTGACAACTTCTTCTACTTCAGCCGCAGTGACACAAATCATGAATTAAGGAACCACTTACCTACAGAAGGCCGAGGACAGTGGTGCGCATCCATGAGTCCTTCCGATGCTCTGATCGATGGGCTGAGGGGGAAGATCAACCGTGCTTGAGGCCAGTGAATTGACAAACGCGTTGAGAAGAAACGTTCAGCCAGTCAGAATACATACCATAGTCAATGCATTGCGGCGAAGAGTGTAGAATACAAGATCGTCTTATGGCAGTAAAGTTGATGAAAAGAAAGGTCACATTATGAGGAATGCAACTCGACAGGAGATGATCTTTGTAATCAAAAAGTGGAATTGCAGGGGAATATTTATCCCCATTTCTTGTGTGCGACATCTAAGTAGTGATACGTTCTGAAGACATCTAATTGTTCAGTATCACGAGTAGTGAAGCAGCTCCCTGCCCCGGTCATTACAACTGTCACTTCTGATGTCACATTGGAACGAGTGATCACAAGCTTCTTGCAATAGCTCTATGTGAACCACGATCCTTGGTGAAGAGAAGCTACTGGAAATTGCCCTCAAAGATTCTTGCGTGCATGCCTCTTTTACATTTCGGCAATATGTACACCCCCCTCAAACTTTACTCTACGCTCGAACACTGTTGCACCGTCTTCCGTCAAGGAGTTGCTCGTCTTGGTGGAAAGTTTTCTTGGGCAGCCTTGAGTAACTTTGCACTGTCAGCCCATCATAATGTGAAGAGTATAAACGACCGTCTAATCGTCCGAGTCGCCAAGTTCGTGGCTCTATTCATCGTCCAGCGCGTCCCCCTTCACACAGTGTATCCCCCTCCATGGGACTTGAATTAAGTGCGATTTTCAATTCGCACATCTCGGACCCCAAAATCCTTTAAGTACTTGCGGAGCCTTTTAATGTGCTGCTCGGACTTGCTGTCCCACACATTAATGAAAGCCACATACTCTAGGCTTTCCGGGCGAAGCAACTCGGGACCAATGAATATCCCAGGCACGTGGCTGACAGTAAGAGTGCCGATCGCGTTGGCCCTGAGGGGTCCAATACAACCCAGGAACTTTTTGAGCTCGTCTGAGAAAACGGAGAAGTGGTTCAGACAAAAGAAGAGCAAGAATGTCTCCTGATGAAGCTGGCGGCTGACTAGGTGAAGAGCGCAAAGGGATTGGTGCATGTCTTTCCCGCCTACATAGCAACTGCACCTCCACATGAGGGACGAAGTGTGGGGATATACGGTAAACCTAAGGTCGTGGCCGCCAATTGCGTAGGCGTGGATTTTGTTGCACAGCTCTGCAGGGAGGCAGAGAAGGGGCGAGTGCTTCCGGTTGTAGGCGAACCTGTTGCTGGATGTCGGTGAACATTAGGCTTCACCTTGATCAGCTACTCACAGCTTCTGCCGCATCTGCATCCGGTCAATACTCTGCTGATAGTACCAAGTTTTCTCTTCTGCACGAGGTGCACTGCAATATTAGACTAGCTCGATCTCACCTGCGCGTGAGCAGGCACTTACGCGAGCTCTGTGCTTGGGTCCATGCTGGCCGACTCGAGTTTGGTGGACTGTTGTGCGAGGCTTGGTTGTGTTTGGAAGGTGGTCGTACGGTGACGAACAGTGGAAGGGTGGGGAGAGGGCTTTATTTATAGTAGGGCACTAACGCAGAATATGTGGCAATATGTTGGCTGTGAGGGGGGTTCACTTCGCTGAAAATCTCAGTAGCAAGGAGAGTAAGTAGCTCCTTCGCCCTGTTGCTGCTTGTTGCCCGTCTCTGACAAGTGTGCGCATGTGCTGATAGCAAGATTTTCATTTCGACACTGTTCATACATGACGAGCCTTGTGGACGTGAACGGACCAAAAGACGTGCGCAGCTAAGATACTCTAGAGAAGCTGCGTTAGTATAGTTGTTGCAATCTCTTCTTCTTCTCTCTTACTGCGCTCTATTACCTTCATTATTACTGGTTTGTATGTAGCTGTTTTTTAGGGTTTACGTAGCTGCTTCTTTCTACTACGCACCTTCTACCTCTAGGTACCTCTACGTGCCCCTTTCTTCTGCACACCTCATTGTTCTGCACGCCTCGTTCTTCAGCACGCCTCCTCCCTCTACACGCCTCCTCCTTCTACACGCCTCCTTCTACACGCCTTCTTCTTCTACGCACCTCCTTCCCTTACACACCTCTCTTACTCTTAGGAGAAACCATATTGTGTTAACAACGCTAACGCTATTAATTAATCAAATTACCTGCTTCCCTAGCATAGGGCCTGATTGAAACAATTAGCTTCGTCCCTTCGTTCCTCAGCAGCGCAACAACCACACCCCTCCCCAACAAAGTAGTCGCATAATCCCTGCGAATGTCTACAACAGACCCTGCATCGAGATCAGCATAAGTCACAAGCTATTACAGAGCGATCTTACAGTCACAATATCGGGTGGAGCGGCATCAGACACAAGTAATAATACTCAGAACTGATTCAGCAGGCAGTAGAAGATTGAAGCAGGACAATTCGACCGCCCACTAGAAGAACAATGCGCCGAGTGAGCCCACCTTCGTCGGTGTCGTTTTGCGCCACTGCTCCTAACTGCTCGTCCCATGCCTCCCGCCTACATACATACTCGGGTGTTTTACCGCCTTTTGCTCGGTCGTCATGGCACTCCCTTCTGCAAGGATGCCCAGGACTGGCTGAAGTCCTTGAGACGAGCTTGTTACACGTATAGCTCAGCCGCAGTTGAACAGGTCCGGCAACACGCCATGGTTTGTGTTCGTGCAGATCAAGTCTCATGTCCGCACTGGCCACGGGACAACGCTGACGTGAACAGTAGATATACAGCAGACGGTCCCGTTTCTCCGTAAGGGAGCGGGGAGGACGGGTAGACGGTCTTGCTCTCCCATGGCGAAGCGGGGATTGTGTGTGTGGCAATTAGCGAAAAAGATGGCATAGCGGTAGAGCGCGAACGCAGCAAGCGCCCAACCCACTGAACGCGCACGAGCACGCACGCGCCCTGGAGAAACTGTTCCATACTCTACATAGGCCGTAGCAAAACGCCTCAACGCCCACATGTGCCGTGCTCCACAAGTCCCACGCACACTCCCCCCGCTCACTTGATCCGATCCAGCCTTGCCCTGTTCATAGCAATCTGATCGTCGACCTTATCCGTCTTTCCAATGATGCGGTCAATGTGCGTATTCTGCGTATCAACCTCCTGCCCCATCGCCCTGCCAAGCTGATTAAGCCGCTTGGCAGCGCCATGCAGCGCATCGAGGTTGGAATCGATTTCGTTCTCCATCTCGTCATCGTCGCTGTCGGCCTCGAACTGGTACTTTGCGCGCTCGGCGAGCGACGACTTGCCCGCGGGTCCGGACAAGCCCGCGGCGGAGCGGGACTGGTCGTCCTGGCGCGCCGACGACTCCCAGGCGGCGCGGCGCGTGGCGTCGCGGGCTTCGCGGTCGCGGTGGTGGTTGTCCATGATCTTCTGGTCGCGGGCTTCGCGGCGCGAGGAGGCGGTGAAGGGGTTGGAGACGTGCATGGCGAACATGGACTTGTTGAGAGCTGCGGGTGTCAGTGTACTGGATCAGGACAGGCATTGGATACGCACTCTTCAGCTCGCGCGCCTTCTCTTCGGCGATGCGGTTCTGCGTGGATGCAAGGTCGAGGTTGCGCTCGGTGCTGCTGTCTGTCAGTCGCGGCTTTGGTATGGTGAGTGTGTAGCACGCACTTGTGAATGCGCTCGCCCTGCGCGCCGAGCCTGGCAAGCGTGTCACGGCCCGTCTCCTCGGCCTGCTGGGCCAGACGGAGCGCGTTGCGTGTGCTGCTGACGTCCTGCTGCTTCATGAACTTGATCTCCTGCTTGGTCGCGCTGATGTCCTCCTCCTCCTGCTCCTCGGCCGTCAGCTCGCGGTCGCCATACGCGCCGTAGCCGCCCGAGCTGGCGCCGTAGCCACCAGGAGTCGCCTGTCCATAGCCCCCAGGCTGCCCGTAGCCACCGCCCTGCTGAGGCTGCTGGGGCTGCTCCTGCTGGCGCTGGGCAGCGTTACCGAAGAGGTCGCTCCGGTTGACGTCCGTGTCGTTCGAGTCGGTGCGGCCGAGGCCCCCGTAGCCGCCCGGTCCGCGTGCGCTCTGTTGCGGTGCAGGCGAGCCTCCATAGCGGTCGTTCCCGTAGCCGCTCTGGGCGCCGTAGCTGCCTCCCTGGGCGCCGTAGCCCGCGCCGGCTCCACGGCCGCCGCCGAACTGCTGGCCGGGGCCCGTCACCGCGGGCGTCTTGTCCGCGCGGAAGCCGTCGTCGGGGCCCGAGTACTGCGGCGGCGGCGGCTGTGCGTAGGGGTCCTTGCCCGGCGCGGCGGCGTCTGCGGTGCGTCAGCCTTGTCGGCCATGCTGCTAGGCTGCTGGGCAGCTGGGCTGCGACGTACATGGGTTGCTTGCTGCGGGTGCGGCCTTCTCCTTGCGGCTGCCAAAGAGGGCCTTGCGGCTGCCGGCGTCATCGCCGGTGTCCTTTTTCTTGCCGAAAACGCCCATAATCTCGATGTCGTGGTGGAGAGTGTCGAGTATCGAGTGTTGAGCGTCGACGTCCGAAGATTGAGCGGCTGCTGCTGCGGCTGCGGCTGAACAACGGGTGGTGTGGGGTTAGCTGTCGATCACTTGGGCAGCAACACCAAGCGTGAGGGTGGTGGCAGTCGGATGTCGAGGGCGGCGGTGTGTGTCTTGGAGTGAAGATCGAGGACCAATGATGGTATTTGAGAGTTGCAGGAGAGTGGCACGATGTTTGAGGGGTGCCGAGTGTCGCGTTCCATGTTTCGAAAGGGCGCCCAAGCGGACGCTGACGCCGCGGTGAAGGCTGAGCTGCGGCGCATGGGGTGGCCGCTGGGCAATGCATTGTGCACAGCACAGCACAGCACCAGACAAGACAATCCGGGGCTGCCAGACACATCTCGGCATGCATCTCCCAACCATGACATCCACCACTTCTAACGATACTAGGACCTGGAATTCCATAGATGCTCCGCGGCGCTGGTGGAGAGGAAGTGTGCGTCGCTGGTGTTCCTGGCTGGACCCTGCATATTGGCTATGGCTGGCTGTTGAACGCATTCACGCAAGACACACCCACAGTCCAGGCAGCCCGTCGTCCAATCATCTCTCGATTGCGCTTCTATGGGTATCTCAATGCCGATGCGGCCGTCTATGCAAGTCTGAAATCTGCGCCGTCAACTCTGCCATCAAATCGCCTACACCGTTCCTCCAGACGCCTGAAGTCGGTTCCAAGCCGTCTTTGTCCAAGTCGCACCGCCATCTGTTGCTGAGGCCAGTTCCTCGTCAGAGGACGGCAGTTCGTCATGCTCCTCCATGGTCCAGATCTCGTTGCCCGTCACCACTGGAAACGACGTCAGCACCCTGCTGATGTCGCCCCACCACACCTCGCCAAACCGCCGGTACCAGTCTACTGTGATCCTGAGCCCTTGGTTGAAATCCATCTTTGGTTCCCACCCCAATGCAGCCAGCTTGGATCCATCCGTCGCATACCGCTGGTCGTTGAAAGGCCTGTCAGGCGTGTGCTCCACCCATTCCTCCAACTCATCCGCGCTCTGACGTGGTATCCCGAACATGTCCAGAAGCCTGTGACAAATATCCGTGTTCGACACTTCATCCTTGGAGGCAATGTTGTAGACCTGGCCAATCACCCCCTTATGGAGGATCGTGTCCAGTGCATCGACAATGTCCCCTGCGTATAGGTATCGCCGTGTTGGTGAGCCGTCGCCGTGCACAAGGAGCTTCTGCTTTCGCTGTAGAAGCATGATGAACTTGGGTATAATTTCTGTGCATTCGTCAGCTCAGCATGTCGTCTGGGTACGAGTGACATACTCTCTGGGAACTGGTGGGGTCCGTATACGTTGTTGGCGCGCACCGTGATCAGCGGCAACTTGAAGCTACTTCTGTATGCGCTGACCATCATCTCCGCTGCCGCTTTGCTCGCCGAGTAGGGATTCGTGGGCGCAAGTATGCTTGCCTCGCTCAGATCTGCTGCGCCCACTGGCACATCTCCGTACACCTCATCCGTGGAGATATGTATGAACCGATTGATGCTGTGTTGCCTCGCTCTTTCGAGCAGGACATGTGTGCCGTATACGTTCGTGTTTGTGAACTGGTACGAGTTGCCGAAGCTCAGGTCGACGTGCGACTGCGCCGCGAAATGGAAAATGGTGTCGATCTTGTGCTTGCGGAGCACTCGCTTGACGTCGCTCGGGGATGTGATGTCGCCATGTTCAAAGGCAAAGTTCGGTCGCCCGTCAAGCATGCGCGTGTTGTTCAGTGTCGCACAGTAGTCGAGCTTGTCCAGGGAGACAACGTTGTAGTGAGGATAGGTGAGCACAAGATGGCGCACGAACCAGCATGCTCTGCCCGGCATCAGTACTGCTCCCAATCGTGAAACCTGCCGCCTAGCCAGTGGCCTTCAGACGTCGACCCTGCTGCTCACATACATGAACCCTGCCCCACCAGTGACAAGTATGTTCTTCGCATCCGGGCGTGGTTCAAACTTTGTGCCGCCTGTGAAGACAGGTGCCTGCTTCGAGAGCTCTTCGGCAACGTAGGACCGGGGATTTAATAAAGTGGAGTTCCGGCGCGCTGGGCTCTAGATTAGTGTCTGGGGAAGTGTACCAGCAGTGGTGGGGAACGCACGCTTGACGCCATGTGTGCCATTGTGAGAGCTCTCGAAGAGCTCAGGGCTCTGTGCAGCTGTCATAGTAGTGGAGCAGTCTGTCGCAGCAGCCCATGAGGGCAGTCTGTCTTATGGGCGCGTGAAACGCGTCCCTGGAACTATCGAGGTTGATTTCGTGAGTTGCTACTAGAGCATGTGTGGAAAGCCTTCCGCTGCTTGTTGATTACGTCATGTAGCACCTTCCTCAACCATCGCCATGAGTCAAGTACGATGCATCTACATCTTCTGCTGCTTATGTGAATTGATCGATATCTGGGGGCGCACGTATTGTGATCACTCTGACTTCTTATTTAGTTGGGACCGTATTGTAGATCCAGGACTTGGCTTTAAAGGATCTAAAAATCGGGCTCGGCACGTTTTTCAGCCCATGTAACGGTCTGCGCCTGTCAGCACAGGACCCATCACACTTTTCCCTGACTTTCCCGATCCGGCAGGTTGAACTGTAACCTCACTTGCTAACGACCGTCTCGCCGTTTCATCGTGTCGTTCAGTTTCTATGTACTGTGTATATCATTAATCGCCAAAATGTACCTACTCAAGCAACAGCTGTAAGAAACGGTGTCTCGCCCTCCTTCTTCACCGCCCTCGCCTTCTCCACCAGATCATCGCCAACCGCCAGCCGCAGCCTCTCACAAGTCGCCGGAGAATCAAAAGCCCACTGCCCCGGCGCAACCGTCGCCCCGTTCATCTCCCTTGCAGCCTTGACCGCCTCCCTCAACGCAAAGAACACCGTACTCCCCAGGAACAACGGCGGCTCACCGATTCCCTTACTGCTCTGCACACTCCGGAGATGGTTCCAGGACAGCGGGTTGCCATCGTTGTCGTGGCGCAGCATAGAGGCGTTGAAGACTTGTGGAATGTCGCTGAAGCCGGGGATCTTGTAGGTGCCCGGGCCGCGGGTGAAGAGCTGGCCCGACGCGGTGTGCCAGAGCGATTCTTCGAGTGTGAACAGGCCCTGGCCTTGGACGAAGGCGCCTTCGATTTGCCCGTAGTCTATGGCTGGATTGATGGAGTTGCCCACATCCTGTCACAATTAGCATCCGCACTCGCCCCAGCAAGACGGGAGGAAGGGTGGGGGGACGTACCATCATGATGTCACTCCTCAGGACCGTGTGATCGCCAGTGAGCAGGTCGAGCTCCACCTCGCTCACCGCCGCGCCCTGCGTCCAGTAGTAGTACATCGGCTTGACGGTCTGCCAGTTCGTGTCGCCCCAGCTGTATCCGACTTTCGGCATCTTCCAGAACCCGTTTGCCGCCAGGTTCACGCGATCTATGTACGCTGCGTGCGCGATCTCCTTGAGCTGCGCATTAGGACCCAGTTTCTCTCGATAAGGCGCAAGGCGGGCGTTCAGCTGGTCGCAAGCGTTCTTGACCGCCATGCCGTTCAGGTCTGATCCAGATGAGGCTGCGGTAGGCGACGCGTTGGCGATTTGGTACGTCGACGAGTCTTGTGTGTAAATGGCGTCCAATGGCACATCTAGTTCCTGCGCGGCGATCTGGCACATCTTCGTGTAAAGTCCCTGGCCCATCTCTGTGCCCCCGTGGTGTAGCAAAACAGAGCCGTCGGCGTAAATCTTGATGTATGCGCTGGCCTGATTGAGATGCAGTGCCGTGGCAAAGGAAAGGCCGAATTTACACGGAATCAGAGCGATGCCGCGCTTCTTCCAGCGGCTGGTGAAGTTGAAAGCAGATATCGATGACTTCCTGGTTTCGTAATTAGAAGATTTCGACAGCTGATGCAACAGCATTGGGACGTGCCAGTCCTCGTCGATCTTCTGAAAAAAGGGCGTGTGCTGTCCGATAGAGTACAGATTCTTCTGTCGCAGCAAGTCGATATCCATGCCCAAGCCTTCGGCGACGTTATACATGACGGTTTCGGCGAAGTACATGCCCTGCGGCGCGCCGAAGCCGCGATACGCGGTGTTGCTGTGGATGTTCGTTCTGCAGACATGTGCGCGGAGGAACACGTTGGGACATTCGTACGAGTTATCGAAGTGCGTAAGACACCTGTCCATGACCGCGCCGCTCATGTCCTGCGAGAAGCCGCCGTTGTTGTACACGTCTGCTTCAAGCGCGAGAAGCTTACCGGCGCTCGACACGCCGACTTTCCAGCGCGCTTGGAATGGGTGCCGTTGACCGCTGAGCAGCATGTCTTCGTCACGATTAAGCATGATGCGGACTGGACGCTTTTCCTTGCGCGCTGCGATCGCAGTGTACACGGCGAAGGGCACGCTGCGGGATTCTTTGCCGCCGAAACCACCGCCCATGCGCTTCACGCGGCAGTTTATGCGATTACTAGGAACGCCTAGTACGGAGCTAACAAATTCTTGTGTCTCCATGGTGTTCTGAGTTGAGGACCAGACTTCGACTGCGCCGTCTTCGCCGGACGGAATGGAGAGCGCTGCGTTAGTTTCGAGGTAGAAGTGCTCCTGCCCACCCATTCTGGTAGTACCTTCGAAGATCCTGTCGCATTGAGCGAAGGCTTCGTCCATTCTACCTTCGATGGCCAGACCTTTTCGTAGATACTTGCCATGCTGGAAGAAGCTGTTTGAGGCAATGGCCTCGTCGATGGTCAGGATCGGCTTAAGCACTTCATACCCGACCTTGACTGCGCGTGCGGCAGCCTGAGCTTCCAGCGCTGAGTCTGCGTATACCATACCAATGACCTGCCCGTGACTGAGGACTTTGCCGTCGGCAAAAAACAGCTCGTCTTTCTTGATGGAGCCCCACACGTTGACGTCGGAGGGAATGCTGGTTTTGTCGATATAGCCTACCACTCCTGGCATGGCTAGTGCCGGCTCCCAGTCGACACTGATGATATTGGCGTGAGCTTTGGATGATAGCACCAGCCCACCGAATAGTTCCCGGTCCAGACGAGGCATGTCATCGATGTACTCAGCTTCACCGGTACATTGCTTCAGTGCTGAAAGATGAGCGACCTGCTTGCCCACGACACGCTGCTCGTAAGGATTGTAGTCGTCCCTGGCACCGCTGGAGAGGGATCGATGGATCTCGTCCACGACGTGCTCGTCCACCTTGCCGAGACCAAATTCAGCTGCCGACTCGTGCCAGAAGCGGAAAAAGAGGGAGAGCGTGAGTGTCTTGCGGTAATCCGCCATACCGCCAGGTACACCATACGGGAGGTTGTAGTCTTCTAAAAGTCCGCTGAGAGCTGCATCCAGTGTTTCAGAGTGGAACCATGGCTTACCAACTATGGCAGCCTGTGTCTCTGGTGATTCTTTTGTGGTCGGAGCCATGCCGCCGTACACGATGGAAGCATCTTCGACGTAGTTTCGTGAATCAAGGCGAACGCGGAATGCAGCTGTCACGATAGCGATATCGTCGTCTTTTCGCTTGGCTTGCTTGTAGGCCTTGAGTACCTCACGGGTGTCTTTTGAGGGGATCGGAATGCGTATGCTCGCAATAGCTGCATCGGGTGGTAAGGTTGTAGTCCGGTATGCAAGGAAGAATTTGGACATTGGAAGATCGACGCCGCCATCCTTCTTGCTGACAACTTCTAGAGTGGATCCAGCAGCGATCAGTACAGGATTGGCATCAGAAATTGGCGAGGCAGTTGCGATATTCCCAGCAAGGGACGCCACATTGCGGATCTGACGACCTGCGAAGTATCGAAGCTGTTTCCGCAGTGCCTCAAGTACCATGGCTCGCTTGCCCAGCTTAGCATAGACATTTTTGCAGATGGTCTCGAGTTCAGTCAACGGTGTGTTGGCAGCCACAACGAGCTCCCTTGCGTTCTCCAATTCCGGATCTGATGGTAGCTTGGTGTGTCTCAGGTCCGCGATGTCCGAGACATAAACAGAGACAGCGAAGTCAGAGTTCTTGAAACGGACTTCGACTTGCACCTCACTCGCACCACCGACAAGCTTCGCAGAGGGATACGCGTCTTTCAGCTCTATCAAATGCTCCAGTTTCGTTGGCCTGAACCAGATCTTCTTGTCATTTCCGTAACACAATGGCAGAGGTTCGTGATTCCACAGCGCAGGTGGGAAAATGAGCTCCGTGTCTGGTGCATACTCCTTGAATTCGATCCTGGGTACGCCCCGTTCGGAGGGTGCTGCAGGGGCAGCAAGCGTCGTGGAAGCCTTGGTCTCGGAGTCTGCGCTATGCTCCTTACTCTTCATTGGTTTTGCGTAGTCTGCTCCACTGATGATCGGGTCCTCACTAGGTTTCTTCTTGGCGTCGAGGATGGCAGGAATGTGTTCGTCGTCCGATGTTGATGATGGCTCTGTTGGTGGCGAAGATGAGGCAGACTTGCTGTCACAGGAACTGCTGTCTGACACTGAGGGTCGGTCGCGGCAACAGCCACCAGGTCGCCCACATGAGGCTTGTGTTTGTCCAGCACCGCTCGTCTTGGTGAAGTCGATGACCTCCTTCGCGAAGTTCTCAGCGTCTGCTGTTGTTGGTTCGTCGTCTTCCGCAAGCTGGCCTTTCAGGTCTTCCGTGACAAATGTCTTCGCTGCATTCAAGATGGGCTTATACCCAGTACATCTGCAGAGATTACCGTCCAAGTGACCTTCCATCTCGATCTCATGCGCACTAAGATGAAACTTCTTCGTCTCAGGGTCGTACGAGTTCCTGACCACGGCATACAAGCTCATGACAATGCCGGGTGTGCAGAATCCGCACTGGCTGCCATGGAGCTTTGCGATCCGCTCTTGCAGGGGGTGTGGTCGATCGACATTGCCGATGCCTTCCACAGTAATGACATGCTTACCATCGATGCCAACGAGTGGGTAGAGACAGGCGTTCACAGCAAGATGCTGTATTCTCCTTTTCTTATTTCGACGGTCTGCAACCTGGAGCACTACTGTACAGGCTCCGCATCCTCCTTCACCACACCCAAGCTTAGTACCCTTGAGATCCGGCTGCGCGCGGATGTAGTCCAACAATGTCCAGTGAGGGTTTGGGTTGCTGATGATCCTTCTTCTCCCGTTGATATAGCAAGTGATGTCTGGCGAAGTGTATGTGGATTCGATGAGCGGCGTTAAAGCTTCGGTAGCGCTGAGGCCCCTAGGCGGCTCTGCGGCGGCGCTCCTCGGCGGGACGGGTAGGGCCATGACGAAGTTCAAGGATGGGTATCGCCTTACGAACTGCACGCAACGCACTGCCCAGATGATATACCATCTCAGCGGCAATCAGACGGCATCGCGGCCCCTCAGTATCAGCGGCACTCACTCTGTCCTCACGTAATGTCATCGATGATTGGATGGTCTGGCAGTGCATTCCGAGAGGCCAGCTGCCGACTCGCGCACCCCACTTTCGCTGGCGAGAGGTGCAACGGCGGGCCGTTTGTGCTTGTCGCGACGCGTCTAGTTCGCGCCTGCGCCTCCCCCATTTCTGCAACACCACTCACAAACATCCAAACATGGGATTTGCGACGATGGACGATCACGACGGCGGTGCTAGTGGAGGTACAAGAGATAGATGTAGGCGCGAAAAATGCAGTCATTGAAGTTCCTACAGTTCTCGACTCTCAGGCCCAGTTCACCACTCCACATTCTCTCCAGGCACTTTAAACAAACTGCCGCAAATATGCCGAAAGCAGACTCGCCCACAGGCTTCAAGCAGCTGCAGGACACTGCACTGTTTACACCGTTCAAACTGGGGCCCATTCAGCTTGAGCACAGGATCGTACAGGCGCCTCTGACGCGTATGCGATCCACCAAAGAGAGCGAAGGTGTCACAGTACCCAATGACTTGAACGTCGAGTACTTCAGCCAGCGTGCGAGCAAGGGCGGCTTGCAGCTGACTGAGGCGACCGACATTGCGAAGTTTGTAAGCGTTATGCGACTCTTCTCGAAAGGTCAAGATTAACAGTACCTAGGCCGGCGGCTACCCAGGCGCCCCTGGAGTTTTCACAGATTCTCAGATCGCAGGATGGAAAAAGGTCACAGATGCCGTACACGCAAAGGGCGGATACATCTACTGCCAGATATGGCACACTGGTCGTGCTTCGCCACCATCTTTCCGTGGCGGACAGCAGCCCGTCAGCTCGAGTGATATCCCTATGGAGGGTAGCTGGGCAGATGGTACAGTCTGTGCAGAGCATCCGCCACGTGCTCTAACAGTTGAGGAGATCCAGCAGATCGTCAAGGACTTCGGCTCTGCAGCAAAGAAGGCACGTGAAGCGGGCTTCGATGGCATTGAGATCCACGGCGCAAACGGCTATCTCCTCGACCAATTCATGCATGACAACGTCAACAACAGGACCGATCAGTATGGCGGATCGATAGAGAACAGGATAAGACTGCCACTCGAGGTCATTAAGGAGTGTTCAAAAGCTATTGGTGCAGACCGCGTTGGTATCCGTCTCAGCCCATACAACTACTTCCAGTCGACCAAGGATAGCAACCCTAACAAACACTGGGAGTATCTGTGTGACAAGATCGCCACACTGCCTCAAGATGTGCGGCCTGTCTACGTCCACATGTAAGCCACTGTGTACAACGGCCATCTGCAGATGACAAATTGACAATATACAGGGTCGAGCCCCGCTTCGATGAAGTGCTAGACGAGCAAGCCAAGATGGATGCTCTTTCTGCATACACCTCCAGCGGTGGCAAGGGCGTCGAGGCCGAAGCCACCGTCAAGGTCAAGGGTAACACCCTCGTCAACTTCCGCAATATCTTGAAGAAGGGCGGCGTCAGTTTCATCGCCGCTGGTGGCTTTGATCGCGACAACGCAGTGCCCAAGCTCGAGTCTGGCGATGCGGACCTCATCATCTTTGGTCGTTGGTTCATCGCAAACCCAGATCTGCCGAGGAGGCTGGCGGAGGGCTTGGAGCTGAACTCTTACGACCGCAGTACCTTCTACGGTGGTGACGCAAAAGGATACACAGATTACCCTTTCCATGGGCAGGAGGTCGCTGCTTGACTGAGTCTAGGCTTGGAAGCAGACGATGCATAGCAGGCGTTGAAGGTACCGGTGCTGGCGCGCATTGACATAGACTCATTTTTGCAAGACCGAATAGTATACAGCATGACTCTGCAATGCCACATGCTGTGCAGAGTGTCGTTGTGATCACTCTAATGTAACTTCGCAAGCCAGCTAGCGCCGTATGGGCAGAGAAGGAGGCGCACCTCGCGCTTGTCTCGGCTTCCATCAACCTTGAATGACATTCATACATACAGAAGATGTGGCAATTGGTCAAGCACAACAGCAACTATCTCAGATTATTGATCGCCTGCAATCATGGCCTGGTGGCAGACTCCACCGTAGCGATGGAGGGAGATAGGCATAGCGTATTTCGCCGACAAAGTTCCGCTCTCGGATACCGGTAGCGCCCCATCGTCGGCAATCTGTCTCCCGATCCCAACACAGCTATTCTTCCCTATTATCTCTCTTGACCCATCCTTATCGTCTATATACGCGCGCGCCGGGCTATCATTGATGCTATGCTGCCGGGACCAGTGACTAAGTCTGAGCCGCAAGTGTGTCAACATACTTGTCGGCGTTTGTCAGCCCTCGCCTCGGACATCACAGCGCCTTCAGCCTTCAGCCGCCAGACCCTGTGCGTGCCATCTCCACAGGGGTCTCTACCTTACATGGATTCGAGGCGTGCCAATCATCCTACTCGTCACCCCCACTCTTGAAGCTGTAAGCCCCAAGAAACATTAGCCATGTCCACCCCGCCTTTTAGTGCGACGCCGTAGCCTCGTGCTTAACCATGACTTCGGCTGTGATAGCGGATATGCTTACCCTGATAAGCTCTGAGGAGCATATCGCTCCGAGTCGGAGCTTTGTGGAGTAACGGTGTCTGGCCCTGGATCCTGTGAACCCCCATTATACAACTCCACTTGCCCCCAACCTTCAATTGCGCATCGAAAATTACGATTTTGAACATCACACAGAGAATCGGCTATGGCTTCAATTGCATCAGATCAGACCAGCACTATGCCACGAGGTCGCAAGAGAAAGGATGTCACAGACAAAGCAGAAGGAAGAAAGTTTGCCTGCGAGACTGCGGGATGTGGGAGAAGCTTCACCAGAGCCGAACACCTCCAACGGCATCTGTTGAATCATTCGAGCGGAGAGCACACTTGCGACAGATGTCGAGCTCACTTCAAGAGGAGAGATCTGCTAGGTAAGACAACTTCCATTAAACCCGGCAACGAGGAAGCTTGTAGAAGTTGGCTTCTACACGCCACGCACGTGGTGTTGTCTCATGCCATGCAAGAGTGGAGCCTACTACTCGCACATTCGACTTTCGCAGTCCATCGTTCTTGCATCGTCTTTTGCTTGTGTTGGGCTTTTCTTTGAGAGGACCGTGCTCTCCCTCCTCCTACAGCAATTCTCAGGTCTCGGTTCTCAAACGCTGGTTCGCTGCAATCTGCCCCCACTGTACGTTATCGAACAGCATGTGCTGCCTCATGCACCACGTTACCTTGCCTCTGTGCTGAGTCCTCGCTTATTGCAGTATTCTCGAACACTGTAACTGACATAATGGTCAGAGAGGCATATGGCCCGCCACAAACAGAAGGATGAGGAAGCTGGTGCTGAAGGTTGCGGTATCCTGAATACTCGTAAGTGCAGCATGCCTTGAACTGCCATTCAGTCATACTAAATTCAATAAGGTAAGCGCATGTGGAAAGACGAGGAAGGCAAGATCGTGACCAAGAAGCCCGCCATTGCGATCGACGCCCAGAAGCCACAGCCGCCCCCACAGCCACACGACGAGGACCCACTACAAACTCTCGCTGATTTTGCCTTGTTTGCGTCTCACGAAGAGGGTGCACCGATATCACCGCCCATCTCACACAGCGCGTCGCTAAATACCTCTCTTGACGATCACGATTCCGGGATAGCTTCAGCCTACCCACCTACTACCCTTGACCCCAACACATTATCGACACAGACATACTCGCCGATTGATCAAAGATTCTGGTCCACTGATCTGCCACAACCTGGACCTGACCCATTCGCTACGGCTACGTTTGACGATGCACCCTTCGACGACATCTTTAATCCAGATACGGCAAGCTCATTCAACAACCCTTTTACTACGATGAACAACTACAACTGGCTATTTGATGTGGACTTGGCCCAGGCCACACAGGTGCAACAACAACCTGCCGTACATGACCCGTTCCCCAACTTCTCCTTCCCGAGCAACACAGTTCCCCAGCCGAGTCATGCCTTCGAACTCCAGTTTGATCATATGAGTTTCGACAAGCCGCTATCTACAGATGGCCAATTTGGATCACTTCCATCGCAGCGAACGGATTCGGTGGTTCATCAATCTCCCACAGCACCTATTATCACGCCTCCACTCAGCGAACTGCAAGTCCCAGAACGGGAGAACTTAACGCAGGCCCGCCAGGCAACAGCCCCAGTTGTTCAGCAGAGCACACCGAACGCCTCACAGTCACAGTCGTGTTCTCCGTTGTCTGATATTGAGCGACCAATGTCGATGCTTCAGCCCTCGCAGAGCCTACCGATCATAGACGAGCTTGCAAGACAACAGCTATTGGATCTCATCGACATAACTCAGCCAACAGCACCAGATGGCAGCATTGTCATGCGAGACCATCCCCTCCTGTCCCTGGGCTGTCTTCAAACTTACTGCGACTTATTCTGGACACGCTTCAACACCACATACCCATTGATGCACATGTCAACATTCGAGCCATCTCATGTCGACACTCTGCTGTTAATGACTGTGTTACTACTAGGCGCTACCTACGGAGAGAAAGATGCCCATCAGCTTGCAGTACGTCCTGTACGCTTCAACAGTGCGATACGCAGCTGCTGACATACACCAGGTGTGCATACATGATGTCATGAGACCGCAAATCTTCGCCAACGCGGGATTCTCAGCCAAACCTGACTTGTGGGTGCTGCAAACGATCTTGCTTGTCGAATGCTTTGGCAAGAGCAGAGCTGGGCAAAAGCAGCACGACATGTCTCATCTCTTCCACGGGCTGCTCATTAATTTGATTCGTCGGAGTGATTGCCAGACTATTCGGCCACCCACCCTTGAGGACGCCACTGATGATCTCGAGGATGACTGGCGGACTTGGGTCGATGCTGAGCAGAAAAAGAGGTACGTTGCTGACTCGAACTTGAATTCCGCATGCTAACAGCAATAGACTTGCATTCCTTTGTTTCATGTGGGATACACAGCATGCAGTACTCTTCTGCCAGTCGCTTTGCATGTCAGCCTTCGAACTTCGATCGAACCTGCCATGCGACCAGTCACTGTGGGAGGCCGATTCTGCGGAAATATGGCACCAGTTACGAAAAAAGCAGCCGACACCGCCCCTTTTTTTGTCTTGCCTGAAGATGTATTTGCATCCGAACGCAACGGCAGTACCAAAGAACCTCAATAATCTTTCCCGCTCGCTGCTACTACATGGCCTGATGTCTGTAGCATGGGACATGCAACGGCGCGATCAAACCTCACTCGGCGATCCTATATCCGCAAATCCACTTGGCAACTGGCAATCTCGTCTAGCAACCTCATATGCTGCCTGGCACGCTGACTACACAGCCTTTTGCAACACATACACCGCGCGTCTTCCCTCACAAGATCACTTCTTCGCCAAAGAATTTCAAGTTATGCGCTCTGCAACCCTCTCACTCTATCACTCCGCCCACATCCTCCTCCACACACCCTTCCTCGACCTTCAAATCTACGCCGGCGCCCGGCACATCCTCGGGCGCCCTGTCGCCCGCGCAGACTACGCGCGCAGCCAGCGCATTGTCAAGAAATGGGTAGCCGAAAACATCAAAGAAGCCGGTAAGGCCGTGTGGCACGCAGCCGCACTAGTACATCAAGGCGTCGACGTACTTGACGGCGAACTCGATGTCGGCGCTGGCCGTCTCTGGCACCACCCCTGGGCCGTATATCTCGGCACCCTGGTTGTGTGGGGCGTGTGGTATGCGCGTCCTCAGCCTGCGAGCGGTGAGGTGCCGCCGTTGCTTGGGCTTGAGGAAGAGGATGAGATTATATGGGATCCGGCCGCTGAGATGAAGGGGTTGTTGGAGATTATTGCGAAGGCGGAGCCGGAGATGTTGTTGCAGGCTCGGTATAAGGCCGGTATATCAGGGGCGGTGGGGAAGAGGGGAACGAATGGACTTGCGGCGTGCGTAAGTAGGTGTTTGAGTAAGGTGAGATGGGCTGTCGTACATGATGGTATGATGGTATTGAGAGGCTTGGTGCAATGGAGGCTGGTGGGTGGGAGCGGAGGCGGCATGTTTGCGTAGATTTGAAACATGAGTAGTGACCCCAGGCTAGTGCAGCGCTGTATCACAGGTAATCTTAATTGTAACGCAGTACAACTATCGTGACTGATGCCATAACATGAAGTTTCTATTGATACAAGGTAAGTTTACACGCATGACTCGGCTGAGAGACCCCTTCGCATCATTTCAGCTAGCTGACGTAACTGTTCCTTTTGCTGGCGAGCTTTTCTTCCGGAGCTTGCCCTACAAGTTGAAGGTTAGAGTTCCAGCAGCTCCATCAGCTCATACGTAAGTCCTTTAGAGCAAGTCCTGAAGCTTATCTTTGTATTAGTGACTTCCGCGGGGTGTTTTTCTGTGCTTAGGACCTAAAGCTCTGACAACTTCTGCTCAAGCGAATTAAGAACCATTTCAATCTATAGATCATTCGAGGCGTCCGCGAGGCCTTCAACCTGGTCCTCTTGGATCTTGGATAGCACGGCAGTTGCACCTGGGCCCATATTCTTCATAATACGGGGTATCTGGGCTTCCCCCACGAAGGGGTTGATTCTGCGTGCGTTGAGCTCGAGAAGACGTTCCTCAGTATACGTCCATGCTTCGTTGGTAATCGCAGCCTCGTTTACCGTCGATATCATCATTGCTCTTTCAAGAGCAGGCTATACACTCTTTGACTCAGTCCTGGTCTTCCCCAGCCCCCCTTTCGACTTCGCCTTGAAGTTTTGGACACGTTCATACGCTCGTTTCGTATGTTCTTTCTGGTCAGTGGCAAACTCCGTCAAGAGGATCTGATACTGCTTGGCTTTGGTTGCGAATTCAGTTGACAGAAAGACTTTGGCGACAGCGCTGACGTTGTCCAGTGCTAACGAGACGTGGCCTGCCGTCATGTCCCCAGAAGCGTGCACGTACTGATTGCGAAATTCGCGGAGCCTGCCGAAAACTCTGTGGTGCCATGCGAACTGACGATACAAATGAGGGTAGAGTTGGAACGTCGAGACAAACACTGGGGTGGTCCAATGATGCCTCTGCATCGTTGTTGGGGCTTCCCATTGGCTGAAGATGAACGTAGCCTCATTAAGGCTGTCTAGTAATTCGCGCGACAAATGATAGAGCAGACTGTCGGACAATGACGCTGGCTTGAGCTGTATGGTGGCTTCCGGCTCCTGTGAAGCCTCTTTCATGGCCACGGTGACGGGCGCACTCGGACGAAGCTCATCTACGCCTCCAGAAAGTCTAGATCGGAGCTGCTGGATACTTCTCGTTGTCTCTTCGATCACCGCTTGAAGCTGCCTTGTCCTTGTTTTGGCACCGAGTGAAGCATCCCGTGATCGGTTATAAAGTTCAAGCCTAGACACATGGTGATCCCGCCATCTCTTCATCAGATTGGGCTTTGCCTCCGTATCAGTCTCATGATGATCAGAATGAGTCCGGGATGATACCTCAGATCTTTGGCGCTGAATCCAATCTGCGTTAGCTAGCAGGCTCTTTCGGCGCGTCTAGTACAGGTGCTGATTTCCCCCTTTTACGGAGGTTGCATGAGCTCATCTTCAATAAGATAGTTCAGAGACTTCAAAATCTCCGGCCGGGACTGTTCGAAAGACAACAGACCCGGGGAAGTCCAACTCGATCGAATATCAGCTTATTTTGTATGTGATTTCGTATTGAAAGAGACAATCTTGGGATATTATTTCTGCGGTCCCGAGGAGACACACCCGTGCTTTTTCTGTGTGGCTCCGTTGCCTCCGGATCTTGACGTGCAATCAGGTGAGTTTTGCGGCCGGAAGCGACACTTCTAGCTAAGTGGAAACGCATAAAGAGAGCCCGTTGAAGCAGCAGGCAGAAATTGATAGGGGATGGTAATTGGGTGATTTCACCCGCGGAACTGAGAGACAGCTGGAGTGGCACAGACACGGGAGGTCCAAACGTGAGGCTAATGTTCAATTCTGGCTAGCGCGGCCAAAGCGGCGATCGATCCGGAAACAGTCGCCCGCTCACGCAGATGCGCCATACAACCTATCTCTGCATGGCGAACCCATGATCCAACTTGCATTCGATGACTGCGCGGGGTGCAGCTGAAGCAACCACTTCCTATTTGTGATGAATAATGACCACAGACACTCTTCAAGTGAAGTATCTCCACATCTCGCTTTCCTCCCCATCTCCTAGCTCACTTGTTTTAACTTCATCTGCTCTGATCTTCACACCCTGCTGCTTGTTCCTCCTGCGATTATCCATCTTCATCCACCAGCCGAGCCACAGTGTGAACACGATGCAGGTGACATTGCAAGCCGCAGTTGCAGCCAGCGTTGGAATGTACTTTGGTGCATATTCCTGCCTGAACGTCGCGGCCGACACAATACCTCCGAGGTTGCCGAGTCCTACCAGAAGCCCGGTCGTGGCTGCCCGCGCGTTCTCGTTGAGATTATTGTTGTTATGCCATGAGTGGAACAAACAGCTGGGAATGTACGCGCCGGCAGCCAGCATGAAGCAAGCGAAGTATGCCACACCTTTGTGCGCAAGGACGTCAATCGATGCAAGGATTACGAGACCGACCAACGATATGCAAAGCGAGAAGACGATGTGGAAGGTCCGCTCACGGAAATAGTCGCTGCTGTACGTGACGCAGAGCAAGACCACGAAGCCAACAGCGTTCGGCGCAACAGTCCAGAGATTAGTCTTGACCACATTGTAGCCCAATCTCTGAACGATCTGTGGTAGGAAGTTGGACGTTGTGCTGAAAGCCACTGGGTACGTGAAAGCTATGATGCACCAGGGCACCATCTTCCAGTTGCTCCACTCTTTGAAGCACTCCCTCATGTTAAAGTCGTGGCTTGCAGAAGACGACAGGTCACGCAGTGTGCGGCGCTCAGCGACTGCCCGCTCGGCATCGTTCAGAAACCAAGCAGACTGGGGCGTGGCTGGCAGCCAGGCATAAGCAACGAATGCGATGATGATGGTCATTGCGCCTGGGGGTAATCAGCAGTGTTCTTCTGCGATGGATAACGCGATTACCTTCGATGACGAAAAGCCATTTCCACCCCGGGATGGTGGCGTGATTGATTTGAAACACACCGAACGAGATCAACCCACTGAATGCTCCAGCAAGCAGTGCGCTGCCGAAGAAAAGCGCAATGCGGAAGCCGAGCTCTCCGCGAGTGTAGAAGAGTGTCAGATAGAATACGACACCTGCAAAGAACCCAGCTTTGATTTCGTCAGTTTCGTTTCTTGCGGCAAGTATCAAAATCATACCTTCGAAAGCACCCAGTAACAGGCGGATGACCAGCAGGCCGGCAAAGCTTTTCGCAGCACACTGGAATAGCGCCATCGCGCCCCAGCCCACCATCACTGTGCTATATTAGCCTGCTGTGGCCTGTTACGATGGTAGTACTTACAGCTAGGTAACATGACTCTCCCACTCAACTTCTTTGTCAAGATGTTCAGAGGCAAATCACACAGTCCGTTGGGTATGTAGAATAGCAAGATTAACAAACTATACTGCTCTCCTGTGAACCCCAGATCCTTGTCCATACCATCTGTCTTCGCATTGCCGAGGTTGCTGCGGTCGACGGAATTGAAGAAGTACATTACGGATAAGAAAGGCAGGAGGTAGAAGTCGAGTTTACGAACTGCACGAAGTACCATTAGATCGCGCTGTTATAAGGGGAGTATTAGCTTACCATATGCACGCTCGGCAGACTTGTCGATGATTTCGATGGCGGTCCCTGTGTCATGGTCCTTCTCAAAGCTGGTAGTGGATATGTTGCGTTTCTCTTCATCGATGAGGACGTTTGGAGGTTGGTCTGCCATGTTGGCCCTAGTGAGCAGAAACACTCAATTTTGGGAGTATATTGGAGCAATGTGAGGTATATCCGTCAGAATATACGCCAAATTGACAACCAGGCGTGGGGATTGAATTGTATTGAGTATCAGTAGGCTTCTGCTACATTCGTTTTTGTACAATATTGCCCAACCCTATCCGCAATTCCAACCTCCATTTTTGCAACCCGTCCTATCGAAAGTGTAAGCACACAAGTGCAGTCACAATCAGCATAATCAGATCATGGGATTCATGCAGGTTCCGATAAAGATTGTTGAATCGAGGGGGAGATAAGAGTGGGGGCATTTGAGACTGTTTGCGGTTTGGTGGCAAGCGGATTGACTAGGGATAGCATAGCCCAGTGTCTGCTAAACTCTGCTCGCGTGTTTTGTGACGATCAATGTCTTCAGCACGCTATGGAACGTGATCTCACAAAATTACATGCAGTGAGTTGTGAGAGTCACGTAAGAGCCGCGTGAGAGTCGCGGATTATTATAATGAAATGCAATCGTACACGGCAGCACGCCCTATACAACTACGTATACCGTGTATCGCCCCAAGCCCCAGCCAACACCGTAACTATGCTTCAAGAAACATGCTCATCAGACGAAGGCCTCTACTGGTCTCTCATGAAGCCCTCGTAGTAGTCGTCCATCCATTTGGTGGCGACCATGCCATTCTCTCTGCTGCCATTCGCGAACCTGCGTATAGTGCCGACGTAGCCATCAGGGCGTACATTCAGAATAACGACCTCATCCCCATCGAGTCCGTCCAGCCACTTGTCCATCACGGTCTGCTTGCGGGTGTCTTTGTGGGGCACATCGTCAAGGTAGAAGGACCACGACGACTCACGCAAAATAGGTGGCAAGTCCTTGATTTCCACCTCGTCTCTGTTCTGGTCGGTGACGAGGGCATATGTGAAGATGCCGCTGACGGGTGTGTATCGCTCAGGGATGACGAACTGATCGTGTGGCGCGGCGAGCGGTGGCTGCATAGTGTACGATGCATTACCTGCGGCGGTGATACGACCGACATACGAGCTCATGCCAGAATGTTGGTGACAGATCGTCTCGAGGAACGGCATCGCCTTGTGAACGTTGTGACAGAAGAAGTAGACGCGGAATTGACCAAGTGCAGGGATATCGGTCTGAATGTCAACAGGGTTTGAGTCAATGAACCGTGTGACCTTGGCGGGGGGTAGCAGAAATCCTGGTGTGAGGTGACCTCGCGTGCACTCCTTGGCGAAGACGTTCACGATATTTGGTATGTAGCTGACACCGTATCCGGATATAAAGGCAACGTTCTTGGCGAAATTGTCTGCAAGTGCAGCCGGATCGCCGTCATGGAAGGCATTGGCGTGTTCATAGTCGAAGTCGATGAGATCTTGGGCAATCTTTTTGCGCTCCTGCTCGTAGCTTTCCAACAAGCTGGGTTTGGCAAGTCCACGAACGGCGAAGTTCATCTTCCATGCAAGATTCCATGAGTCGTGCATTGATGTGTTCATACCTTGAGCAGCCTTTGGTGAGTGGGTGTGGCTGGCATCTCCGGCAATGAAGACTCTGCGCTCAGCGTCAGTGAACTTGGAGGCTACCCTTTGTCCTATCTTGTATCGTCCAAACCATTCGACGCTTCTCCATTCAAGCCTGTATGGTTGCAGAATGGCTCTTGCGCGACTCTGTACAAACTCCTGAGGCGTCTGCTCGCCTGCTGATACCGCCTCCTCTGATCCTGGGCGAAGCTCGATATACAGACGCGTTAGGCCACGTTCACGAGGAATCATCAGGACCGAGCCTAAAGACCCTGATTGAATGACAACCTTGCTCCAGATATCTGGGAAGTCTGTGTCTAGCACGCCGTCCAGTACACCCCAAACGGCGTCTGAAGAAGCACCGACAGGCGTCGAGCCCGGGATGCACTTGCGCACCTTGGAATGTGCACCATCACAGCCGACAACATATCGAGTTGCGAATAACCTTTTTGTTTGGGTGACGTCCTGTCTGCAGCTGACAGTCAACGGCCGAATCATTTGTGGTGTGTACTCGAGGGTCTCGAAGGCTGTATCGCGCAGCACCGTAGTGCCTCGTTCGCGGAGGTCGTCCTCAAAGACAGCTTCAACCATACCTTGGTGGACCAACAAGATATAAGGATCAAGTAGGTCTACCACAGGTGGGTAGTGGACCTCGCGACCTGTTCGATGCAACGGTTCGTCGTTCGAGGATTTCCAGAACGAGATATCGAAGATCTTCACGCCCTTCCGCAGAAGGGGCTCTGCAACGCGCATTTGTCGCAGTGTTTCGATTGTCTTGGGCTGAATACCATCGGCGCGTCCGGTCGAGGTGCGGTCGGGTCGATCGTCTATGATCCTCGTCTTGATACCAAATCGCACAAGATTGTCACTTCCTCGTTTAGCTTTATCTTTATACAATTTCGCCACTTGACGTACGCAAGCATAAGGCCGGAAGGTCCAGCACCAACAACTAGCACATCGCTCATGAAGTTTGAGTAGTCATCATCCTTGATATGTGAGGTCTGTGACGCAACTTCAATGCTGCTACCCGAGGAGTGGGAATCAATTGAGTTGACAGCCCGTCCGGGTGCCATTTTCTGGAGCTTCGAGTGACCAGTAGGCGATGTTCGTTGCGAAGCAGGCGGTGTCTGATCTGATCCTAAGCGCTTCATGAGGTTCCATATTGAGGGAGACATGCTATAAGGCTGGCCGTTCCCGGTGTCGGTCCGCTAGATTCGAAAATGGGGGTACGGTGCCTGGGGGATTGAGGAGGAGCAAACGTTCGAGCATCTGCTAGAGGTCTGCCCATTTTCAACTGATGTAGGGCTGTCATCGCATGGTCTAAGATCGCAGGCTCCATTCAATGAGGCGACCCGTATAAGAGATTGCCATTTGACGAAAACAGTGCATTGCAAAGTTGTTCTGGGCGACCGGCGGAAGGTGCGCCTCGGGAAGCCCAGAACCCCACTTCCGAGCTGGCACCTCCGCCAAAACTGGATCGTCATTACGGTATACACACGCGCCGCCAGCATGGGCCAACCACTCATTATTGCGCTCTTATCTAGTGTGGCTCGACACTCTGAGTGATGAGTGGTGAGCCAGCTTCACGTCTGTTGCAGAGTCTTCTTTCTCTACTCACTTCGCCATGACCACCTCTGAGGTGCCACAGTGGCAGCAGACCGTCAACGAAAAACGGCTCGCACGCGAGAACGCCATCCAAAAGTTCCTTGACTCACATGAAAGGCGCTCCGAGGTAGCTGTCGGCCCTGGAAGTGGCACAAGTAGACGACTGACGGCGGCGCTAGACACTGCAACTCGACGCTTCTGGAAATACCCAAAGCATTTTAGGAAGCGTCACAGCCATTGATAGCGTCGAAGATACTCTGCAAGCCATTACTTGTGGTACCGTGAGCGCGTCAACGCTATGTGCTGCCTACGTGCATCGGTAGGCTCTGCGCGCGAAACCAAAATATCGTACCATGCTCACGCCACATTGTTACAGGGCGATTGATGCTCACAGGCGTGTATGTACTGTTCCTAGCCGCAACCTGAGTTTCGGGCCACATTGCTAATAGGCTCAGACGAACTGGCACGTTTAGCCTAGCCTTACAATCGTCCGGGAAATTTGGCTGACGTTGGCAGCCTTACCGAAATTCTGTTCGACGAAGCGACGAAGCAAGCCACTGGGCTTGATGCGTATTTCGAAAAACATGGCAGACTCGTGGGACCCCTGCATGGCATATGTATGACATTGAAGGATCAATTCGACGTTAAAGGATTCGACAGCACCCTGGGCTATGTCGGTCGCTCTTTCAAGCCAGCCAAGCAAGACTGTGTTTTGGTGTCACTTCTGAAGCAAATGGGAGCCATTATTGTCGCGAAGTCGAATCTTCCCCAGTCAATCATGGTACGTCACCGGCACGAGGTCTCTGTTGCGGGTTCGCTTATAGTCGCAACGCTTACAAGTTTAATTTCGTAGTGGTGTGAAACTGACAACCCGCTATGGGGACTCACGGTGCATCCGAAAAATCCCGAATTCACCCCTGGAGGTTCGACAGGCGGAGAGGGCACGCTCTTAGCCTTCCAAGGCACCGTAATCGGATGGGGAACAGACATTGGTGGCAGCATTCGCATTCCGTCCCATATGAACGGATTGTACGGGTTGAAGCCGAGCGTAAGCTAGCCTACAAGGCGGACTGCTTGCATACTCTTGTCTCAGTCCACTGATTTTGTAACTAGAGCACGCGTCTACCGTACCAAGGTGTCTCAGTGTCAACGGAGGGTCAGGAGCATGTGCCATCAGTGATTGGGCCGATGAGTCGATCTATCGATTCGCTGGTGGCTGTGACCAAGGCTATCATCGACGCGAGTCCGTGGGACTATGACCCAAAATGCTCTCCGATTCCCTGGCGGTCGAGTCTTTTCAATGAAGCACACTCTAGGCCACTGCGTATCGCAGTCATGAGAGACGATGGTGTAGTACGTCCACATCCGCCAGTAGCGCGCGTACTGGACGAGGTCGTGGCAAAGCTCCAGCAAGCCGGCCATGACATTATAGCTTGGAACCCTGGCAGTCTCCATCAGGAATGTATTGAGATCATGGATCAATTCTATACGGCTGATGGAGGCGAGGACATCAAGCGAGACGTTGAAGCTGGTGGAGAGCCTTACATCCCGCACGTTGAGGCACTGGTCAATAAGGGCAAGCCCATCTCTGTTTACGCATACTGGCAGCTGAACAAACAGAAGATTGCCGCACAGAAGCGGTACTTGGATCTCTGGAAATCAACAACATCTACGAAAACAGGTGAAGAGATCGATATTCTTCTTGCCCCCGTGTCACCTCACTCCGCAGTTCCACACTGCCGATGCCGTTGGGTAGGCTACACCAAGGTCTTCAATTTTGTGGACTATTCTTCGGTGGTCATACCTGCCGGGCAAGTTTCTAGAGAGCTAGATGGAGAGGCAGCAAGCGTGATGAACACATACCAGCCCAGGAACGCGTTGGATGAATGGAACTGGGATTTGTTTGATGTGGACACAATGGATGGCATGCCCATTGGTGTGCAAATCGTTGCGCGCCGGCTCCACGAAGAGAGAGCTCTGGGTGCTGCGAAGATGATTGATAGCATACTGAGAGGTCGTTAGCCTACTTTTAGATCAAACAACGCGTTTATAACATAGAGAAGTGCGGATAGCCCCACAAGGCATGCGTCATTGCTGCTTTGGATTCCAATGGTCTATCGAAGACCGACGGCTATCGTACTAGTCTATTTGCTTTGCATACCACACATTCGACTTGACCCTGTTTCCCGCACAAGTGCACCCGACTGCCCTTGAAGTCGCGCTGGTACTATACTTTTGAAAGACTGCCGACAGGAAATGCTACGATATCAGATAGTAAGGTAAGCGCCATCGGCGTCTTCTAAAAACGCGTCGGAACGAGAGTTATGTAAGACACGCAACATCCGACACGCGAGTAACGCGAATGATAACTATCCGTCAGCCTGGGTTGGATGATTACAGGTCCGCCCCCACCTTACAGATGCTCCACTACCTGAGCCCTGCGTCAAAACCCAACATAAGCGGGGTAGCTGTTTACTTTGCCAAACATCACTTCAACTTGACTTGTATTTATTTACACTGACACACGCCTTTGTTTATTCGTTCCCATACCAGTGCTTCAGGTTCTCTGGACGTCGCTTTCACAATGGGCAAAAAGAAGATTCTCGTAAGCTATGGGGTTGATATTGATGCCGTAAGTGTGGACGTACAAACTTCAACTGGAAGTGCTGACAACTGTAAAGGTTGCAGGTTGGCTTGGATCCTACGGAGGAGAGGACTCAACAAGTGATATCAGCAGAGGTCAGACTACCACTATTCTAAAATAGCAATGAAGTCTGATAACATGCAGGTCTATGGGCAGGTACTGTCGGTACACAACGTTTGTTGAAGCTCTTCGACAAGTATGGCATCAAGGTAAGAACTACTGGGCCTAGAGGGATGCTGTAGCCTGTGTCCTAACAATCCGATCCAGGCAACATGGTTCATCCCGGGTAATTCGACCTCACCTTTCCCTGGGCTTCGTTCCTGAAGTTCATTTTACTGATGAGCTAGGCCACTCCCTTGACACGTTCCCCGAAGACTGTGCTGCAGTCCGCGACGCAGGCCACGAAATTGGCCTTCACGGCTACTCGCACGAGAACCCAGCCGATATGACATTCGAGCAACAGCGGGATGTTCTTGACAAGACTTACAAGCAGCTGACAGAGTTTTGCGGCAAGCCCCCTCGAGGCTCGGTAGCGCCGTGGTGGGAGACGTCCCTGGAAGGCACTGACTTGCTCCTCTCCTATGGCATCGAGTACGACCACAGCATGTCTCACGAAGACCATAAATGTTATTGGCTACGGACTGGTGATGAGTGGACAAAGATTGACTACTCAAAAAACGCGGTTGACTGGATGAAGCCACTTACAAGAGGCAAGGAGACAGGCCTTGTAGAGATCCCTGGGTCATGGTACATCGACGATCTACCGCCAATGATGTTCATAAAGAACAGCGCGAACTCACACGGCTGGGTAAATCCTCGGGACGTCGAGCAAATCTGGATGGACCACTTCGACTTCTTCTATCGCGAGTATGATGAGTTCGTGTTTCCGATGACGATCCACCCTGATGTCAGCGGGCGGCCCCATGTTGTGCTCATGCATGAGCGAATTATTGAGCATATCAATAAGCATGAGGGTGTAGAGTGGGTGACGATGGAGCAGATGTGCGATGATTTCAAGAAGAACAATGTGCTGCCGAAGGATGCGAAGGTGCCAGCGCCGCCTGGTGAAATTTTAAGGAAGCAGAAAGCAGGCGAGGCGTACTCCTTGGTTGAATACAATGGACCGACAAATTTCAAGTAGTCATTTCAGCAAGTCTGTATCATCACAACATCCGTCCAAGTACCATCTCCATGTTCGCACCTGGGTCTGCGGCTTGATTCGTGGCAATGGTGAAAGGCCGTAGCCTTTAGCCGTAGTCGCTATGGCACCTCAATTGAGCTCGAACTTGAGCGATAACAATTTGACTTCGTTAGGCAACACACAGAGTCCACTCCTTCAAGCTTGACCTCGCTCTCGCGTCTGGTCGTGCTGGGACTCGAGTTCACCCATCGGGATGGTTCGGAACGCTCGGAACGACAACATCAGTGAGCTCTGCAATCCGCCCTCCCCCTCCCCCACTCTTACACCTCCAGCACACCCAGCCCACCGTAGCTGTACCGCGAACCACCACTTTGCAATCACAACCAGTATTCGGCCCGCTCTTAGCTCGATAAGCTTGCGCGCACCTCCTGCCGACAAGAGGGGAATTGTCAGCGCGATGTCATGCGTCATCGCCATCGATAGGTGGCGGCAGGTAGGGTCGGAGTGGGAGTGCTACACTGATCGTAACATCATATGTATAGCGTCGGGATACCTCGGGTCTTTAACGGATCTTGATTCTTTGACCGCTCTCTGCCCGACATACTTCTGACTCCTGTGCTTTGCTGATCGGTGACATCATGGCTCCTTCGAAACCGCAGGTCATTAAGCAAAAGCAAAGGGATCCGGCGAGCAAACTCGATGTAAGTTCAGGGCATGGAATTATCCAGAGACTATCGCTGATGGTCTGCGAAGGTTATCATTGTCGGTGCCGGACTGGGCGGTTTAGGAGCAGCCATCTCCATCCTGCTCGAAGGCCACAGTGTACAAATCCTCGAAGTCGCGTCAGAAATCGGAGAAATCGGCGCTGGAATCCAATGCCTTCCCAACTCCACACGCGTACTCATCTCTTGGGGCCTAGAAGATACCCTCTCTAAACTTGCCACTACGCCGCGATTGTGCAACATGATCGGGTGGAAAGGTCAGAAGATCTCGGACATGGACTTCTATGAGTATGAGGCCCAGTGTGGAACGCCGTTCTGGGACTTCCATCGTGCCAATCTGCATATGGCACTGCTGGAGAGGGCGCTTGAGTTGGGTGCGGTTTTGACAACGAATTCAAGAGTGATGGACGTTCAGTACAAGGCAAGCGGCGATTCGACAAGAGCCGTTGCTGTGTGTGCAGACGGGAAAAGATACCTGGCGGATGTGGTGGTGGGTGCGGATGGCATCAACTCGAAGTGCAGAGAGATTCTACTTGGTCATGAGGATCCACCACTGCTTACGGGCGATCTGGCGTATCGATTGCTGTTAGACACAGAGCAGATGATGAAAGATCCTGATTTGAGGGGTTTTGTCGAAGATCCCCAGGTCAATTATTGGATTGGACCTGATGCGCATGCCGGTAAAGTCGGACTTCATGTATCTATCCACCGCCAGACTAACACACTACAGTCAACTACGTGCTCCGTGGTGGCAAGCTTTTCAACATGGTTCTCTTGGTGCCCGACGACATGCCAGCTGGCGCCAATACGCTTACTGGCAACGTCGAAGAAATGCGCGCTTTGTATAACGACTGGGATCCTCGAATCCCCAAGCTGCTGGCTCTCTGCAAAGACGTCTTCAAGTGGCGCCTCATGATTCGACCTGGCCTGGACCCGACATGGTCCCATCCTTCTGCTGCGTTCACAATCTTGGGTGATGCTGCGCACGCTACACTACCATATCTTGCATCTGGCGCCGGGATGTCGCTCGAGGATGGTCATGTACTTGGTCTCTGCCTTGGCAAAATCAAAAATAAGAGCACGGCGGAGAAGAAGAAGGCACTCGACATCTACGAGCGCTGCCGTCGTGAGCGGACTGAGCGCGTAGTTTCGCGAGGCAATAGGCAGCAGTATCTGTACCATGTGCACGATGGCGAAGAGCAGCAGGAGCGAGATCGATTGCTGACCGAGTTTGCCAAGTTCAACGGCAAAGGCAAGGTCGAAAGGGATGAGTACGAGGCTGCGGGTTTGACAATCGAAATGGATCCGCTGGCATGGCGATGGGGCGGTGTAGGGAGTTGGCTGTTGATGTATGTTTGTGAAGATGATGTCCTGAGGCGGACAACGGAGTATGAGGCCGAAGCAAAGCTCTCAAGTCCAAAGGGAGCGAGTGAGGAAAGTATGAGGGCTGTCTTGTAAGAAGCCCGCGATTGAATTTCCAACTCAAAGTTGCAAGACATCAGTCTTTGCTCAATTGGCTGGGACTTACAGGAAGCCGAGCTGAACACTGGACTTCCAAAAACATAATCTCGTTTTCTCTTGTTTATCTTGGTGTAAAGTGCGGCTCGTCGTTCCCAAGAGAAGCATCATAGAATCTGATTGGCTCGTTGAGTGTCAACAACACCCACAACACTTGTCTTGTGTAACCACGTGACTCAGATCACATGATACTCTACTGTAACAGGCACTGCCCGGTGGGCAAGTGCACTTGCCTGAGAGCTGAGAGCTTGAACAACAAAACATCACACAAAACGACAACAGATAGCAATACACTGTTGATCACAGTCTCCGATCGACACTGCTCAAGCAGTTACATCTTGTCACTACTCCATGCCAACCTTTTCCCCACCCACTTGCGTCATCGTAGTCGCATGCCCCAATTTGACTGCAATTTGGACAAATCTAGAGGACCAAGCTATCGTCTATTTGTCGTCCGGCAGTATCTGCTTTGGGGACGGTGTTTCTCCAATCACAAACCAACGCACCTGCATGCCTTCTGAGGACCTATATACCGCAAGATCAGGAATGATGCATGCAAGAGACATCGTTTCGATCCAACATACGCGATATTCTCTCATGGGTCTCTTTGATGTGCATATGCAGATGCTCTACGGTGAAGGCAACAAGTCTTTTCAGCGCCTGCAAGAGGAGATCATCAGGAACACACCTGACGACTCTATATTCGCATGGCTTGCAGAAGATGCAGGGGTCTCCACCCTGCGAGGCATGTTTGCTCGATCTCCGAAGGAGTTCAAGACCTGTTCGGCAGTGATTAAAGGGGAACAGTCGTTCACGGTAGAAGCCAATCGCGGACTTCACCTCTTTGTCCCGCTTCAGCCCTTCATCTATGCGGCTAATGGGCTTCAACATCATTTCCATGTGGCACAGGTTAGTGCTAAGAACCATGGTTCGCCGATTGTGGTCACACTGCAATACCTGAATCCGAAAGCTGCTGACCGCGATGTTAAACAGGACCCTCTTGATCTGGGTCATGTCGAGTCGGCTGAAGCTCAAACAAAGTTTTCCAGAGTGCTCGCGAGCACATACGGATTTTGGGTCCCGGATACCAGCAAGGCCGCAATTCGGAATATTTACGTCCGGCAAGACCCTCTGATTCCACCTGGCTTTGAGTCGGCGCTTATGCGTTGCTTTCATTTCAGGCCCGGCGACAGCGGAGGAGATGGTCCTCAACACAGTATATATGCGGTATCCCTAAAGAATTTTTACAAATGGCGACATCATATTGTTAAAATACCTGAAGGCGTAGAGGATGTCGAATTCACTATGCTGAGTAAGGATCCTCAATAGGCATAGAAAAGAGTTTTCCAAAAGCAACTGAGTGACCGAGGTAAGGTGCCGATCAATACCACCACATCGTCGAATCGAACGACGTGGAATCAACCATCTTACTTCCTAACAGCAAGGACGAACAACCTTGGGTATCCCAACAGCACCTTTCCGTCCACCAACTGCGGATATGCTTCTTTCAACTTTTCCTCGTACGCTTTCAAATACTCCTGCTTTATATTCTCATCATCCATCCGCTGCAGGTACGGCTGCAGCCCCGTGCCTTTGACCCACTCGGCAATAGCATGCGCATCTTCCAGCACATGTCCATACTTCGTCCGCCAAATTTCCACCTTGTCCGCATGCGGCGCAAGGGCATTATAAAACTCATGCGGCGGCTCGATAGGATCCAGATCCGGCCTGCTCTTGTCAGCAAGGCGCCCAATCTGCGCATCCTCAAAGTACTTCGCCCACGGCTTGTCCTCTTGCTTCGCCACATCCCGCATAAGCGAGTGACTTAGCTCCTCGTAGTTGTCGGGAACCTGGATGGCAAGCACACCCCCCTTCTTCAGCGCCTTGAACAGTCGAGTCAACGTGTCGATCCGCGTCGGACTTCTCAGCCAGTGAAACACCGCGTTACTGAACAGTAAATCCACCTCCTCCCCGTCCTGCGGCTTGAACGATGCCAGATCACCCAACTCAAATTGCACATCCGGCAGCGCGGCGTGGGCCTTGGAAATCATGTCCGGGCTGGAATCCATACCCGAGATCTTCGCGCCGGGGAAGGTATCGAGGAGGACTTTCGTTGAGTTTCCGGGGCCGCAGCCGAGATCGTAGATGCGCGGGTTAGGAGTAGTGATGTATTGGGTTATCTGGTTGACGGTGTCGTAGACAGGGCGGGTACGTTCGTTGCCGAACTTGAGGTAGAGGGCTGCGTTCCAGTCCTTTTTGGAGGCTGCTGTGGCCATGGTGCGGATGGTGGTCGGGTTGATGAAATGTCTGAGGAATAAAGTCATGGGAGGGCTTCCGGAAGTCCGTGAGGGTGTGAGTGCAATAGCTTGGTAAGCTTGTCTGGGGATATATCGGGGTGAAGGGAGCTTAAGTACAGGTGTGGATACGCCGCACAATGAATGTCCGGAAGCCAATTGGGTGGAGCGGCCGCAGATAACAGATATTTCCGCATGCGTTACAATTGCCTGTGGATAAGAAGTTCGGTGGACAACATCTGGAGATCAATTAGAAGATAATTGAGGTGGTCTGCAGGTCTTGATGATGACGAATGTGGTCTGCAGGCCAGAAAAAAGGATCTAGACGGTCTGCAGGCCATCCAAGATTGGCGTGGCGCAAGAGGCGCAACCAATCGAATTCCTGGTCGCTGCGGGGATTGTACAATGTTACCCCGAAAGTCGAGCTCAATACGCCGCTTCTCCGTGTACAAATAAACTCCATTACATTAGTACAGACTCGGAGATTAGGATCTAGGAATACACAGAGAAAAAGTGATGGCTGGAAGCTGAGGTAAAGAAGACTCCAGGATTAATTGGCCCCGCCCATCTTGCCGGCTGTTACTTCCGAGTGTGCAGTGGTCGCGTTGCTGTACGCGATTGGCGCGTTGGGATCACTCGGAATGTGTGCAGTCTCGCTCGCGATGTCGATCCTGATCGAATCCAAGCTCGAGTCAGGAAGCTGTGTGCCATCGCCCTACACAAAGTCAGTAAAGAGCATCAAGGTCAAACTGGGGCTGGGTGAAAAACTCACTCCGTATATCTTCCACGACAACTTCTCCTTCAAAAACGGCACAACATCCTTGTCTTCAAGGCTCCGCAGGTTGCCAGCTTCGATCTGATCCAGCAGACTAGACGTCAGACTGACCGTACCGTGCAGCGTCATGTCATCAACGATCGCGCGTTCCGACAGCAACTCAACCTCATGGATCAGACGCTTGGCCTTGTCGTGGCCCGTCGGCAACATGACAGACCACATGCCAACGTTTGACGAGGCATCTGACGAAAAGTCGCCGACAAGAGAGAACTGCACAAGGAAGGTGGAAGGCAGATTGAGTGGCGCAGCTGACGTGTTTATCATCCAGTCTGTGTACTCTACCTCGTCAGCATCGAACACAGAGTGGTGCGTAACGCTGCCAGTATGTGTTGCTGTCAATCTTCCTCGGGTACTGCCACTGTACATCTGTGCGACTGTGGCTCCTGCCGATGCACTGCCGCTTGCTCGGGTCTCTGTGTAGTCGTAACCGAACAGCCGCCAGTCCATAGCTTCATTCGTTGTCCAGAAGCTTCCAGGGTTGCGACGGAACGGAAGGAGCGGCGTATCGCCATCCACTACGTCGTTGTCCTCCACGAAAACATTGCCAGCGCTACCGACGTTCGTGCGCTGGAGATGAACGCCGGGGTTCTGCGCCTGCCAGAGTGCAAAGAGGCGGTCGACATTCCTGAGAAGTGAGTGAGTGTCGGATCGAGACAGTGGTAAAAGAGAAGGCTCACGCGTGATGAAGCCAGAACAGCGGCTCATAAGACGAGTATTCGAGAGGCCACATGTGACCTCTGCCCCCATTAGCTGCGGAGTAGCCGCCGCCAACTACTCCATGTACCCACCCATGAACCTGCTCAATGGCTTCCCAGAACCCATTAAAGTTGGTTCTTCGAAATGCGACTGCTACTTGGTCTTGAATTTGGCGCCTCAGATTAGCGAAGCTCGCAATGAACTCGTTTTGGCGAGAATTTTCCCACGGGCTTTCTGATGCTGGCCAGCGGACTGTTCGATTCATTTGTCGAAACTGTGGCCAAGCGTCAATTCCTGTGTTACTTTGCTCAATTTCCTCCTTACCTTGTCTTCAAAGCCGTCCGGTATTGATTTGAAAGTGTACGCATAGAGTGGGTTCCAGATCTCGATGTTTCGTCCTTCAGGAGTGAACACTACGGTCGTTTCCGTGACGAAGAATCGGGGCACGTCGCCACTGCCATCTCCCAGAGACCAGTCCCAGTATGGGATTCGGAAGGAGTACGCTGCCCACTGGTAACGCTCCCTCTGATCTTCAGGTGCATGTGTGGCAAGGATTTGAATGCGTGCATACAGCTTTTGCTGTCTCATTGTTAGCGTACATGAGAAGTCTCGACATTCGCGATGCTACATACCTCGAACAGAGCGAGATACGGACGGTGCCATCCAAGGAATAGCGCCATACTATGAGGACAATAGCCCGTGCTGCCAATCTTGTGCGGTATACCTGGTGCATCGAGTACTGTCTTGTAAGGCCTACCGTGTATTTCTTCACAGCATACGTTAGATTGTGATTACAAGAGACTGGTTAGAAGACTCACTTGCAAGACCATAGTATGAAGAAGGGCTGTCCTCATCTGTGGTGTGCAGTTGATCGAGCGCTATGAGATACAAATTCCACTGATCAGGAAAGTTGGCCTGCATGTCGCGCACTTCGAGACGGAGGAAAGGGTTGCCTGGCACAAGTGTCAGCGAACAGTAGCTATTGAATGAACGACTCCTACCATTCTGATCTCTGGAGTCAATACCAGTGACGATGCCCTCAGTAGACTGTCTCTTATTCAAAGGGACTGTAGAAATGCAAGTCGTGACAGAAACGAGTGTGGAGGCTACAACTAGCCAAGAAGTCCACGATGCGAGCATGCTGGGAGGACGAGAGCCGCAAGAGCGTGGATACGGATCTGTAAATGATGTGTCAGACCCTTCTCCACGATGCAAAAGATCCTTAATGATGGAGATACTGACTGAACGCAGTGAAAGATGGGTAGCAGGGACGAACGGGAAATGAAGCTGGGGTAGGAGAAAAGCCCATGATCGCTCAAATTGCGCATCTTGTATTGGCACATCTCGTTGCCCGGACTACATGTGCAGGCCTGTACTGTCTTCCAAGCGTGATCGGTGGTCTTGATGATGTAGAGATGGAGTAAGGGTACGCTCATTGGTGTTGTTGCAATGGTAGCGAACGTTACCACGGGGAGGGGTCCGTAGCCGCATATGCTATGCTCTAGGAAAGCAACTTACTTGTAATCGTCGGGTCTTGGAATATGTAAGGCGAAGAATGAGCGAAAGATGGAGTTTGCAAGCGAGTGTAGTCAGAACAGTGGCGATGAAATTCGAGGTGAAGGCCGACGAAGTAGACTAAGTCCTAAAGCCTGTACACCTAAGCACGTGGCGAAACAATGATCATCGCGATCCTGAGTGACGACGGCGTTGACTTACCTGTTCATTTGACGGATACGTGCTTTTGTCGTCAAGTGTCGAAGGAGTACCGAGATGAATTCGCCCGTTCGAGCAGCAAGTGCTGTCGTGGAAACAGCAGAGCCTTCCCACAAAGTAGCCTTGTGTCTCCATCTTTGTGTGGTACGACGCACGTCTCGGATGTAGTGAGCGTGCAGCCGTTGTGCAACGCCACCATCAGTACTGGAATATGCGTGCGATTGCCAGATGTCAGATTACTGGTGTATTCAGGCTTTGGCTCATCACAGCACACGCAGCCGATCAGTAGGATGCGTTCAATATATGATAATTTGCCCACACTCATGCAAATAGTATGTACATGGATCTATTGGTTGATAGATTACGTTGCACAACGCGTGAGGATCCTCAAGTTGTGCGACAGAACAATGGCGCTTTAACAGTTGTTGGAACGTGTCAGAGCGCAAACCGGCGCGAAGTGAACAACGCAATCGATTAACAACTTGCTATGGCCTTGAGGACCTGAGAAGAGAAGTGCGCCAAGCTTGAAGCACAGGACAAAGTTGGAGAAGATTAACAAGGTCTGATCTGTTGAGAGAAGTCCTCTATTGGTACTTCATAACGCTGGGATCATGAGATTTTCGGTTAACTATGCAGTCGGCCGTAAATGTAGCGCTGTGCGTCTGTAGCACAGAGTGCAACCTTTCCGATAAGCTATCGCCTTATAGCCTCACCATTTCGTGATTCATGCCATTCGTAACATCGTCGCCTGAGCTCAAACCTGCCCATCACCTTCCGTGCGTGCTTTCAAATATCGTTGTAGCCGAGGAGTCTCTTTGGCAGACCCTTGTCCGCCACAGCCCAAGCCCAAGCACGTCCTGCCTCACCGCACCATAGCGCCGAGGGATCATCCGACTTTTCTAACATGTGATCTTTCGCCATGGACTTGATCTCGTGGCCGGTAGTGTAGGTCAAGAAGTGCTCAAATTGCTCGTCCTCCAATGCCAAAGCGTTGCCGGTGATGCCGTGACACAGACAAGGCTCTTTGGTCAAGAGACCCCGTTCCCATATACAGTCTCTTGCTTTCGAAATGACCCTATCGATACGGTCTACAATGTCAGGGAAGTATGGGCGAATGGAGAGCAGTGACGAAACGACCCCGGGAGCACCATGGCAGACCTGCACGAGACGGTCTTTGCCCGGCGGAAGAGAGGAAGGAAAGTTGCCGCTCTCATATTGGTAGCTGAGTAGGACTGTCAGCTCGGCCTGGAGCTTAGGCGCCCATGAATTGTCAGTGAGGACGATTTGCGTGATGATACCGATTGCCCCGTGCACAGCACCGATGTACGCCTTGCCATGCCACTTCCACGGCCGCGGGCTTTCCATGATGTTGGCAATGATCTCATCGGCGGTATCCTCAATAAGCTCAGTGATCTCCTTGCTGTCTTTGAACGCCCCGCGCACCAATCGTAGTAGGTAGAGATAGCCAGCACGTCCGTACAACCACTCGTTCGCAGCTTCTGGCTCAATCAGTACGGCCGCGTGATCGCAGAGCTCCTGCGCGGTGTCTTTATCTTTCGCAGTCACGGCGTACAGAGCCAATAAGGACATGATGTCGTTTGAGACGCCACATTTGCTCGGTGATGGCACCGGGAACTCTTTGATGTTTGCTTGTGCTTGCTCAATGTATGCTGCCGACCACGTGTTCAATGGGTAATCGTCCAGCTTCAGATCCGGATACTCAAGGTGCAGAGCGTAGAAGAGGTAGGCCACAGAGATAGGTCCGTAGTAGAGTCCGCCGCCGGGTGAGATCTTGTGTGGTGGATAATCGGTAATCAGGCGTTCTAGTGACGCTAGCAGCTGCTTGTGAGGGTCCCGTCGTCCCAACGAAGCATCATTGCGAAAGTAGCGGGGTAAACTCTTGGGTTGCGTCTGCGCTGCACCTGCAGTGTTCACGTCTGGTTCCGACATGGTGTTGATACTTGTACGAAGGTCTTGAGCGGTTGAGAAGTTGCAAAGCCGATGATCCACCGCAAATTTGAGAATCGACGCGTCGCGCTACCTCGCTGCCTGGTCCTGGTCCTGGCTTCAAATCGAAGATGACGTCAGCGGGGCATCGTCAACAGGTCAGGCGACGGTCAACAGTCAAGGCGAACGCGCATACACGTCGTAGTGGCGGAGAGGGAGAGAGTCGCTAAGTTTCAGATGTTTTGTGCCAAGCAGTGTCGAAACGCTTGGGCAGCTGCGAGAAAGGCGAGTCGGGCAGCGACCGCCAGCTGGTCACGTGCGTATTGAGCACTCTCGCCTTTTACGCGCTTGTGGTATCATGCTGCAATCACTGTGTATATTCTATGATCTCAGAAAAGAGCCTGTCTTCGTTGTGGGGTATCAAGATGAGCGATTATCGTCCGCCGTCATGCGCACAATTTGGGGCCGTCCGATTCAACTTGAAAAGCATCTGAATCAGCCGATTCGTGGACATTCATACATTGCGTGCGCTGGTGTTGCTTGCAGGCAGCTCAGCGAAAAGGATATGCCTCGGTGTCGCCTCGCCCATCTCAGCTGTAGGGATGACCTCCCTGCTATCGAGCTGGTGCGCGAACTTCTGCTTTGTCCCTATTAGTCCCGCAAACCTTGAAGGTTGCGGCTCCTGGCAATCTATCACCTGTCAATACAAGAGTAACTATGTGACTCAAGTTCTCGGATATACTTGCCGGGAAGCTGCGGTGACATGTCACATCCGACGTGCGGCGATGGATAGACTGCCGCTTTGTAGACTTTCGTGCGCTTCCGGTGCCGCAGGTAGAGGACCAACCCAGCTATCATCGCGATAAGGATTACGCCTCCGAGAACAGCACCCACGAGGGCAGCTGTTGGTACTGAGTTATCGTCTAGGTGTGAAGGTTTTGGCGATTCCGTTGCTATGACACCAGATATTGAGGTGGCAAGATCAGAAGCTGAAGACCGAGACGTTGGTATTGAGAAAGAAGCTGCGTTTGTTGAGAAACTTGCCGAAGTTGATGAAGGCGTTGCAGAACTTGTCAGGACAGAGATTGTTGTCGATGCACTTGAGCTAGACGCTGGATTGATATTAGATACTCAGCCTCGTCAACGGGAAGAGCTCAGCTACTACGTACATTCACTAGGCGTTCTGTCCTTATCTGGAGGACACCCCACCCCAGGATTGCATGCTTCGACCAAGCAGCATCCAACGAAGCCTTGACTGCAGCTGTAGAAGACACCGCCATTAGGACAACTATCATCGCGCTGCAGACTTTGTGAGCTCATGACGATCGGTGATATTCAGGACTCTTTGAATCAGCTCAAGATGGGAAGATGGTAAAATTGACTTCACCAGCGAAAGGCCTTGAAGCGCAAGCCTGCTAGAGCAAGCAGCGAGCAGCGAGCATCAAGCAGTAATCATTGACGTTATGTTTGCAGTCCATCGGAGAGAACAAGGTGGCGCAAGGCTGTCATGATGCGGAAGCTCGTGCGCAAACAAAGTGTTGTAGTTTAAAGTTGGTCACCAAGGGATGTGGGTGTGCTCCGCGTGGCTGATGGCTTGACTTGAAACGTCGATCCTGCTGCGCCGGATGATGAAAGAGGTTGGATGAGATGGAACATCTAAATTTACACGGTCGATGCAGAGTGTGGGGGCACCTGAAATTGCGTCTTGACTGCAGATCCTTTGTCCTTTGCATTCAAGCAGCAGCTGCTGGCAAGAGCTTGTGTGGCCTCTTTCTCGTATTGTAAGTTCGGCACTCCCCCGTACAGACGGACTGATATCTCTTGGACTTGTACTTTTTCTTGACCGTGGTATCGATCGTGGCTTCAGAGCCCGAGTAGCTAGACGGCATCATTGAGCTCGAAGGCTGTAGATTAGCAGACAAGTTCAGACTTACGATTTCATGCATCGTACTTGGGCGTCGATCGATTGTCGATTGCTGCAGGAGATTGGCGATATTGATGAAGAGGATTCCAATAGAGTAGCGCAAGCTTCAAGCCATTTCTGTGTAGTGAATCAATCTCCAGGCCGCCGACAGAGTCCTGGAAGTTGAGTATGCACATCCCAAATGAGGTTCAGGTTTCTGCTCTACGATCTTCTTCTCGTTTGCAGGATACTATAGCAGGCGCAATTGAGTGTCCGCTTCCTTTGTGATGTTATCGAAGAATTTGTCACCGAGATTCGTGGCGAGCCCCATCCAATGACGGGGATAATCGCTCTTCCGGGATGCCATGCTAGACCAAATCCTGACCGCTGTCGAAGAGTTTGGATTTGCTTCGCTACAACGCGTTCGTCATCAGTCTGGTGACGATGAGCAAGGGCGAGAGTGGGGTTTGTCGATGACTAAGCGACCCTGCAACATGTGCTCGCATCGGCTCACGCGTTCGACATGCTCCCCTTCACTCGTACTCAAGGCAACATGATTCCCTTGTTCAGTGCGGCTTCACTACCAACGTTTTCTAGAAGTCCCTGTGTTCACTCACCTTCTCAGCACAGCTATGATGCTGTCAAGTAGGAAAGCCCACGCACTGCTCCTCACGCTCGCCACGCTAGCTTCTGCTACACCCGCCTCTGCGAATGTCCGCCATGCGCTCATCCTTGGACAAGACTTGCCCTCTCTCTCGTCTGCCGGGTTGAACTCCACGCACCCCTGCGATTTTGCGCTGAAAATATACGAGGAAGCAAGGACTGAAGCTGAAGATGCTCGATGCTGTCTATCTTCGCGATGCTGCATGTAGTCGATGCGATTGGCTGCCGTACCGCAAGGGTACCACGCGATTGGTCGAGCCGCGGCGCGCTAGCGACTACCGCGCTGGGAAAGTCGCTGCGAGGTAACGCGCTGGTGACGAGAGGGGGACTGGTGCAAGAGGGTTGCTATCAAACCGAGCCAGTCTCTGGTCTTGATGCTGTGCTGACGCCTAACGTGTCGCGCTCGGTTGCTCAAAGATCTGGGGCTCGGATTGTCTGACCAGCGAAGTGAATAGATCTGAACAACGGGCCGCACACGTACATGATATAAGGAGTCGGTAGCTGCAGCATTTGAACCTCGTTGCCACAGATCGGGCAGCCTCACCACAGGCCGACTTAGCGCAATCCGGTTCCTAAGCCTCGCCGCCCAAAGGCACTGGAACACCACCAACACTGCGACAATGTCTGGGCTCCTTGGATACTTCAGCTGGGACAGGACCAAGACTGCAGATCCAAAGATCAGAGAGCAGGCCGAAGAGAAGCGACAACCCGTGCGCGCGCTGCCTGCATCATGGTACACGTCCCCTGACATGTACGAATTCGAGCGCCGCGCTGTCTTCGCCAACCGCTGGCTCTTCATGACGACCGAATTGCGCCTCCCGAATGCCGGTGACTACGTCCGCTACCAGTTTGCAGGATACGATGTGATTATCATCCGCGACCAGGACAATGAGATTACGGCTTTCCACAACACATCGAAGCAATCCCACAAAACACTGATTGAAAACGACACAACAGAGGCCTGCGGGAACATCGATCTCGCCAGCTTCCCAACCAGCCCTGATGCTGTGTTCCCCATCCACGTCCACATGGACCGCAACGGCTTCATCTGGATCAACCTGGACGCCTCGTCCCCGCCGTCGATCCCGTTTGACGAGTGCTTCAACGACGTGGACGTGCAAGCGCGCTACGCTTCGCTCGACTTCAGCGCCTACAATCTCCACCACATCTCCACGCTGCGCGCGACGTACAACTGGAAGGTCGCCGCCGACAACTTCAACGAGTGCTACCACTGCCCGACAACGCACGCCGACATACCCGCCTTCCTGGACCTAGCCACCTTTGACTCGGCGCTGCGCGACAGCCACATACAGCACTTTTGCGCGCCGACGCCGGACCAAATCGCCCTCGGCGTGAACGTGCACAGCACGTACTTGTTCCCCGCGGCCTCGCTGACGGTCGGCGCGCACTTCCTCATGGTGCAGAAGTTCCTGCCGACGTCAGCAGGCTCGTGCATTGCGCACTACGAGATCTTCCGCGGTCGGCACAGCAGCGACGAGGATTTCCACCGCATTGCGGATATGTACGCGCGCGTGATGCAAGAGGACAAGGTGCTGTGCGACGCCGCGCAGCGCAATCTGGCGCGCGGGGTGTTCGGCGCGGGACTGCTGCATCCCGTGTTCGAGAAGGCGCCGGTGTTCTTCCAGCGGCACTGCCGCGCGGTGGTGCGGGCGCACTGGGACAGGGAGGAGAGGGAGGGGCGGGCGGTGCATCCTGCGATGCGGGATGGCCTTTGCTTTGGACCGGTGCATGGGGCTGGGGTTGAGGCGGGTGGAGGATCGCTGTGGAGACGGCGGGAGGAGGAGAATCTATGATCGTTTCCCGGCAGACCAATCTCCACACGCCGTGACCGAGAGTATGAGATGTCCGTGACCGAGAGTATAAGATGTCTGTAACTGAGAGTATGAGATGTCCGTGACTAAGAGTATAAGATGTCTGTGACCAAGAGTATAAGATGTCTGTGACTAAGAGTATGAGATGTCTGTAACTGAGAGTATGAGATATCTGTGACTAAGAGTATAAGATGTCTGTAACTAAGAGTATAAGATGTCTGTGACTGAGAGTATGAAATGTCTGTGACTGAGAGTATGAAATGTCTGTGACCGAGAGTATGAAATGTCCGTGACCAAGAGTATGAAATGTCCGTGACCGGTAGTGCCGGGACGAAACCCCACGGCTGCGCTTAAAACGACACAAGGCAAGGCAGACAGGCGAGGCAGGCCGAGGTGGTATGAACAGCAGCCCAGCGATTGCGACCAGGAGAAGAGCGAGCCAATTAGGGAGTTACATCGTATCACATCGTATCAATCGTATCACGTCGACTCACCGTCCGCGTCTCACAACGCTTACAAGCCAGAGCAAATTCAACAGTAACGCACACCCTCCACCCACGAACGACTACACTACACACTCACGCCTGCGACCCCTCCCCTCCTTCCGCTTCTCCCTCTCCCCTCCTTCCGCTCCTCCCCCTCACCCCGGCCCACCACTCCCTCACATCCCTCGCATGCTCCTTGTACACATAGACGCCCGCATTCGCCAGCCCAATAAACTGCGTCGAGCTCTGCAAAACAGTAAGCGCGCGCACATTATGCCCCATGCCCTCAGCGATGCGGTTCGCAATGCCCGGGATCCACAGCACCAGGTACGTCACCGGGTACATGTTGAGCAGGAGCATGCGCCAGATCTCGCGGTCGACTTTGATCTCGTGGTCGTGGCGCGGGCGCGCGGGTATCGCAGTGAGGGAGGGGGGGCGTTTTTCGAGGTGCACGAGGATGTGGGTCGAGGTCGGGGAGGTGGGGGTGTCGGGGTGCACGGTGCTGTACGGATCCTGGTCGGGGGCCGTGTGGGGGGCCGTGTGGGGGGTCGTGTTGTGGGCCGTGTCGAGGGGCGTGTCGCGCGCAAAGCTGAAGCTGCTTCTTGCGCGGCGGTGGTGTTTGGGTCGGCTTGGCCAGGGGCGGTCGGCGGCCGAGTCGACGCTGATGCGGGGGGTGAGGCCGCAGCCGGCGAGGACGGCGCTGTCGCGCGGTCTGTGGTCGAGCGTTCTGTACGGGACGTCGCTGGGGATGCTGCAGCTGATATTGGAGAGGTTCTGGGGGCGCAGGCGGCGGCTCATGTAGACGAAGACGTAGATGTATGTGCAGAGTGAGATGAAAAAAATGGCAAAGCGCCAGCCGTGATTGAGGGTGTAGCGCTGTCGCAGGTACTGCTTTTCGATCCAGCACCAGTTGCCGGAAACGGGCCCGTAGTAGTGCTTCCGCCATGCGAAGAGGCCTGCGCGTGTTAGTGGGATAGCTCGAGGGCGGGGACGACGTACTGGTGCACAGCGGCACGATCCAGATGCAAAGGCATATGAGTGCCTTGGTGGCGGTGGAGGCATAGATGACAAAGGAGCGTAGCTGGATGGTGAGCAGCGTAATGAGCGTGATGGCGAGTATGGAGAAGTCGACGGCCTGGAGAGGTTAGACGCCAACGTGACAGACGACTGTGGAGGTGGTCAACGGACCTGCACCGAGAACTGACCGGCCCAGCCGTTCACTTCGCAGGCGGTGCCTGGCAGCAGCGGTCTGCGTCTTGCGACTGCGGCACTGCCAGAGATGGAGTTGTTCAGACTGTTAAGGAACTCTTCCCGAGGTCAGCTGTGTTGGGTGCAAACGATTCTGGCGGCCCTACCAGCTACCGTGAGATTCAAGATCAATGCATAGCGGAAGTCGCGCCTCTTTCTGCCGCGGGCGAAGATCCAGAGCAGTATGACGGTGGTTGTCGCAACGAGAGAAAGTAAGCTACCCGTCAACGTAGGTATGGAGCTTGCTGGATCCCAGGCAAGGACCGCCTGTGACGAGGAGGTCGCCATCGCTGTCGCAGCATCACGCACAGCGTGGCTCATATTGGGGAGGTCATGAAAACGAAGAGAGTGGTGAAGAGGAAGAGAGGGGTGAAGACGAAGGGAGGGGTGAAGAGGAAGAGAGAGGTCAAGACAAAGGGAGAGGTCAAGACGAAGAAAGAGGTCAAGACAAGAACCGAGTGGGTCGAGACAGGAACCGAGTAGAGTTGGGAAGCGGATATGACAGCAGAACCGGGGGCCCCGGAGTCTGGCACCAACGGCCAAGCGGCCTGTCAGATTGCTTATAGATGCGAGGGTCAAGCCAAGTTTCCTGAGCGTGGAGTTGGGCCCTGCACGAGTCATGCGTGTGGTGGGTTTCGAGTGTTGCTCGGGGCCCGGTCAGAGGCGCTAGCACAGCCGCGCGAGCCTCAGTATTCACCACCACTGACAGGCTCCTCACTGGCATTGTTTGCCCAATTGTGGTTGACGGGGATGGACTTTACTGCATGGTGGCGTTGTTCTGCAAGGGCACGGTACGCTCGTGAAACAACATCGGCCCTTCTTTTGTGATGCGACGGGTGCAATTTTCCGCGTCGAGGTTAGGCCGCAGGGTCAGACTTGAGCGCGTCGGAGGAGTGACGATCAATGGGCTCCCGTAGGCTCCCGCGGCGAAGGACCGAGCAGGATCGCGGACACGAGCGGGTCCTACACTCGGGGTGGGAAAGGGCGAGATTAGCTGTTACGGATCGAGGCAGCGAGGGCAGGGCCGGGCAGGATGAGACAGACAGAAGGATGCAGCAGCACGAGGAGACGGAGACGAGAATATGCGGCGGTACGAGAGGACGGAGACGGCATGTGCAGCGCTAGAAGACAGACGGCATGTGCAGCGCTAGGAGACGACAGACAGAACAGGCAGCGCTAGGGGACGACAGACGGAACAGGCAGCGCTAGGAGAAGATGAAAAAGACGGAGAAGACGGAAAAGACGAAAAAGACGAAAAAGACGAAAAAGACGGAAAAGACGAAAAAGACGGAAAAGACGAAAAAGACGAAAAAAGACGAAAAAGACGGAGACAAAAGGAGGCGAGAGTATTGGTCTTGATTGAATGTAATCTGACAGTGGGTGCCGTCGAAAGGCGCCATGCAATTATAGCTCTCTGCACAACGGCTGGTGTGGCGTGCGTGCGGCTCTTCCTGGCCGAGCGCGGGGGTTCCTGGACGGCTGTGGCTCGGGGCGGTCGGGGGTGGGGCGCGAGCGAGTGACGTGCAGGGCTCAGGCGAGTGGGCGCACGAGGAATCGGTCCTCGGTGGCGGGGTAGGCGCTGCCTCGTCGCGGTCATCGCAGACGGTCCTCTGGTGGGCGTTAGCGGTGTGGGCACGTGAGCGGCAGGAGCACGCAACGCACGCATCTTGGTGAGCTCGTCCAGGATGGCCTGCAGCGAGTCCGTGTCCATTTTCTCGGCGAGCGAGGGGATGAGGGTGGTGGCCTCGTCGGCCGAGTCGGGGGTGAGGGTGCCTGCACAGTCAGCAAACAAGACGACGAGGGGAGGGAAGAGGGAGAGGGAAGAAGGGAGAGGGAAGGGGAAGGGAGAGGGAAGAAGGGAGAGGGCAGATGGAACAAGGACGATGAAAGAAAAAAGAAAAAAGAAAAAAGAAAAAAGAAAAAAAGGCAAGAGGGCGACGCACCCAGCAAGGCCTTTTCGACCGTCGTCAGCTCCGGGTGGGTGTCGAACATGGCGTTGATGGCGTGCAGGCTCTCCTCCTCCTTGTAGCGGGCAAAGTTGTCAAAGTAGTCGAGGAAGTGGGTAATGGTCGGGTTGTCGTTGTGGATGCGGTCGCGCAGCGGGTTGCTCTCGGGGTCCTTGTTCTTGCGGCCCTTGTGCACGGCGGTGACGACGGCGCGGGCCTCGGAGACGGACAGCGCGTGCACGTCGTCAAAGTCGCCCAGCTTGATCTCGTTGCCCATTTCCTCGTCCTGCGCGACGGGCGGCTTGGGGCGCGACACGAGCCGCGGCGGCTTGGGGTAGTCGACGGGCGGCGGCCGCGCGGCGTTGGGGTTGGTGCTCTCGCCGTAGTCCATGGCGATGACTGGTGGTGGGTGACTGGTGGTGGGTGACTGGTGGTGGACGACTGGTGGTGGACGACTGCTTGTGGGTGGATGACTGCCTGTGGACGACTGGCGGTGGGCGACTGGCGGTGGACGACGGCTTGTCGAGGTGGTGTGGATGGCCGATGGGCGTGGAAGCCGTCGGGGTGCAGTGCGTGGAAGCCGCCGGGGTGCAGTGCGTAGAAGCCGTCGGGGTGCAGCGTGTGCAGCGTCGGGTGAGGCTGCGCGGTCAACGACTGCTTTGTCGCGTCGCGGTCGCTGCAGGCACCACACGCAGAGAAGCGCAGACGCGGGGAGAGCCGAGTGGCTCGCCGAAGCCCGCCTCGCCCGTAGTGACAACGTAGGGCTGCTGGGGCGGCGTTGCTTGGACAGGCGACTGCACTGTTACACGAGCGCCGTCAACAGCTCGGCCGCTCATCCGCCCATCCGCCCATCCGCCCCCTACTTGGTACATGGCATCTACTATTCCCGTGCACTGCTCCTGATTCACTGCTCCTGATTCTCTGCCCCCGACTCACTGCCCCCGATTCTCTGCCCCCGACTCACTGCCCCCGATTCACTGCTCCCGATTCACTGCCCCCGATTCGCTGCTCCCGATTCGCCGCTCCCACCAACACTGCCCCGATTCACTGCCCTGATTCACTGCTCCCACCAACACTGCCCTGACTAAGCCCGTGTCGCGAGCGGAGCCATCGCTAGCTGCCGTGGACGTATTGCGTGTGACAAGTGTGCATGGACGTCCGACGTTGTGGACCGCCGCCAGCCTCGCCGGCCAACCTCACTGACCGGCCAACTTCACTGCACCCCCTCGCACCGCCCTCCCGCGCCGCACACGCAACCCGTCCCTCCGCCGCCGCGACCGCGCTGCCGTGCCCGTCCTCTTGTCGTCCGGCTGCCCTGGCGGTGCCCGCTCGCCGCGAACCGTCTTCAATTGCACCGCGCGCTCTCCCCCTCCGCTTCGCCGGCTGCCGCCCCCGGCGCGCCCTGCCGACTGCGAACGCATGGTGACAGCCTCGCAGCCCGCTCCAGCCGACATTGTACATAGCACCCACCTGCGCCACGCCACGGCTCGCCGTCCACACGCCCCGCGTCCGCGTCCGCGTCCGCGTTCGCGCCCGCCGCCCGCCTCACCGCTAGTCGTCGTCGTCGTCGTCACCACGGCCCGGCGCCCACGCCCTCGCTGCCATCGCCGTCAGCCAGGCGCTGCCGCTGCCGCCCATGGACTCGACGGCGCCGCCCCGCATGGACGCCTACGACCCGCGCAGCAATGGCCTGGCCCGACAGCCCACCGAGCCCCTGGACGCCGCCGCCCCGCCGCCGCCGCCGCCGCCGCCGCCGCCGCAGCAGCAGCAGCAGCAGCAGCACGCTTCTGCTTATGCCCACGCTCCCGCGCACAACCCGCCGCGCTCGCATAGCCTCGACCCCCAGGACCGCGCCGATGGCCCCGTGCGCTCCATGACCGACCCCGCCCAGCACGACCAGCAGATGCAGCCGCCCAAGCCCAAGCGCACCGGCAAGATCTGCGGCAAGTGCGGCGAGGCCCTGACCGGCCAGTTCGTCAGGGCCTTGGGCGGCACGTACCACCTGGAGTGCTTCACCTGTCACGTGCGCGCCTCCCCTCCCCCCCCTCTCCACAAGCACGCTGCTGACATGCGCAGGACTGCGGCAAGATTGTCGCCTCCAAGTTCTTCCCCGTCCCCGACAAGCCCCCGGGCCAGTACCCCCTCTGCGAGACGGACTACTTTCGCCGGCTGGACCTGCTCTGCCACGACTGCGGGCAGGCCCTCCGCGGGTCCTACATTACGGCCCTCGAGCGCAAGTACCACATTGAGCACTTTACCTGCTCCGTGTGCCCGACCGTGTTTGGCGCCTCGGACAGCTACTACGAGCACGAGGGCAGCGTCTACTGCCACTACCACTACTCGACCAAGTTTGCGCAGCGCTGCAACGGCTGCCAGACGTCGATCCTCAAGCAGTTTGTCGAGATATTCCGCAATGGGCAGAACCAGCACTGGCACCCCGAATGCTACATGATCCACAAGTACTGGAACGTGCGCCTGCACTCGACTGGCCAGCCCATCCTCGAGAGCCTGCAGCCCGCAGAAGGCGAGGCCACCGACACCATCCGCGAAAAGGTGCGCCAGCAGGAAGAGGAGATTGAAGCAAAGGTCAACTGGATCTGGAAGACGCTGTCGGCGTTTGAGGAGAAGTCGGCCACGTGCATCTCCGACATGCTGCTGCACGTGAGCAACGGCGCCTACGTCGACGGCGTCATGGCCGCCAACAAGTTCATCATCCACGTCGAGCTGCTGTTTGTGGCCGCCGATGACCTCGACGCCCAGCTGGCGACCAACACACCCAAGGGGCTCAGCTACTCGCGCGAGGCGAAGCTGCTGTGCAAAAAGGTCGTTGCCTTTTTCCAGCTGCTCACCCAGTCGTCGGGCACGGGCGTCCGCCGTCTCGGCGTGACGCAGGAGCTGCTGTCACTGGTCACGGGGCTCGCACACTACCTCAAGCTGCTGATCCGCATCTGTCTGCAGGGCGCGCTCAAGCTGGAGCGCGAGACCAGAAGCTCCAGCGGCATTGCAAACTTTCTGTCGCAGGTCAACTCGCTCGATGCAAAGCTCGAAGAAGAGGCGTCCAAGGACCGGGCCGCCGAAGCAGCAGTCCTCATCCCACGATGGGCAGACGCCTGCCCCATCTGCGACCTGCAGGTCGAGGACAAGTGCCTGCACCTCAACAACATGTCGTTCAACTACACCTGCATGGTCTGCTGCAGCTGCAATGCCGACCTGCGTCTCGATCTCCGGCAAGCCTACTGGAGCGCCTCGTCGAAGCGCCTCTTCTGTCCTGCGTGTGCGGCCGCGCAGCCAGATGCCGAGAGTGGCTTCCGTCACGTCACCAAGCTGCGGCAGTACGTCCATCTCCTCAAGGTCGCCCACGCCCGCCTCATGGCCACACTGCGGACCAGTGGCGCGCTGCCACACACATCCGGTAAGCTGCACCGCCGCCGCCCCCCCGACCGATCAGCGTCCTCATCTTGACACGTTGCCCCAGAATTCACGCGTCGCTTCCAAGAATACATTCGTCCGACTAATCATGACCTGTAGATGACCCCAACCTGACAGGCTATGACTCGTCCGCCGGGCACCGCATGGACAACAACGGCGCTGCGCTCGCACCCCCGCATCTGCGAGCCGACGCGAGGTCCAAGACGTACAATGGCTCCGACGCCCACTCCAACGGCCACGGCAGCTCCAATGCGGCGTACGAGCAGTCCATGTCAGACATCAAGCGCCTGCGGTCCACGCGACTGGACAAGCACCTCTCCAACACGATGAAAAGAGCACGTGCGTCCCGCATCCTCGACGGCTCCGAAGGCTACGAAGCCGGGGCCAACACGGAGATGCGTGGGGGCATGCAAATCGTCAACGAGCGCGACCAGGTGGACATGGAGAGCGCCACGCTCGCCGTCAACTCGCTTGCCCTCGACGACATTGCCCGCATGGCCGCCATGGAGCAGCAGCGAGAGCAGCGGCCAAACGCCTTCCGCGCCGGTGGCGGAGCCCTTCTCGGCCAGGAGAATGCCAAGGTGCGCCACGGCCACCGTCGCGACTTGTCCGGTGCGCAAGAGCTGAACGACATTGCCGACGGCCGGTCACGCACCTTCTTCTCGGAGCTGTCGCCCCTCGAGTACTTCAAGCTGAAGGGTCTTGCCGTGCTGCAGCTCGGCCTGCTTCTAGATGACAGCCAGTACAACCAGGAAGACCTGCTCGACCTCATCGAGTCCAAGAAGAACAACTTCTGGGGCAAGATTGGGTTCGGAAAGGCAAAGGGCAAGCCGAAGAAGCCTCAGACGGTCGAGAAGCCGGCGTCGGACAATGCCACCTTCAAGCAGTCCCTGGAGTGGCTGGTGGAGAAGAAGGGCTGCGAGTGCACCGAGGGCGTGGGCCCGGGTGCGCTCAAGGTCCCAGCGCTGCTCCAGGACGCCATCACCGCAATGAGAAACATGGACATGTCGATTGAGGGCGTCTTCCGGAAGAACGGCAATCTCAAAGCACTACGAGAGCTGGAAGTCGAAGTCGATCAAAAGGGCGTCGAGCAGGTGGATCTGAGCTCAAAGAATCCCGTCATCCTCGCCAACCTGCTCAAGCGCTTCCTGCGTGTCATGCCGGACCCCGTGCTGACGCTGAAGCTCTACAGGCTGTTCATGACGGCAAATGGTACGTGCGCCACTACAGCTGCCGTCCGCGACTAACGACGCCAGACATTGACGACGAAGACAAGCGGAAGAAGGTGCTCCACCTGGTGCTGTGCTTGTTGCCCAAGGCCCACCGCGACACGATGGAGGTCCTGTTCTGCTTCCTCAACTGGGTGTCCTCCTTCCACACAGTCGACGAGGAGTCTGGCAACAAGATGGACACGTGGAACATTGCCACCGTCATGGCGCCCAACATCCTGCGCGAGAGCAACGACAAGGAAGTCCGCAGCGTCGACCAGGGCGCCGTCAAGGTTGTCTTTGATCTCATTGAGAACAACGACGAGTTTTCCGAGGTACGTCACACCGACAGCTGACGTGACGCGCACTCACCAAATAGGTACCTCCCGAGATCATGGAGCTCCTCAGCGACGAAAACGCCACCGACATGAGCGCCAAGGAGATTATGCGGCGCTGGGAGCAGCGCGGGAACAACCCCGGCGACGCGCTCACGACATCGCCCAAGCACCCGGGCGCCATCGCAAAGCGCAAGGACGAGCGAAACGCTCCCCAAATCACAGACGCAGACAGCAACCCCACCTCGGCACTCTCGGGCGAGTCGTCGGTCCGCCAGCACGCCGTCGCCGGCGGCAGGATGAACCTCTCGCCCTCGCGCCACGCCGACATGGGCGCGCCCAACCCGCCCTACGGCCAGAACCCCCAGGCCTCGGCGGAAAGCCATCGCACCGCGTCCCCGCACCGGCACAGCTACCGCTCGCCGCAGTACCAGAAACAGCAGCAGATCAGCACCACGGGCGCCGGGTGAGTCTCCCGTGCGTCTGCTTCGTTGGCGTGCTTGGCGTTTAGCGTTTCCTTCTGTTCTGATGGCAAGAGTGCTGCGGTGCAGCTTCGCGCGAGGCGCGTGTCACATTCCCCGGATCCAGACGGTCCATGTTCTACTACAAAAAGGCACGGCCGCAGAGACGGCTTGCATGTCGAGCAGCCGCGGCTGTTCACGGCGTTTTGGGCTTGGCTTTTGGTACATGTTTTGCGCGGGGAAGACGGGTGGTAGATGCATGGTGGGTGCAGAGCGCTACACGGCGTTTCGCAGCGCGGTGCTTGGACTGCGCGGTAGTGGGCGGATAGCCGTGGGGGTTGGAGCGGCGAGCTGCACGCTCTTAAGTGGAATGGAGAAGTACCTCATCACCGACTCTGTCTTGTCTCGCATCGTATCGTCGGCGTTGCATCGCCTCGTGCCGCCTGGACATGCCAGCCGCGGGCTCGCTGATCGTGTCGAACCCCCCCAATGCCTCAACACCGACCTTTGCCTGTCTCTGCCCCTGTGCATGCCCTCTCCGAAACACCCCCTTTCGCGTATCCGCTTCCCAGCTCACCCCGTCGTGAATACCATCGGCACCCTCGCGCCGCCGCCATGACAGCCAAGCCGGCGGGCTTCGACCCCGTCAAGGGCGTGGACACGTACACCTCCCTCGCGCGTGCTTCGACTCGCCCCGCGCACGGCTGGTCGACACCCCGCGAGAACACCACCCCTATTCACAGAGTGTTGCGCCACTCTGCCGATGGACATGACTGTACGAGAGGCTGACGTCTGCTTCGGACTTCGCTGGTCGCGTGGAAGAGCGCGGGGCATCAAGTCGCTGGCTGAAATGAGTATAGCGCTTCACCTCGAGTCCTCGTGCGGATTCTGCGTGGGCACATGGCCTGGCTGCTGTGCTAGAAGGCTTCTCTGGAACAGCTTACGGCCGTGCGCGGCGAGCTCTGGCGTGGTTGTAGCCGGGGTCGAGGGTTTCTGCGGTGCGTTTGACCAAAGGTCAAGGTATCGTTGACGAGCTAAGCTGGTTCATCACGAGTGACACCGCGTCTTCCATGGATGAAGTTTGGGAGAGTGCCGGGGCGTTTCCTGTGCCATTTGGCACGTGTCTGATGGTTACTAGCTGGCTGTGCTCGCTGACGATCGTCTGCGTGACAGTCTGCACCGTGCAGCATCTGCCAACGACATCAAGTCCATGTTTCCTGACATCCATAAAGGGGATCTAACCTTGGGTCATGGACCAGTGTGTTTCGGAGGTCTTTTTACGGGTAGTCACTGGTCAAGATGCCCTGGTTCTCACTTCTCACTTCCCAGTGCCAGCCTGCCAGCACAGCAGCTCGACATCATCGAAAGCTGACTCGGCACGCGCCGGCGATATCTGACCACACTTGCGATCGAGATTTCGGTGTCGTCTGAGTGCTGACCAAGGCTTCGCCAACTTCTACGAGAGCCGCCGTCAAATGGGTTCGATGAAGTGCTATTTCTTTGTGTTGCACATCGGTCTTCTACTTCCGTTCACATCTCGGGCTGTCTGTCTCGAGTTCCCTTTAGCTTTTATACCAGCTTCTGCGGGAAGAATGATGTTGGTGCTTGTGATTTCGCGACTTTGCCTCCAGCTGTCAATGAGCTTGCTTTGGCAGACATATGCCGCCAGCAGACAGGCCGCCAGTATGGGCGTCATTGCGCATTCCTGCGGAAAGAACACGTCGCCTCCTGCGGAAGCAACATTGCAAGGAATCGAAAATTCAAATCTCAGGCGGCGTCATGGGAGCAGTATGTCACTGCCGTGCTGCTGAAGGCCTCGGAGAAAGTGCGATGTGCAATGTGCCATGTGCGATGCATGACGTAGGCGGGGCTAGGTGCCGCTCTGGCCTAGTCATTTGAGCCGCATCCTCGGCGCGCAACCGCTTGCAGCGAGCTGCGGCCCTACTCTTCGTATGCTAAACCACTTCACTGCGACTTGAGGTCAAGTTTTCATTGCTGATAGCTTGGATGTTGTCAGCAGCATATAGTCTGGTCAGAAGACTGCACGAGTCGGAACAAGATATAGATGTCTCGCAGTGTAGGCCGACCATGCTCTCCCATCGGGACCACGGTAGCGCAGAGCCCCGTGAGACCAACCAATGAAAGCTGAAGGAGGCCGCAAGTCTTCGGAGGCGAAATCCACTCGGGATGCGTTCAGGCGGAAAGGGTGCTGAAGCTGGAGATGGCGCCGGGGGGGCTGCTCGTCGACTCGGTGACGTCCCCGACCCCACTCCGACATCATTCCCCGCGCCCCTCCGTCTTTATTTTCCATCACCATAAACATTCCGCTTGCTGCTCTCTCTTCTCTACGCACCAATTCGTATCCCAATTACACATCATGTCTCTCGGTCGCACAGTAAAGCTCAACACCGGCGCCTCCATCCCGTGAGTACTGAAGGAACCAGCAATTGGAGATTGTTCACTGACAAGCTACAGCCAGTTGGGTTTTGGAACATGGCAGGCTGAGCCCGGTCAGGTTGAGGCCGCTGTTTACGAGGCTCTCAAGGCTGGCTACAAGCACATTGATCTTGCCAAGGTCTACGGCAACCAGAAGGAGATTGCACAAGCCTTCAAGAGGGCTTTCAGCGAGGGCGTCAAGCGTGAGGACCTATTCATCACATCCAAGCTCTGGAACTCGCAGCATAGGCCCGACGATGTCGCCCCTGCTCTCGACGACTGCCTTGCTGAGCTCGGCCTCGACTACCTCGATCTCTACCTCGTCCACTTCCCCGTTGCCTTCGACGAGCAGGGCGATGTTCACCAGAACCTCTTCCCCCTTCAGTCTGACGGTGACGTCAAGATGCTCGACTCCATCTCCATCGTCGACACATGGAAGGCCATGACCAAACTCGACAAGAAGAAGGCGCGCGCCGTTGGTGTCTCCAACCACACACAGGAGCACCTCCAGGCTCTGATCGATGAGACTGGCGTCACACCCGCCGCCAACCAGATCGAGCGCCACCCCCGTCTCCTCCAGACCGAATTCATAAAGTGGATGGGTGAGAAGGGTATTCACGTCACCGAGTACTCTGCCTTCGGTAACAACATGTTTGGCGAGCCCCTGCTCATCACACATAAGACCATCAAGGAGATCGCCGACCGCATCGGTGCTGCCCCTGCCCAGGTCATCCTCGCCTGGGCTCAGGTTGGCGGCCACTCTGTCATCCCCAAGTCGGTCACCGCAAGCCGCATCCGCGACAACTTCCAGGAGATTGAGCTCTCCGATGACGACTTCAAGAAGATTGAGCAGATCGGCAAGGATGAGCCCCGCCGCTTCAACATCCCATACATTGCCAACAAGCCCAGGTGGCCCGTAAACATCTTCGGCGAGCCTGAGGAGAAGGAGGCCCCCCACAAGGTCGTTGTCAAGGCTTAGATGGCTTGGGAGTCGTGCAATGATACCACCTAGACAAAATAAAAAATGAAAAGTCTGATCACGCGAACCGTTTGATTGACCCGGGGCGCAACCATGTCGCGCTCTTTTTCACCATGAGGCCATAACGCGTTGTGGGTCGTGTTCTAGCGTGGGTGCATTTGCCGCAGCGGAGCCAACTCCGTCTCGTATTGCGCACCTTTTCTGTCGGGCGCGAGTCACGCTCTGTGCTCACAGCAACACAAATATGCCAATTTACTACGGTTCGTTGAAGGCAAGCTGGATTCGAGCAATGATACCTTTCCCGCCGTAATGGAGAGAGATTTGGGGTACAATCCTAGCCAGGTGGACTTCACAGTGATAGCGGAGAAGATTATGTGTGCATATCCTATCAGCGATATCTACGCACCAACGCCCAGGTATCTCTACTATGCTCTCCTGCTCCTTACATTCGCAACGTTGCGCTTCAGATGGCTCTCCAACATCTTTCTCACCGGCGCTGTGGCCTACGCTGCCAGTGCAGCTATACACGCCTTCATCATCGTCTCGAGCCCGCCGCGATTGCAACAACCCAACTACGTCAACCTGCCTTTCGTTCCCGACACATCGAGTCTCACAGAGTCAGTCGTATCACTGATCACTGGAGTGCCTGGGCTTCTTGTACAGCCGGACGCCGTGGAGCTGGACATCGATCCCATCACTGCGGTTGTGGTGACTGCGTATCTCGTTGGTCTACCCCTGCAGATCTGGTCGCGTACAATGCGATCGAGTCTCATCGTCCGGTACATGATTCTGCTTTGGAATCTTTGCATGTTGGCGGGTACTATATCAGCGCTGCTTGCCTGGCCATCCACAAACCTGACTGCCCCACAATTCCGCTTTTGCTTCGCCGGCAATCTTGACGGAGATTCGCAGGGCAGCGACGGCTGGGACCCGACGTATTGGAAGCGCGACTGGAACAGTACGATATGGAACATCTTTGGAAACCCGGATACTGTCTGGCAGCAGCTCTCAAACAGCTGCTTTTACCCTTGCTTCAACACGAGCCAGGTCATCCGTCAAAGCACTTCTCTAAAGGCCGTCGTCACCACGCCGACTACGAAATTCGCAATGCTGCACAATGCTCAGCACGGCACCGACGACGAGTTCAAACCCCTGATCTATGTCCTCATTGTCGTGTTCTCCGCGGCGCAATTCTTTCTCTACATTGTCTCCGTGATGAGACTTGGTAGCGAAGCCATGCGCGTTCCGATCCACGAGCCGCATAGTCTATGGCGAAACAGAAAGACGGTGGGGCAGCAGCTTCGAAGCGACATGTTGCGGAGCTGGACTTCTATTCGAGCAGTGTTGCTTTGGCCAAGCAAGGGAAAGCACCAGCAATCCTGCAGCCATGCAGTCGAACCCCCAGCGCATGCTTCCAGCGGACCTCCGCATTGTCATAACTTCATTGCCACTTTACGTCTCATTGTCGACGTTCTCGCCATCCTCACCCTGCTCGCAGGCATCATCATCTCGCCACTGCTCGTTATAGCCTTCATATGGTGGATTGAGTGGTACATCCGCAACGACGGCTCAACGAACGAATCGATCAGCCAAGTTGGCCAATGGTCACCGCTGGTGTCAGTTGCAGTTGTGCTGTTCGCAGCGCTGGTGTATCAGCTGAAAGGGAAATTGGCTTCCGAGAGCGAGATCCGCGACGAGATCTGCAAAACGGAGATGTATTTGAGGAAGCTCAAGGTTCATTTAGAGGAAAAGAACAGCACGTGAAATCTATGGTGGAACGCCGCATTGTGCTTCGAATCACCTGGGCACCGCTTACACGGGTGCTATTCACCGACCGCCAATCACACGAGCCAGGGAGAAATCGGAAGCAGCGATGGCTTAATAATTATGTACCAAGAGCACATCACATCGATACTGCGTCTTTAGCAAGACTACCAGGCATTCTTTGAACCCGCTCAACCGGCTCCCTCCTTTGTTCGCAAATGCGTCGCACTCGTTCATGCCCGTCGTTCCCGCTCGCAATCGCAGTCGCTTTCAAAAGCTACTAGGGTTCCCGCATGCACATATCAAGATCTGTTCCTTCAGATTTGAAAACGACAAGGTCCGAGAACATAGCAGATAGCTCCGCGCGTTCGTCAGCAGTGTCAACGGTGAATTTACGCCGCCACTTCACCACCAACAATACGCGATCCGTCATCATTCGGAATTATAACCCAACCCCTAAACCTGAAGCATAAGAGGGCATTTCTGGCATGCTGGTGTGATTGTCGAAGAGGTTGCTCCAGCTAGGCATCTGGCACAATGGTGTCTAATTGACCCCTAATCATGTTTGCTCATCATATAGCTTCGCAGGAACTTTGAACATGGACTGGCTCCAGCATAAACTCAACTGATGCCAACGCAAGACCTAATTGGACAGGAAACCAGGGCAGACGAGACTATGACTGTTATGTTCCTCACCACTACAGAGCTATATTGACGTGACAGGCGCACGTAGAGCGCTGCTTTCGAAGCAACTCTTCGGGCTTGCCATTGGCTGCTATCTCTGCAGATTGGGCAGTGGTAACTTCTTCTGTGTTCCACTCTCCGCTTCCGCCATTGGTAAACAGCCAGAGTCAGGCACGTCAGCGGTACGGCGCAGATCCAGTACACCCAGAGCTCGCTTGACAATGACCATCCTGTGCTGCCCTGGTCAGGTTTGTAGTCAGAAAAGCTCATGCTGAAGATCGCCTGCTTGCTATTAGCCATATGTCGTATCACTGTAGGAGATTGCATGCCGACAAGAAGGTCGGCGGGAGGAACGCCATTGTCACTACCACAATCGTCTTCATGGCACTGCTGTCAAGCCTCGCTACTTCCCCTAGCCCTGTCATAACCTGACTGTCGCGCTGAGCGATCATGTTGTATGCCTGGCCTCGCGTCAGCAAGTCTGCTCTCACACTCGCTACGTTCACCCTACCAGAGTAATCTCGTTCTGCAGCCGCTCTTTATTCGACTGCGAGCGCAGAAGCAAGTTGCACAGCATCCTAGCTTGGAAGGCCATGTGCATACGCGCTTGGAGCAACGTCTCTGGCTTACAGCCACTCGCCTGCCTGTTTTTGTCCGCAAGCAACGCAATGTGCTGCTGCATGGCTTCCAACGTCTCGACTGTCACGCTGAGCGTCTCAAACAAATCGATGGCGTGAAGTGCTCCCTCACGCATCATGATAAAGTCTTGAGACCCGCGAGCTGGCAGCGAGCGGTCCTGAACACTTGTTATTGACAGTACTGCCTCATCGTTGCTTGGTCGTACTTGCCTTCTCAACACTGTGCAAAACGTCGCGCACATACCACACAGACAAGTCTTGCAAAGCGATGATCGCCTCTACCTGTGGGAGGTGCAGTGAGCATGGGTCTGTGAGCGGCAATGTCGCCTCTAGTAGGACAAGGGCGTCTTTTAGCAGCCCCTTTAATAAGGACAACGCGCCAATACACAGGATTGCGCAGCAACTAGCTGTTCATTGCAAGCGGAAGGTTGTCTCATACTAGGTGTAGCTTGAGCTGGTATCTCAAGCAGCCATCTTCACTAGGATGCAGAACCACGTGTCTGTGGTATGTGGTGAGCAGACACTTGCGTGCAACACATAGCATTAGACCTTACAACAACATTAAAGCTAGCCATCCTGATTGAAAGTTTCCACAGAGCTGAAAACCTGTTTGAGCGTCGGTACGCGTCTGCAAGGAGACAACTTGGTATCTGGAAACACTGCATCAGCTCTGGCGCTGGCTGGGTGTCTGCTGAGAACACATCTTCTCCTACTAATCTAGAAGGTGGTTATTACGCAGCTCTTCCCTGTGACATGGTGAAGTGTACATGTAATGAAGCTGCGGGGTAGTAGCACCCTACATAAAATATTAGAAATGCATTACGAGGCATGGGGTATGTCTTCTACATCTAGGAATTGCTTAATACTCTTGTTCTCTAGCAGCCAGCCTGCTAAAGTTTGCCTTGCTTTAGTGCACGTCTCACTGTAGGCTTCGCAACCGCTTACAGAAGTGTAGGATGGTGTGCAGTTGCATTTAGCAGGATATCAGTGTGCTCAGGAGAGCAATGCTCCAGTTAGTGGCAGTGCAGTACTACAAGCAGATGCGGGCGAAGCAGAAATTTTTGATGCCACAACCGCCATATCTGTAACGCAGCTAGAGGCTGTGCAGGTCGCAAGGCTAAGGGCTAGAAGGAAATCTAAATGGCTGCTAGACCGCAGCCCTATCTCGCAGCAGCAACAATCTTTATCTAGCATCTCTACACACCCCTTCCTCTTGTGACGACAATAACGACTGCAGATAGCGTACTTGTTGCGCCGTGACGACTACAAGGTGGGGTGAGTATGCGCACTGCCTATTGAGCTGGTGGCCATACAGGAGGTGCTCAACAAGGAGCATCCCAACCTTATGCACGATGTGACTAATAATGTTGCGGTATCAAGGGCAAATGTATATAACGAGTGTATTGTGTTGTTCTCTGTTGTTGTTCTGCTTGTATCTTTGCTCTCCAAGGCTCGCTGCGCGGTCTGTTTTGATGACGTGTTTGTGATGCAGCTGAGGTAAGAGGTGCTCAACAACATAAGGAAGTAGCACCAGACCACCGCCAACAACACGTGATCTGCTTCTCCTCTCAACCGTTACAAATAACAACAAGGAATAGTTTAACATGCACTGTCTAGCGCACCTAGCAATGCGGATCTAGATTAGGAGAAACGGCAACATAATTAAGGTAGCACAGGGTACTGTTTAGCATGTCGCAGGTGTTTTCCCTTCTTAAAGATTCTAACAAGCGCGCAGTTTAGGGACCTGATCTTCTGCATGCGCTAGGTACTGTGTCCGTGCACCAAATGCGCGGATTCATCAAATGCGCGCATCAACAAGAACGAGTCAAACTTCACACCCATTTTGCTCAACGCCACTATGTCGCTCAATCTAGCCCTTGCAGAGATAGCTTAATTAAGCCCTTGCGAAAATATTCTGTAACGTACCTCACAGGCGAGTGGCCGGCCCGGGCGAGTGACTGGATTTTGCCAAGACCACACCAAACTTCATACAACCCATAATGTCTTAACGCAAAAAGGCTTAAAGTATCTTAAAGGAACTATATCAGGAAAAGTTTTTCCATAGTCGAAATTAGCAAATCGTGGCATTATACTGTGGGCAATAGTAGGACTTATAGGCCTATAGTAGTTATTTAATGTGCATTCAATGTCTAGCTAATTTTAAGCTAACAGCTCTAACAGTCTTAACAGCTGCGATAGCTACAATAACTCCTAATCCTGCTATAATAGTAGCTCTGCTTAATAATGTAAAGTTATAAGACTTTGTTCTTATAATCTTTCTCTAGCATATGTCCTTCTTAGGTATAGCACTATGCTTACCTAAGCATTGTTATCCTAATCTCCTAAAAGAGAGGATTAGAATAGTGTGCTTACAAAGCCTGTATCTCCTCTTGCTCTTAAGATATGCTATTCTCTATTTTTAGTAACTAGAGATGTTCTAGACCCTCTACTTACAAATAGAGTAGCCTACTCTGTAAGATGCTGACGTATACAATTACGCATGCACCTACGTAATCTTGCTTGCATATACAGCAATACTAAGCATAGATAAAGTAGACCTACCTAGAGGAGTCTAGAACGTTCTGCTTAGAAATACAGACAGAGGAGAGGAAGTATAAATACCTCTAGCTCTCCCCCCTCTGTTTGCTCTGTACCTAGCCTAGGAATCTCTACCTAGTATCTAATATAATAACTTGTCTATTATATTACATAACCCTACCTTATCTCTATTAGGCTATACACTTCCTATTTAGACAAAGCTAGTCTAGATTTGTCTAGGTCCTTCTAGACTAGGAAGAAAGTAGTCTAGTCCTTCCCCTACTTTCTTTACAAATAAACTATAACGTACCTCACGGGCGAGTGGCCGGCCCGGGCGAGTGACCGGATTTTGCCAAGACCACACCAAACTTCAACTTCTCTTGCATATTACAGCAAGTTACTGCAAGTTACTGTAACTTACAGTATACAGCACTAATCTACAGTATCTTGCGCATCTTTTATGCACGTTCGCGCGTTATGCCCTGCCTTACTACACCTACTACAGCATTGTAAAGACTAAGTGCCTAGTTTAACGCGCCTCTTCTTGCTTGCCTTCTTCCTATTATTATAGGCTTTAAAGTACTTTAGGGTAGTTAAGCGCACTCCTTTACTAACAGTAAGAGTCCCCTCCCTCTAGATCTGCTTCCTCTTGTGTAATTTACAGCGTGTGGCGGCCTCATTAGCAGCTTGAAGCTCTGCGACCTGGTTGCGCACTAAAACTAGTGAATGCGCTATTATCTCTGCGCCCTTAGTAAGCTAATTAAGAGCATTAACTATTAAAGTTAGAGAGCTATTGCTATGTTATTAAATCCTCTCTTTAATAAGCTTTAATTGCGACCTAAATTCTAGGGTGTTCTGTAGGGTAGGCTGGCGGATGGGTAGGGTATGCTTTTTTACGTTTTGGCTTATAGCTTCTTAACTAGCAGAGATACGCTTACATAATCTATTATTCAATAGAAGCGCCTAGTATTGCGCCTTCTAATAAAAAAAGAATTAGCTGATTCTGCCTAGTATTAGCTAAGTTATTAACACTACCTAGCAAAGTATACCTATTAATAGGTATGCTCGCTAGGTACCCCCCCTTTTTTAACATTTTCTAGCCTCTAGCTTGTGCAGTTTAAAAGTTATAATAAAACCTTCTACTATAAAAATATAGAGGTGGTTTTTCTCTTTCTTTTCAGCCGTAGTTTGCTAGAATCTATGTATTATTAATAAGGTTTTGGGGGGTACCTACAAAGGACGTTAGAGTATACCCATTCTGCCAGCCTATTAATAGGTATGCTTGCTAGGTACCCCCCCTTTTTTAACATTTTCTAGCCTCTAGCTTGTGCAGTTTAATAGTTATAACAAAACCTTCTACTACAAAAATGTAGAGGTGGTTTTTCTCTTTCTTTTCAGCCCTAGTTCGCTAGAATCCATGTATTATTGATAAGGTTTTGGGGGGTACCCACGAAGGACGTTGGAGTATACCTATTCCGCCAGCCTACTAGCAATCATACAGACGGCTCCATCGCGTTCGCAGCTCTGGTGTACGCTTAATGAAGTTATTAACCTAGTTCTTGCCTGTAGGCTTCCCACCACGCTCTCTTAGCAGTCTATTAGCCATATCTCGTACGTGCACCTTTAAGGGTGGTATTCTACGTAAACTCTCTTTAAGTATACGCTGTATAATTGCCTCCTCTTCTAGCTTTGTAAGGCGTTTTAATTTTAGCTCGCAATTGCGTTAAGAGTGTGTTCTGTTGTGTTGTTGTTGTATTGTAGTTTAAGGGACCTTATAGACTTTCTTAGCAAGCCGTATACTCTTAATCTGCTCTTTTTAAAGATCTAAGATAGCAAGCTGTACGTCAGCTTCAGTATAGAGTCTCTGGGTTTGGTGTTGTTGAGGCATTACGTGTTGTCGCTGCGCAAGCGTTTTGGTGGGGAGAGTGCGCCGCTCGCTTGGGTGCGCCGCTCGCTTGTGAAGCACGTTATACTAGACAATTGTCTGCTCCTCTAGTATAGTAAGTTTCTAGTAATTAGCGTGTACGTCTAGTTAAAACGTGATATTGTAAAGGTGATTAGAGACCCGCTACTAAGGTACGTTTAATGCTCTAGCAGCGCTGCAGATACTGCGAAATTAGCTAGCGTAGAAGGCCTAGATAGCAAGGATAACTCTGCCTTCTCTAGTAGTATTCTGAAGTTGTTGTTGTTAAGGCATGTTATGTTAGGGTAAAAGGTGGTCGTGCTAAGAGAAAGTGGCTGGTTCAGTGATATGGCCGGCTCGGTGATAATCTACGTTACTTTTATTATATTAATATACTACTAAGTCTCCTCTTTAAAATAAGCTATTAAATAATATTATAGGCCTATTAATAGAATAGTTATTAATTATAGAAGGTTTTAAGCTTAATATTCCTTACTAAGACACTAAGTTAAGATTCTTTGCTAGGGCTCTAGCAGCCTAAATATTAGAAAATACAAGAATATTATTCAAGAATAGTAGGTAAACTAAGAATTCTGTGCTTAGGCCTGCCTATTCTGCAGTGTGTGCTTGTTAGCAGGTGCTTTGTTGTGTGCTGTTGGAGCTGCTACGTCGTGTGCTGTTGCAGCTGCAGCTGACATGTTGTGTGCTGGCGCAGCTGCAGCTGCCATGGTGTGCTGTCGCAACTTCAAAACACAAACCTTTAACAAACAAACCTTTAACACTCTATAACCTGCATTGTAGTAGGCCTGTAATAATAATTTTTTACTTATTTTAAAGCTATAATTTCGCTTTATCTATGCATGAAATTTTGCAAATTTTAAATATTTAATACTAGTGCTAGCAGAACTAAGGGTAGCTATACAACAACGTTGCAAAATTATTTTAAGTTTAACGTGTTTCACAAGCGAGCGCCGCACCCAACTGAGCGCCGCACTTTCAACAACAGAACGCCTGCGCAGCGCTATATCACAACACAACACGAATAAATAATTGTTTGCAGGCCTACATCGGGAAAAGTTTTTCCGTTGTCGAAATCAGGAAATTGTGGCATTGTACTGTGGGCAACAGTAGGACTTATAGGCCTACAACAGTTATTTAATGTGCATTCAATGTTTAGCCAATTTCAAGCCAACAGCTCTAACAGTCCTAACAGCTGCAATAGCCACAACAACTCCTAATCCTGCTACAATAGTAGCTCTGCTTAATAAACTATACTTTTATTATATTAATATACTACTAAGTCTCCTCTTTAAAATAAGCTATTAAACAATATTATAGGCCTATTAATAGAATAGTTATTAAGCGTAGAAGGTTTTAAGCTTAATGTTCCTTGCCAAGACACTAAGTTAAGATTCTTTGCTAGGGCTCTAGCAGCCTAAATGTTAGAAAATACAAGAATATTATTCAAGAATAGTAGGTAAACCAAGAATTCTACGCCTAGGCCTGCCTGTTCTGCAGTGTGTGCTTGTTAGCAGGTGCTTTGTTGTGTGCTGTTGCAGCTGCTACGTCGTGTGCTGTTGCAGCTGCAGCTGATGTGTTGTGTGCTGGCGCAGCTGCAGCTGCCATGGTGTGCTGTCGCAACTTCAAAACATAAACCTTCAACAAACAAACCTTCAACGCTCTATAACTCGCGTTGTAGTAGGCCTACAATAATAATGTTTCGCTCATTTTGAAGCTACAATTTCGCTCTATCTGTGCATAAAATTTCGCAATTTTTGAATATTTAATACTAGTACTAGCAGAACTAAGGGTAGCTATGCAACGACGTTGCAACGTTGTTTTAAGTTTGTTAAATATAGGCACTTAGCGTTTTGGCTGTTAGCAACGTTGGCGCGAAATTAGGGCTGTTGGGCGCAAATTGGGGCCGTTAGGGCCGTTGAACGGCCGTTGCACGACCATGCCACGACTGTCAGCAACAGCCAGTCTGGGCCGGATTTCGAAAAACTTTTCCCGATGTAGATAGTATTATTTAGAAGCTTTACTATTATCTGCGTCCTCTATTTCTACCTTGCAAGTGTAGGAATTGTGTCTAATCTTACCACAACACCTACAGTGTTATCTAACGCACACCCTCTTTACAGGCATCTTGCCCTTACTACAACCCCTACCCTCCTTTTTAGTAATTAAGTTAGCTACTTTGCTAACTGTAAGGGTCTCCTCTGTGTGTATATATTGTTGCTTACAGGTCTTGCGCTTTATAGACGCTTCTACAGCGTCTTAAAGGCAGCCTATTTCCTCCTGCATTAATACTATATTATAAGCTATCTGCTAAGCGCCCTTTACTAACTGTTTAACCTGCTTATCTAACAAACTTGCTAGAGACCCTTAATAGATTTAAATCTGCTTTTAAATTAGAGTTGACTGCTCCTCTACTTTGTAAGTAGTGCGTGGTGTCTTTAGCTCCTAGGCAACGTCGCTAGGTTTTGGTGGCGTTGGTGTGCGCAGGCGCACATTAAGCTTTGATAACACCACCTCTAGGTTGTGTGGGACTAGCCTAGCACCTCTAAAGCCTGCGCGAATGTTCTCTCTAGTGAAAGCC